CGTCCTCGGGGAAGGGGGAGGGCGCGGGGCGCGGGGTGGGGGGGGGGTGGCGTCGTCGCGCGCGTGCGATGCCGTCGCGCGGCGCGGACACTGCGACGATGATCGATCAGATCGGTGCCGACCTGTCGCTGTCGCCGTCGGGCTCGAGTCCTTCCACGAACCCCATGCAGGGTTTCGGTGGGCGCGACAGTCCCGCCACGCGCGTCGCATCTCGCACGTCCCACCCCGCGCGCGCGATGCTCGGCGCCGGCGCGTTCCTCGCCCCCGGGGCCTCGCCCCTCGCGCGTCCCTCCGACGCCGGCCGCGGCGGCGCGCGTCGCGCCGCCGCGATGCGCGTCGTCGCGAAGGGCCAGAGAGGCGTCCGGAGGGTTCGACAGGCCAACTTCGCGGAGGAGTTCGCCCCCGGGTCCGTCCTCGGAAAGATGATGAACCTTCGCCTCAACAAGATCAACTGGGAGGTGATGAGCGACGCCGCGGACAAGCTCGACGGCGAGCTCTCGTCGCAGGCCATCTTGGGCTTGGTGCGCGCGGAGGTCGCGATGCGCGGGATCGACGCCCTCAAGGAAGAAAACCGCGGGTACAAGGAGTACATCCTCCTTCGCTCGCTGGGACTGAAAGCGTGGTTCACGATGGCGACGTCGCGCGCGGGGATTCACGACCCGCGGACGCGATGCGCGGTCGGCAAGGCGCTGTCGTCCCCGGACGGGGAGTACAACATCTATCGACGCATCTTCGCGCACGCGCCGCTCGCCGCGGCGGGCGATTGGGACGGCTTCGCCGACGGCCTCGCGAGCGACGCGAAAGCCGTCGCGGAGGCGCTCACCGCGTCCGACCTGAACACGACGAAGGTGCGATACGACGCGAGCGTGACGGAGACGCACTTCGCGTGGATGGGGGACGAGGTGAAGCGCGTGGAGGAGGCGATGCGGCGCGCGGAGGTTGGGGACGCGCCCGTCGTCGTCGCCGCGCGCGCGCCGTGGGTCGACCCCGGGGCGTCGCCCGTCGGCGCCGCGGGGGGTGCCGACTCGAGCGCGGGGGGTGCCGACTCGAGCGCGGGGGGTGCCGACGCGGCCGCCGCCGCCGACGCCGAGGAGGACTCCGTCGAGTCCATGTTCGGAAAGAAGAAGAAGAAGAAGAAGAAGGGCGGGCTCGGCGCGGCGGTTTCCGCGGTTTCCGCGGTTTCCGCGGCGGCGTCCGCCGCGGGGTCGACCGGCGCGCCCGCCTCCCTGGACCAGATCCTCGGCGGCCTCGTGAAGAAACAGCAGGAGCCGACGTTCCCAGAGCTCGAGGCCTGGTGCGTCGGCAGCTCCCAGGCGACCGCGTCCGAGGCGGCGGCGTGCGCGGCGTCCATCGCGCTCGCCGCGCCTGAGAACGCCACCGTCGTCGCGCCGTCGTCGCTCGTCGCGTCGTGCCTCGCGTTCGACACGAAATCCCTGGGACGTAACCGCCGCGTCGTGTCCGTTACCGAGGCTGCGAGCGACGCGTTGACGTTCGAGGACGGCGAGGACGGCGTGTGCGTGTGCATCGTGTTCGATCCCCCGGCCGTCGGCGGTTTTGGCGGAGAGGACGCCGCGTTGGCGCGGACGGTGGCGAAGGCGAAGGCGGCTGGTGCGCCGTGCGTCCTGGCCGCGGTGACGCTCGTGGGCGGCGGCGCGTGCGAGCGCGGGGGCGGGACCGCGGGCGCGGACGCCGCGGGGGAAGCCGCGGAGGCGCGGGTGATGACGCGCGCGGGGTTGTAGCGCGTAAGTAGTACGCGGAGGTCGCGAGCGGCGTCGTATCGTACTGTAATAAAACGGCGACGCGTGCGCGATGAGAAAAACTGTTGCACGCCGACCGCGACCGCGAAATCCCTCGAACGAATGAATGATCCATCACACCTCATCACTACTCCGCGCGCCGCGTCGAGCACACGATGGGGAAGCGCAAACCGGAGGCGGAGCCGGAGTCGGAGTCGGACGTCGAGTTCGAGGACGATGACCTCAGGCGAGAGATGGAGATGGACGCCGACGCCGACGCCGGCGGCGGCGGCGACGGCGACGACGACGACGCGCTCGAGGACGAGGACGACGAGCTCGAGGCTGAGATGGCGGCGCTGGAGAGCTCGCGACGCGAGCGCGGGTACAAGAAGCTCGAGAACAGGGCGTTCGTGAACAACAAAGAGGGACTCCGCGCGTCGCTCGACGGTACGCGCGCGCCTCGATCGCGCGCGCTCGTCGCCTCCCTTCCTCATCGCGCGCGCGCGGGGTCCGCCCCGGAGGATCGACCGATCGCCCCCGCCGCCGCACGATTCGATTCTCGCCCGACGAACGAAACGAATCCCTCCCCTCGCTCGTCGTCGCCCTCTCACGCGCCCCCCGCCCCCGCCTCGCCTCCGCCTCCGCAGACTTCCAGTGGACGAAGAAAGCGAAGTGGATCGACCACATGGTCGTCGCCGGGACGAAGACCGCGGAGACGCTCGCGGACGTCAACGACGATCTCGCGCGCGAGACGCACTTCTACGAGCACGCGCTGCGCTCCGCGGAGGTGGCCATAAAAAACCTCAAAGAGATCGGCGTCGCCGTGAAGCGCCCCGACGACTTCTACGCCGAGATGGTCAAGTCCGACGAGCACATGAAGCGCGTGCGCGCGGAGCTGATATTCGAGCAGACGAGCCAGGAGACGAGGGAGGAGCGGCGCAAGGCGCGGGAGCAGAAGCGGTACGGGAAGCAGGTGCAGGCTGAGAAGATCAAGGAGCGGACGCTCAAGAAGAAGGAGAGCATCAAAAATTTGGACAAGTGGCGGAAGCAGAGGAAACAGAACGGGTTCGCGGACGACGGGAAGGCGCCGGACGGGTTCGAGGACGCGCCGAGACAAAAAGAGAGGGGGGGGTCCAGAGGCGGCGGCGGGCAGCACGGGCGGTCCACGCCGGAGTCGCAGAAGAAGCGCGAGTTCAAGAACGAAAAGTTTGGCTTCGGCGGTCGCAAGAGGGTACGTCGTCGTCGTCGTCGCGCGAACGGTCGCACTTCTGCCGTTTTTTTTTCGTTTCGTTTCGTCACGTTCGCGACTTTTCCCGCTCGAATCGACTCGAAACTCGAGACTCGAAACTCGATCGATCATAGGCGGGCTCAAGGGGTGCTGCCCGCATCCCTTGAAGCCTGGCGAAAGGGGCACCTTCTCCTCTACGGTGTATATCCCGCGCTAAAACGCCTTAAAGTACCGCCGGCGGTCGTAGGCTCTCTCGGTCCCTGGCGCGCGTTCGCGCGCGCACACATCGAGAGAGCCTCCCGTCACGCGCCGCGCATATTCCATTGCCTGGGCGAGCGACGTCGTCGCCATTACGCCTCTGGACAGACCATGCTCGTGCTATTCGACCCGACTCGGTTCCGTCGCCGCCTCCTCGAAACTCGAAACGCGCGGGCGGCGCTCCGTCCTGACGTTCTCTCTCCTTCTCCTTCTCCTTCTCTTCGCAGATGAACAAGCAGAACGACAAGCAGGGCCTGCAGGACATGAGCTCGTACAAGCCCGCGAACTTCGACGCCGGGTTCAAGGCTGGGAAAGGATGGGGCGACATGTCGGTGCGTGTTCAACAATTTTACGCCGCTCGGCCCGATCAGATCAGATCGCTTTCCCCCGCACCAATAATCGCAGTGAAGATCAATCGACACCTTTAGATTTGCACGTCAGCATGATATCCCTCGCGGGGTTCGTGATTATGCCAACTAACGTCAGAGCGACCGGTGGCTCCCTCGCGGCGCGTCGCTCTCGTCCGCGCTCCTCCGCGCTCGTCGCTGACTCTCTCCCTCTCCGAACCTTCGAATCTTTTATTTTCGTCCAGGGTCGCGGCGGGCGAGGCCGAGGGCGAGGCGGCCGCGGCGGCGGCGGGCGAGGCGGCGGCGGGCGAGGCGGCCGCGGGGGTCGATGACGCGCCCCTCCCGCGCGCGCGACGCGACGTGCCATCCTCACGGGCTGTTGTAATTTTCAATCTAGTAGACTACGAGACTACGCGCGACGCGTCGTCGTTCATTCATTCATTTCGTTCACTCGCCGACGAATCGATCGTCGAAGCGGTCGTCGCTCAGCCGACACTCGTCCTTCATCCCGAGCAACTCGTACCGGTTGTTCGCCACGAGGTCGTACACCGCGTCGCGCAAGAACCCGGGCACGAGCGGCCCCACGACGCCCGCGATCGGCAGCAGCGGCATCCGCTTCAAGTACGTCGCGATTCGAAGCACCGCGTCTGAGAGTCGAAAGAGTTTCTTATCGATCAGTTGAAAGGGTACGCGATCAAATGTTGAAACCGAGGGATGGGTGAAACAGCCCTAACGCACCCGACTTGACGTACGATCTGTCGCGCTCGACGAGGACGATGGAGCTGATGTCCGACGCGTCCCTCCCGGACCGGCGTAGCAGCGCGCGTCCCGCGCTCGACTGCAGCGCGGCGAATCGCAGCTCCCCCGGAGGATCCAAGTCCAGCGCGAGGTTCACGCCGCCGTTGCACAGGTTGCACACGCCGTCGAAGAGGATGACTGGCCGCGCGTCGCCGGCGTCGAAGTATCGGTCGCCGCGGGGGTCGGTGTCGAGAAGAAGATCCGCGTCGTCGTCGCTCGCCGCGCGCGTCGCGGAGGACGACGCGGACGCGGACGGACGGCGGCGCGGGCGGGGGGCGGCGCCGGCGACGCGGCGGCGCGCGCTCTTCGCGGGGCGTCGCGGCGCGGGCGCGGACGTGGACGCCGCGAGCGCGGCGCGCGTGGGGAGGATGGCGCGCGCGGTCATCTCTGGACACGTCATCGTCACCACCTCCGATATCCGAGGACGTTCGAGAAGGTGGACGACTGGACGGCAGTCCCCGAGCGCGCGCGCATGTCGCCGGGAGTACTCGTCGCTCGGTGTCCGATATCGCGCGCGGCGTCTCGCGCGCGAGCGGCGTTTCGATCGCGCGGCGCGCCCGCGTCGCGTCCTCCGCGCCGCGTTCCCTCTCCGCCGTCGCCGCGCGGCGCGCGCGTCGGCGTCGTCGTCGTCGCGTCGATGGCGACGTCGTCGTCGTCGTCGTCGACCGCGGCGCACGCGTCGCGCCGCGTCGCGAAGGTCGCCGTCGTCGGCGCCGGCGCCGCGGGCCTCGCCGCGGCGAAAGAGCTCCGCGAATTCGGCCACGACGTGCGCGTCTTCGAGAAGGGCCGCGACGTCGGCGGCGTCTGGGTCTACGACGCCGCCGTGGAGGACGACGCGCTCGGCGTGGATCCGAACCGCGCGATTGTGCACTCGTCCGTGTACGCGTCGCTGCGAACGAACCTCCCGAGAGAGGTCATGGGATACGCGTCGTTCCCGTTCGCGTCGTCCAAGTCGTTCAGCGGGAGCGACGACCGGAGGTTCTGCGGGCACGAGGAAGTGCGCGCGTACCTTCGCGCGTACGCGACCCGTCACGATCTGTTGGATGCGATTTCGCTGGGCGAGGAGGTGACCGACGCGACGCCGGTCGTCGCCAAGGCGTCCGACGACGACGACGCGACGCGATGGGGGCCGAAGTGGCGCGTCACCACGAGATCCGTCGAGAAGGGCGACGACGACGACGCGAACGCCGCCGTCGTCGAGACGTTCGACGCGCTCGTCGTGTGTAACGGGCACTACTCGGTCCCGCGCGTCCCGAGTCTCCCCGGGTCTGAGGCGCGTCCTCCTCGCACTGACTGGTCCCCATACGACCGCGTTCGCGTGGTGCACGCCGTTCCTTAAGGACTTCGCCCGTCGCATCTCTCCGCCCACGCCTCGCTTTCGATCCCGACACACCGCGTTGCCTTTCAACTCCATCTGACGCCTTTCAACTCCACCCCGACATCGGCCCTCAGACGTGGCCGGGGACGCAGACGCACTCGCACAACTACCGCACCCCGGAGGGGTTCGAGGGGAAAACCGTCGTCGTGCTGGGCGCGATGGCGTCGGGGGAGGACCTCGCGAGGGAGATCGCGACGCGCGCGAAGACGGTGCACTTGGCCGCGCGCGGGTGGACGCCGCCGAGGGAGGGGCCCGAGGATGGGGACCCGGGGGACTTTCCCGCGAGCTCGTATCCGAGGAACTGCGTCCTTCGACCGGGCATCGCGGAGCTTCGAAGCGAGGGCGTCGCCGTCGTCTTCGAGGACGGCGCGATCGTGGAGGGCGTGGACGCGGTCGTGTACGCGACGGGGTATCACTACGTGTTTCCGTTTTTGGAAGGAGAGACGGACCGGGAAAAGTCCTTAAGGATCGGCGTTCACCACGCCAGCGCGGTCGTATGGGAACCAGTGTATTTGGAAGGCGGCGGCGAGACGGAGAAGAAGGCGTTTTCCGTCGCCGCGGTGGATAACTGCGTGTCGCCGTTGTATAAGCACGTCTTCCCGCCGCGCTCGGCGCCGTCGCTGTCGTTCATCGGGCTCCCGTGGAAGGTGGTGCCGTTCCCGCAGTTCGAGCTCCAGGCAAGGTGGATCGCGAAAACGCTCGCGGAGGGGGGGTTACCGAGCCGCGAGGCCATGGCCGAGGAGGCGGCCGCGTTCGAGGAGAGCCTCGCGAGGGACGGCGTCGCGCGAAGGCACGCGCACAGAATGGGAGAGACGCAGTTCGCGTACAACGACGAGCTATCGACGCTGTGCGGCGAGGAGCCGCTGGCGGGGTGGCGCGCGGAGATGTACCGCGCGACCGGGCGAAGGAAGCGGTCGAAACCGACGGAGTACAGGGACGCGGCGCCGTGGGACGACGAAGCCGCGCGCGAAGCCGCGCGCGAAGAGTTCGCGAGATTTATAGACTAGGACACCGTACGAGTAGTAAACCGGGGTCGTCGTCCATCATCACATGATCTTACATTCGCTATCTATATCGCTATCTTATATCTGATATCGCTATCTTTATTCGAGCCAATGCCGCCTTCACCGCTTCCTCAACGCCCGCGTCGAGCGCCGCGTGCGGAATGGAGACGTACGCGTACCCGGCCGCGGCGCAGCCTCTGCTCAGTAAGTAGTCCCTCAGCGCGGTGCCTCCCGTCTTGCGCGACTTGGATCCGATTTTTTCGTCTCCGTCTGAACACGACGACAGAAAGTGCGTCGGCCCGTCGATCTCGACCGCGACGATGATCTCCTTCGTCTCCGCGACCACGTCCACGACCACCCTCGCCGTCTCCGCGTCGTCGCCCCCCCCGCGCCGCCGCAGCGGCAGCGTAATCTCCCTCTCGAGCTCGACGTTCTGCGACCCGAGCATCGCGCGAAACGCGTCCGCGGCGGCGCGTTGCGTCTTCGACGTTCGGACGCGGTCGGACACGTCGGACATGTCCGACACGCGTCCGCGTCCGGACGCGAAGCACCGACGCGCGGCCGCGCGCGCCGCTCCGCGCGCGTCGTCGCTCGCGTCGCGCGCGTCGCCCTCGTCGTCGTCGACGTCCTCCGCGAGGTACCGCCACGACGCGTAATACAGCTGCGTCGCGCTCGCGACCGAGAGCCGCCCAACCGCCTCGCCGCCGCCGCCGAATTGAACGTCGACGACGCGCCACATCGCGCGCGCGTCCTCGCCGCGAACCTGCCCCAAGCACGCGCACGCCCACAGCGACGCGCACGTCCACCGCGCGTCGACGCAGCACGGCGAAGACGCGGACGTCAGCGCGGCGACGCGGCGAGCGAGGTTTCGAGTCGCGGAAGACGTCGCCGCCGCCGCCGCCGCCGCCGCCGCCGCGTCGTCGGCGTCGTCGGCGGCGTCGTCGGCGTCGTCGGCGTCGGCGCGCGTCGTCGCGATCGCCCAGAGCGCGTCCGACGCTTCCTCGAGGGTGAAGTCGTCCGCGAGGTCCGTCGCGGCGGACGCGAGCGCGGCGACCGCGTCGTCCCCGGGGTCGGCGCGAATAGACGCGAACGCGTGCCACGCGTTGGCGACGTCTTGCGGCGTCGCGCGTTCGCGTTCGCGTTCTTCCGTCCCGTCCGTCTCCACGTCAGCATCCACGTCGGATCCCGTGTCATCTACGCCGAGGAAGCCAGGCCGCGCGATCGCGCGCGCGCACGCGCCGAGGAACGCCGTCCTCTCGCGTCGAATCTCGATCGTCTGTTCGCGTCCGCGGAGTCCGTCTCCGTCGGTGTCGGCGTCCGCGGCGGCGGCGAGCGACGCGTATCCCCACAGGCACTGCGCGAGCTGCCGCGGCGTGATGGTCCTCTCCGACGCGGCGACCACGTCCGCGGCCGCGCGCGCGAACGACGCGTCGGACGCGACGCGAGCGAGCGGCGGCGTCAGCGTCGCCGCCGCCCACAACGCGACGCACAGATCCCGCGGGTTCGCCGCGCCGCCGCCCGCCCCTCCTCCTCCTCCTCCTCCTCCTTCGCCTCCGCCGCCTCCGCCGCCTCCTCCGCCTCCTCCTCTCGACGCGACCATCCTCACGACCGCGTCCGTCATCGCGTCCCGCCACGCCTTCGTCGTCGGCAGTTTCGCCTCCCCCAGCGTGGCGTAAGACCAGAGGATCTGCGAGACGTCTCGCGGCGGGAGGGATCCGGCGGCGACGCGCGTCACGATGGCGCTCGACAGCGTCGGCGCCACCGTCGCGAGGTCCGCGGAAGACGGGGATAACATGGCCAGCGTCCACGCCGACGTGCTCAGCGCTCGCGGGGACATCTCTTTCGCGCGCGCGCGCAGCGCGCAGAGGAGCTTCTCGAGCGCGGGCGACTCGCGATCGCGATCGTCGTCTCCGCGCGTCGTCGTCGTCGTCGTGCTCGCGAGCGATCGCAGCGCGGCGCACACGTGCACGGCGTTTAGTCGCCCCCAGTGCTTGCTCACGAGGTCGTTCAGCGTTTCCGGGTCCCCCGCGCGCGAGAGCGCCGCGGTGAGGACGCGCTCGGGCTTGCACGGGCATCCCAGGCAGTGACATACTTGGCAGTCGCATCGCGCGCCCGAGGAGCACTCGCACGCGCCGGTGACGCCGCCGGAGACGAGCTTCCTGCCGCGCGGTTTGCGCGGGTTCGAGCCGGGGGCGCCGCCGCCCGCGGGGGCGCAGCACGACGCCATGTCGCGCGACGCCTGCTCCGGCGCGCGGGGACGAGTGCGGAGGATTCGATTGTTCTTTCCGAGACGATGCGAGGTTCTGTTGAGACGCTGATTTCTCTCGAAGGCTCCACCTTCTCTCTCCTCCTCCTCCTCCTCTCCGCCGTTCCGTCGCCGCTCACGTCCACCCGAGCGCGCTCTTGCCTAACCCCAACCCCTGCCCCAACTTCCCTAAGAAGTTCGCCCCTTCCTCCGCGGCGTACGCGGAGACGTCGCTCGCGTCCCCGAAGCGGTCGAACCCGGCGGCGGTCCAGTCGACGCCGCCGGCGCCCGCGCCTCCGGCGCCCGCGCGCGCCCGCCCGCCGCGTAACGACGGCAACGACACCGGGAGGTACGAGAACCGCGGCGGCAGCGCGCCGCCGCCGCCGCCGCCGCCGAGCCCGCCGGAGCCGACGCGCGCCGTTTCGATCGACGAATCGTCCCTCCCGCCGCCGCCGCCGACGCCGCGCGCGAACAGACCCAACAACGCGGAGACCCGGCGTCTCCACGACGACGCGTTGCGCGTCAAGAACGACTCGTACGTCGCCCAATCGATCGGATCCAGCGTGGAAGATAACGCGTCCGTCGCGCTCGCCGCGATCGCGCGCGCCTCGGACGCCGCGCGCGTCGCCCACGCGTACTGCGCCCCGCCGCCGCCGCCGCCGCCGCCGCCGCGATCCTCCGCGCCGACGAAAACACGCGTGATCGTCATGACGTCGAACAGCGCTTGGATCGTCCACTTCTCGCCGATCCCGCCCGCGTTCGTCGTCTTCACGAACGCGTCGTACGCGTGCGCGCACTCGCGCGCGCACGCCGCCCCGAGCGCGTGCGTCGCCGCGGAAGGGAGGAGGTGCCCGCCGACGCGCGTCGCCTCGTCCGCGGCAGCGCGCATAGCGTCCAGCACCCGCGGGGAAGGCTGCGACGGCAGCCTGAGCGTCATGTCCCCGCCCGCGTCGGCGACCGTCTCTTCTTCCCACTCCGCGGGGAGCTCCGCGGAGGTCATGGTGTCGTCGGAGGCGAGCGATCGCGAGACGGCGGCGCCGATGTCGGCGGCGACGCGGACGGCCCACGTTTTGAACCCGCGCTCGCGCGCGGCTCGCAGCGCCGCCGTCGCGTCCGCGAGCTGCTCTTGCGCCGCGGTCGACAGCTTCGGGGCTTTCCCGTACTTCCCCCCCGCGCGTCTGCCGAGCGCACCGGATACGAACCGTCGTGACGTTTCATCTCCGACGTCCCACGCGTCGCGCGGCGCGAGCATCGTCGCGAGCTCCGGCGCCGCGTCCGTCGCGATCGCGTGCGCCGTCTGACCAATCAGAAGCGCGCGTTCCGTCGCCGTCGCCGTCGCGTCCTCCTTCTCCTCCGCGATTTTCGATCGCAGAAACGACGCGAGCGACGCCATCCCCGCGTGCGCTTCGTGATGCGCGTATTCCTCCACCGCGGCCGCTCGATCCTCGCGGCTCGACGCGCTCGAAGAGCCCCCCGCCGTCAGCGCCGACGCCTCCCGTCGCGTCTCCGCGAGCGTCGTCGCGACTTCCAACGCGATCCCTCGCGCGACGATCGCGCTGATGGACGAGGAGGAAGAGACGCTCGACGACGCGGTCTCGCGCCCGGGCGTGCACGGCGCGTCGGGCGAGGCGTCGTCGGTCGTCGCGACGGCGCCTTTCCCCCACAACGCCGCGGGCCGTGCGGCGGCCGCCGCCGCCGCCGTCGTCGTCGTCGCCTTCAGCGCGGCGTCGATCGCCGCTCGCGTCGGCGCGTGGCTCAGCGCGTCCCTCAGCAACGCCCTCGCGCGCTGCACGAACGGTTTCTCCGCGAGGGCGCCCCAAGCGTCGAGCGCGGTCCCGAGGAGGTCCGAGACGGCGAGGTCCTCGTCCGACGCGCCGGGTTTTCCGCCGCCGCCGCCGCCGCCGCGCTCCATCCTCCGCGTCACGTCCTTCTCGAACGCCGCGAGCTCGCCGAGGCTCCGCACCGAATTCAGCAGCCCTCTGCTCTCCACCGCGCGCGCGACGTCCTCCGCGACGCCGGTCAGGTACGCCTCGCACGCGGCGGCGACGTCTCTCCGCGACGGCGCGCGCGTCGCCAACGCCGTCGCCCGCGCCTCCACGCGCGCTCTCCGTCGCTCCGCCTCGCGCTTCGGGACCGCGACGCCGGCGAACGACGTGTCCATCTCCCTCCGCGTCCCCTCCTCGGACCCCGACGACGTCCCCACGATGTCCCGGAACGCGCGCGGGACCGAGACCGAGAAGTCCCCGTCCCCGTCCCCGTCCCCGTCCCCGTCCCCGACGCGCGGGAGGAAGCACCGCGACGCGAGGAGCGTCGTTCGCCGAGCGTCGAGGAGCGTCCTCGCGAGCGCGTTCGCCGCCTTCCCGCGCGTCTTCCCCTCCGCGCCGCGTCGCAGGATCGCCCGCGCGTGCGCGCGGCGCGACTGCATCGCCAGCGCGAGCGCCTCTGCGGCGGACAGGTCTTCGACGAGGACGCACGCGGCGACGGCGGAGGACGCCCGAGACGCGTCAAGGGCGGATTTCGCGCGCAACTCCTCTCGCGCGCGTCGAGCGATCTGCGCGCGGAACGAATCGAGCAGCGGACCTTGCTGCTTCACGAGCGGGAACATCTTGAGGACGTCCGCCCACGACATGACGCCGTCGTCTCCCTCGCCTCGCTCGAGCGCGGAGTACACGTCGGAGGCGGCGAGGAATCGCTCCGCGGCGCCGAGGAGGTCGCCCTCCTCGAGCGATCCCCAGATCTTCTCCGGGGTGTCCACCAGGAACTTCACCCTGCTCCCGGTCGCGTACTCGAGATCCTCCTCGCCCTCGACGAAAATCTCGCCGGTGATCTCGTCCACCTTAAACGCCGGCTCGCTCGAGGAATCCCCCCGCGTCGTCACCGCGGGGTCGGGGAGATCCTGGAGCATCTTATTGAGCTCGCCCAGTTTTTCCACCGCGCTTCGCGCGTGTCGCTCGATCGCCTCGATCGCGTCCGCGGTCGCGATCGCGTCGAGGTAGCTCCCGCCCCTCAGCTTCTTCAGCTCTCTCGCCTTCTCCGCCGCCTCCAAACGCGTCTTTTTCTCGATCTCTCGAACCTCCGCCACCTTGTACGTCTCGAACAGCGCGTCCGCGTTCTTCTCGTTCGTCGCGCGCTCCTCGTCGGTGAGGGCGCGTCCTCCCGACGCCTCCGCGAGCGCGCGGAGGTACGCCTCGTCCTTCGGCTTGGGCGGGAACTCTCGTAGGAGTTGCTCCGGGTCCATCTCCGGGACGTCGCCGGCGGGCGAGGGGTCGAGGGGGGGCGTCATCGCGTGCGTCGCGCGACGACGACGCGTGCCCCGCGCGGGGTCGCGATGTTGTGGCGTGCGTCGACCCGCCGTCGGGGTTTGAACCTCCAGACTCTGTGCACATCATTCAATGCCAAGAAAGCGTCGGTCAGTTGAAAGGGAGCGCGATCAAATCTTGAAACTACGAGGTGGGTGAATCTTCGTCACACGCAAAATTTTGGAAATCGCGTGATATCGCGCGGCGAAAGGTCGAATTGGGGATCGCGCGCGGCATTGTCGCGCGAGCCACGGCACGGGCGTCCACGCGGAGGTCTTCGCGTCGTCCGTCATGGCGGGCAAGAAGAAGAAGAAGAACAAATCGCGCGGGAACTCGAACTCGCGCCCGAACTCGCCGCCGCGCGCGCCGAGGACGGCCGATCCCGCGCCCGCTTCCAGCAGCGACGACGGCACGACGGCAGAGCAAAAGATGATCGCGGAATTGGAGGCGCAAGTGCAGGCGCGGAACTCCCCGGGGGGATCCCCCGCCTCCGCGATCGCGTCCGCGATCGCGTCCCCCGCGGACGCCGCGACCGGCGCGCCCACGCCGCCGCCGGAGCCGCCCGCGCCGGACCCGTGGCCGAAGGTCTCCGCCGAATCGCGCGACGCGTGGCTCGCGGAATTCGACGCCCTGAACGACACCGGCACGGAGTCCTTAGAGGGCGGGAAGATCGTCGAGGTCCTCCTCAGAGCCGGCGTCCCGAACGAAACCCTGCGCGTGATCTGGGACCTCGCGGACGAGGACCAGGACGGGAAGATGTCCGCGGACGAGTACGTCATCGCGATGTACCTCACCGAGCGCGCCAAGGCGGGGGTTTCCCCGCCCGTGTCGCTGTCGGAGCTCCCGGACGACACGTTCGATCCGGACGCGCGCGGGGCGGCGTCTGAATCGGCGGAGAAGGAGGAAGAGGAAGAGGCGTCTGAATCCGAGTCGGAGTCGGAGTCGGAGTCGGAGTCGGAGTCGGAGGACGCGCCCGCCGCCCCGGAGGCGGCGCACGACGAGACGGAAGTCCCCGCCAAGAGATCTCCACCCGTCGTCGAGAAGGTCAAGAGCGCGAAAGAGAAGCCGGCGGCGGCGAAGAAGGACAAAAGGAAGTCCTTGGACGCGATCGTCTCTCCGAACGCGACTTCCGCGGAGCTGAGGAGGGTGCTCATGACGTACAAAACGCGCGCGGAGGACGCGGAGAAGGCGTCCAAGGCGGCGAAATTCCGCGCGGACGGCGCCGAGCTCGCGGCGTTGACATACGAGGAGCGAGCGAGGGCGGCGGAGGACGCGATGGAGGCGATCCTGGAGGAGAAGAGCGCGCAAGAGCAGGAGATTGAAGCCGCGGGCGGCGCGGCGGCGGCGGCGACCGCCACCGCCGCGGAGGAGAAGAAGCGCGCGAAGGACGCCGTCGCGTTCGCGCAGAGAGCGAACGAGGCGGTCAGGCGGGCGCTCGCGCAGGCGGCGGCGGCGGAGACGGACGCGCGCGCGTTCAAACGCGGGTTCAAGAAGATGATCGCCATCATGCGCTCCGAGCCGGAGCAGCGCGAGTTTTTGATGAACCCGACGTTCGAGCTCGACTCTGAATCGGAGGCGTCGGACGACGACGACGACGACGACGACGACGACGGCGGCGACGACGACGACGGCGCCGACGTCGTCGCCGCCGGGTTCGAGACCCTGCGCGGGTTTCTCGTCGAACAAGCGGAGGAGCTTCGCGAGTTGCGGCACCGGTACGAAGGCGACGGCGGGATCCTCGGCATCGCGAACGCGCCCGCCAACTCCCGGGCGCGGAAGCTCGCGGAGGACGCCGCGAACGCCGCGGCGGTGGTGCGAACCCCCGGGGCCGCCGTCGCCGTCTCCCCCGGAAGCGCGCTCGGGACCCACGCGTCGACGGGGGGCAGCCCGTCCGCGTTCGGCGCGGGCGAACACGGGTTCTCGCGCGCGCTCAAGGGCATGGACAAGGACGAGCTGTGCTCCGAGCTCGAACGCTTGCGACGGTACACGTACCGCCTGCAGAGGAAGCTCGAGGACGCGCGACGCGCGGCGACGCAGAGCGAGTACAAGGCGGCGCGCGCGGCGGAGGAGAGAGACGACGCCGTCGCGTACGCCGAGCGCAGAGCGCAGACGGCGCTCGCGGACCGAGAGGACACGGAGATCAAGGCGAAGCTCGCCGCCGCGGAGGCGCAGCGGCTGCGCGAGGAGGGACAGAACCTGCGCACGGTGAACCGCGCGCTATCGAGGCAGGTGGACGCCGTCGCGGGCGTCGGGGCGTCGCCGCGCGCCGCCGTCGCGGAAGCCGCGGGGCTCTCCGGGCTGGGATCGCGGTCCCCGCGAGGGAGCGACGCGGGACGCGACTTCACTCTGGCGTCGCCGTCCTCCGCGATCGCGCGCGACTCCGTGACGAAGTTCCAGCGCGGACCGGACGGCGTGGACGCGTACCTGCGCGAAGCCGCGGCGGCGGCGGCGGCGGCGCGCGCCGCCATCGACGGCGTGGACGCGATCGAAGCCGCCGCGCGGTCGATCGAGGCCGCCGCGCGCGTCGGCGACCAAGAGTCCGTGGAGAACTGGAAAGAAGTCGTCTGGGCGCTGAGAGGCGAGTCGCCGCCGCCGGAGGCGATCGAGGGATTCAAGATTGCCCGACCGCGGACGCCGCCGGAGCCGGACGACGGGCTGCCGCCGATGCCGAACTCGACGCCGACGACGCGGAGACCCGCCGCGAGCGCGGTGAGTCCCTCGTCGGCGTCGGCGCCGAAGCCGCGCCTCCAATCCGTCGCGGTCGCGAGCCCGTCGTTCGTCGCGCCGGCCGCGCGCTCGCCGGGTTCGTCCTCGCGTCGCTCCTCGCAGATGTTCTCCCCGACGGGGGGCGGCGCCGCGCGCGAACGCGACGTCCGCCGCGCGGCGACGCCGGAGTTCTTGCGCGCGGCGCGCGCGGCGTGGGACGCGCAGATCGCCGCCGCCGTCGCGGAGGAGGAAGCGGAGAACGAGCAGCTCTCGGCGATGGAGTCCGAGCTCGTGCGAACCGGCGCGATGGCGCCGAACCCGCTGCGGTTGCCGTCCCACATGCGAGTGAAATCGACGGAGAAGACGGCGAAAGACGTGGACGCGCTCGTGGAGCGGCTCAAGGACACGCTGCACGAGAACGGCGCCGACGTGTCGCTCGTGCGAAAATCGGATTTCAAATACGTCTTGTCCTCGGTCGAAGACGCCGCCGCCGGGGGCGGCAAGGCGTCCGCGGAGCGCGTCGTCGGCGGAAGCAAGAACTACTTCAAGTCCTTCGGCGCGGCGCACGCGCGGCGCGACGCGGACCGCAAGCGCCCGGACCCGATGATCGTCGTCCTGAAGATGGAGAACCACGCGCTTCTCGTGTACAAGGGCGCGACGGCGCGCGCGGCGGATTTATTCGACGTGGTCGTCAAGTACGCCACGCCGACGCCGACGCCGAGGTCGGTCGGTCGCTCGCGAGGCGCGAAGGAGAACGCCAACCCGTTCGCGCCGTCGTTCTACGGCGGGTCCCTCAGCGGGTCGCCGTCCGTCGCCGCGGAGACGCACCTGAGGTACGACGCGTCGTTGGCGGCGTTCACCGGTCGCGAGAAGCCGCGGAGCGCGGCGGCGGGGACGGGGACGGGGACGGGGACGGGGACGGGGATCCCTCCGCCGAAGATTCCTCTGCCGGCGGGCGGCGCGTCCGCGTCCGCGTCGTCGGGGCATCACAAGGAGAAGAAGCGTCGGAGCCGGAGCAAGCAGCCGTCGCCGCGGTACGCGTGATGGACGGGACGGGACGGGACGACGCGAGCGCGAGACGCGTTCGGCCAGCGACGCGGCGCCGTCGGCTTCTTTTTAATCGCATCCGTCGCGTCCCCGACCGCCGTCGGGAGTTGTATTACAGTACCGAGTTCATCCTACGATCAACGAATTAGCTAACGCGAACGTCACTCGCGCTCACTTACTTCATCTGATCCTGGATCATGTCCGCGGCCTCCTGCACCGTCGCGATCTTCTCGGCACCCTCCTCGTCGAGCGTGATCTCGAACTGCTCCTCGAGCGCCATCATGATCTCCACGGTGTCGAGAGAATCCGCGCCGAGGTCGACGAATTTCGCGTCCGCGGCGACCGCGTCGAGATCGGTGCCGAGCTGCTCGGAGATGATCGTGCGCACCTTCGTGAGCGTGTCCGCGTCCTGATGCGGCGGACGAGAGGAAGAGAGACGAGGGAGGGAGAGGGAGGAGGGTCGAGGCGGGTCAGGGATCGAATTGAGAAAAAAATTATCCGGCCGCGCAGCGGGGTGAGCCCCGCGAGAAAAGTCGGAAGCCTCCGATCGATCAGTCGACTCGGGGCCCTGGTCTCGCGCGTCTTCGCGCGAAGCGAAGCGGGGAAAGCGCGTCGGGAGACGCACCGCGGCGGCGTTGACGCGGAAGGCAGCCTTCGCGACAACGACGGGCTTCGTCGCGCGGAGCGCCGCGGTGGACTTCGAGCGGAGCTGCGCCTGCGCGCGGTCGGGAAACGAGGCGTATCGGGAAAAAGCGTCAGCGAAGGCCGTGGCGGATTTCGCGCGAGAGGACGCGGGCGGTCTCGCGCGTCGCGCGCGCGATGCGACGCCGCGCGCGATGCGACCGCGCGCGCGTGGACGACGTGGCATCGCGGTCGCATCATCGCGCGCGGTAGCGTCGTCCTCGCGCGATCGCGCGTCGCGTCGCGAGCGCGTTTCCCGAAGCGCGCGCGTCGAGTGCGAGCGGAATCGGATAGGACCTAAAAATACCAAAACCGCGGCGACGACGACGACGTCGGGCGACGGGCGACGCGAGAAGAGCGCGCACCCTGGGGGCGACCTTCGCGACAGCGGAAATGTTCATGATAGTGGCCATCTTGACGGGTTGGGTGGGTTTGCGTGTGGTGTCGTGAGCGCGCGAGGAATGGTGATCCGGGCGGGGCGGGACCGGGGACGAAAAAAAAACCTGGGCCGGAGAAACTCGTGACTTGGACAAATCGCGGTCGGATGTCGTCGGTCGGTCGACTCTTCGATACCATTTCTCATTCCGGGGCGAGGATAGGGTTGTCAGTGCAGGGTTCGCCGGGCTGATTTCCCGCCCTCCGTTCTCGATTTGACGGCGGGACCCTGGTTCAAAAAAAGAATATTCCTCTTGTTTGTCACCTTAGCCGCCGCAAGACGCGTCACTTTTCGGTTCGCGAGCGCACGAAACGCCCCGAAAAAATGGCACTCCGCAACCTCCTCGGGGCGTCCCACCACGACCCCGGCAACGATGGCACGGACGAGGGCGAGGGCGAGGCCGGGATGACTATGCTCTGCCTCATCTACTTCATCGCGCTCTTCATTTTCGTCTACGACAGGTTCATCAAGAAGAAGGAAGACAAGAAGGACTTCTCCGAGGAGCTCGTGGACGCGAAAGCGTTCGCGGCCGCCAACGCCGAGGCGGACGGCAGTAAGAACGTGTACGAAGGCATGACCGACGACGAAATCCGCGACAAGATCGCGCAGGACAAGTGGCTCAAGCCCTCGGCGGACGAGAAATCGCCAGAGTACAGGGCGAAGTTTATTCGCACCGCTTCTTTCGGGAAGCTCTCCATCGACGACAAGAGCGCCGCGCGCGATTTCCTCCATTTTCTCGCCGGCGTCAACTGGTTCAAGGTGTTCCTCGTCGTCTTCATCATCTACTGCATCTGGACGTTCCTCCTCGTCCTCAACATCATGGGCACCGGCTTCAAGCTTCTCGGCGGGAAATCCTCCGCGAAGATGTTCGACGTCGTCGACAACCCGATCTCCGCCCTCATGGTCGGTATCCTCGCCACCGTGCTCGTGCAGTCCTCGTCCACGACGACGTCTATCATCGTCTCCCTCGTCGGCGCGAACGAGCTCTCCGTGAAGTACGCGGTCTTCATGATCATGGGTGCGAACATCGGTACGTCTGTGACGAACACCATCGTCGCGATGGGTCACTTCAACAACCCGGAGGAACTCCGCCGCGGCTTCTCCGCGGCTACCGTGCACGACGTCTTCAACATGATTGCGGTCGCCATCTGGCTCCCCATCAACTGGATCTACCCCGTCTTCAAGGAGATGACGTACGAGATGGTCAAGGACATCGACGCGTGCGACGACTCCGACGGCGACGACTGCTCGAAGACGGAGTTCCTCAAGCCCTACGTCTCCCCTTACACCAAGGGCATCGCCGCCTACGACAAGAAGGTCGCAGACTTCGTCTCGCAGAACTACTGCAACGGCTACTGCAGCGAATCATTGACCTCGACACAGATGAAAGCGGTCTCTGGCTTCGCGTGCACGTCCACCTCGGACTGCTCCAACTTCCACGCCGACTGGAAGGCCTCCTGGATGGACGGCAGCAACCTCCTGAAAAAGCGCGCGCCGTTGGCCATTATGCAGGACGCCTCCGGCAAGACCACCTCCTACTACGATTGCCCCACCGGTGCGGACTGCACGACCACCTCCTTCTTTCAGAGCGGCGTCGGCAGAACGTCCTTGACGGCCGGCACGTACTACAACGTGTGCAAAAGCTCAAAAATGTCCACGACGAAGTGCGACGCTCGCCTCCTGAAGGGCGGTCTCGCGTACGACACCTGGGACATGTCCGATAGAGAAGCGGGCACGACGCTCACGATCCTCTCCCTCGCCGCGCTCTGCGCGACGCTCTTCTGCATCGTGTACGTTCTCCAGATCGTCTTTAAGGGCCCCGCCGCGCGCATGCTCAAGAAGGCTGTCGGGTACCACCCCTTCCTCAACATGGTCATCGGCTGCGGCATCACGATTCTCGTGCAGTCGTCGTCGATCACGACGTCCACGCTCACGCCGATCGCGGCGGTCGGCCTCATCACCCTCGAGGAGATGTTCCCGCTCACGCTCGGCGCGAACGTCGGTACCACCCTCACGGGCATCATGGCCGCGACCGTCGTCACGTCCAACCCGGTCGAGGCGTGGCAAGTCGCGTTGACGCACTTCTTCTTCAACGTCTTCTCGATCATCCTCATCTACCCGCTTCCGGTTACCCGCGCGATCCCGCTGGCGGCGTCCAGGTGGCTCGGCAAGATGACCGCGAACGAGACGTACGGAAAGATTTTCCCGCTCGTGTACACCGGCGTTGTGTTCATGGCGATCCCTGGGGCTGCCTACGGCATCGCCGTCGCCGCGTCGTCATGATCGAGGTGGACACCGAGGGTCACGATCGTTCGCGACAGCGCGTACGCGACGATGGACACTCAATGGGAAGATTAGACCTTTATTCAATTTATAATATCATGCTTAGTTACTCATTCATCGTCCCTCTCACGAGTCGCGCGCGCTCGCGTTCGAAGTGCTCGTCTCGTCGCGAGAATAAGAATCAATCGCGGCTACGCCCGCGAGCGTCGATTCCCCGCCGCCGCGGATCACTCCGCGAGGACGCCGACGGCTTCGAACGCCTCGAGCATGTCCCGTCCGTGCACCGCGTCGAACGCCTCCGTGCCGTCCGTGCCGCCTAATTTCAATATCGCCTCCGCCCCCGCCGGGTGATCGTCTAAGAAATCAGTGAAGTCGTACACGTCGCCGCCGATCGCGACCCAGCAGTCGTCCGAGCTCGCGTGCTTCGCGAGCTCGTCGCGCGTGATCTGGAGGGTAAAACCCTCCTTTCCCCCCCGCGTCGCCGCCGTCGCATCCGCCGCCGCCGCCGCCGCCGTCGTCGTCGTCGTCGTCGTCTCGCCGTCTCGCACGATCATCGCTGCCCTCCCCGCGGCTCTGCCGAACACCGCGCACTCCGTGAGCGCGTTGCCGCCGAGCCGATTCCTTCCGTGCGTCCCGCCGGTCATCTCCCCGACGGCGAACAGACCGTCCACGGGCTCGACGCCGCCGTCGTCGCGCGCGCGCACGACGCGCATAGCGTCGTCCACGCGTATCCCTCCCATCGTGTAGTGCACCACCGGGGTGACCCTTCCCGCGTAGAACGGCCCGCGAAGATCGAAACGTCCCGACGCGCGAAACGCCGTCTTGTTCGTCAGCGGGCACGGTTCCCCGCTCGCGGCGGCGTCGTCGTGCGCTCTGATCGCGTCCGTCACGACGTCGCGCGTGAGCTTCCCAAACGGCCGGCGTTTCACATCGCGCGCGCGAAGCGTCGCGTCCATCCAATTCGCGACGTCTTCCATCGTGTCGCGCCTCGCGAGCAGATTCTTTTTCACGTACATCGGCACGTGCTTATCCGCCTCCGCCGCGGCGACTGCGTCCAAGAGGATGACAAAGTTCAAGGCGACGCCGCCGCCGTTCGCGGCGAGCCCGCCCGCGGCCTCCTCCGCCTCCGCCTCCGCGATCATCGTATTCGTGACGTAATCCCTTCCGCCGAGCTCGTCGACGAACCGAACGCCGCCGCGCGTGAGGAGCACGCCGCCGGCGCCGCGTAAGATCTCCGCCGCGAGCGTCTTCGTCCCCGCGTCGACGTCGCTCGCGTCCACGAACCCGGTCGGGTGGATCTGCACGTTCTGGAGATCGATCGCGCTCGCGCCGAGTTTCATCGCCATCTTGTGCCCGTCGCCGACGCTCCCGGGCGTGTTCGTCGTCGCGAACCGCGTCGCGAACGGCGCGTGCTCTCGGAGCAACCCTTCTCTGTCTCCGGCGTATCCGCCCGTGGCGAGGATCACGTTCCTCGCGCGCGTCCATCCCGCGGTCTCGTTCGCGCCGACGACCCCGTCGAGCGGCGCGACCCATCGCACGCCGTCGACCGCGCCCGTGCGAGCGTCCGTCGTGATCTCTGTCGCGCGGTGACGCTTCATGACGGTGAACGCGCCGGAGGATCGGTACTCGTCGCACTTTTTCTGAACCCCGGACACGAGCGTCGAGCCAGCCATGCCGCTCGCGGGTCGGTGCGTCCGCGCGTGCGAGTGCCCGCCGAGTCTTCCAACTTTGCTCAGATCGACGCCCACGCGCGCGCGGAACCACTCTAAGGTCTCCACGCTCCCGCGCGTGAGCGCGGGGACGTGCTCGACGCTCTCCGGCGCCAGCGCGTTCCCGTTCCCGTTGTCCCCTCGCGAGTGTTTGTAACAGTCCTCCGCGTACGTCTCGACGGTGTCGGGGTTCTCGGGGTAATTCACGCGATCGACGCCGTTGATCCCGCTCGAGGCCCACTGCGAGTTCCCCCCGACGTACCCTTCTTTCTCGAGGAGAACGACGACGCCACCGCGGTCGAGGATCGTGAGCGCGGCGGAGAGGCCCGCGAGGCCGCCGCCGACGACGACGGCGTCGACGATGCGTTCGCGCTTCGTCGCCGTCGGCGTCTTCTCCGTCGTCGCCGCGGCGGCGGCCGGCGTCGCGAGCGCGCGCAGCGCGTGCTTCACAAACTTCCCCGGGGTATCCCGCGCGTAGTGTCGCGCGAGGGTCAGCACCCTGGCGTCCGACGCGAGCGCGGCGGCGATGACGGCGTCCTCTTCCTCCTCGGTCGCGTCGCCGTCGCGCGCCGCCGCCGCCGCCGCCCGCACGGCCGCGTTCATGAGCTTCCTCGTCGTCGTCTCGTCGGACCCGCCGGGAGGGTCGTCGTCGCTCGCGTCGGCGGAGCGCTCGGTCTTGCCCGCGGTCGTCGTCGTCGTCGTCGTCGCCGCCGCCTCCTCCCTCGCCGCGGCCGCCTCCCTCGCGAGTTTCTCCAGCTCCGGGGCTTTCAAAATCGCGTGCGAAAACTTCGCGGCGGTGTTCACGAGCGCGACGACTTCGCTCCTGGACAGCGCGCCGCGATGCAAGTGCTCCGGAAGCAGCAACACTTTGAGCGCGGTGCCCAGCCCTAACAGCTGCAGCTTCCCGTGCAGCTTGCACTTCTGGCACGAGATGCAGTCCATGACGTCGGAGATGTTGTGCCACACGCCTTTAAACTGCGTCTTCAGAGACGCCGCGGACGCGTCCGACGTCGACGAGATGGACGCGCGAAACAGCTCGCTCTCGTCGAAAGCGTCGAACACCCCCGCGCACGAGGACAGAATGTGCGTGTCCAACAGCCGTCGCATGAGCGCCTCCGTGCGCGCGTCTTCAACCGCGTCCTCGCCCAGTTTCACGTCCACGTCGAGCAGCGCCGGCGCGGCTTTACGCAGCGCTCTCAACAACACGACGAACGAAAAGTGCAAGTTTCGAAGCCGCTCCGGGTGCTCGCCGTAGTGCCGCGCGTATCGCTCCGGGTCCTCGCTCCACTCCGCGATCCCCGCGGCGCGCTTCGGCGGCTTCGCCCTGAGCGCGACGTGCACGTTCACGCTCGCGTGCATCCCGGACAGGAGACGGTACAGCACTCTCTCTTCGTAGCACAGCCCGTCGATTCCAGTCGATTCCGATTCGGACGCGCCGCCGACGATCGCGTCGCCGCCGCCGCCCATTACCTCGCGTCGTCCGTCCCTCCGTCCGTTCCTGAGGCAGTTCTCGTCGTAGATGGCGCGCCACACGTGCGAGCCGTTGTACCCGGTCCATCGCTCCGGGTTCCTCTTGAGGTTCACGTGCTCCGTCGCGTGCGTCTCCTGCGCGTCTTGCGCGCGACACATGTCCAGCCAAAACGTCGGCGACGACTCGTCCTCCTCGCAGTCCTCCTCCGGCGCGGACGCGGACGCGAGCGCGGCGTCTTCCCTGGGCGAGATCGTGCGATCGACCGGCGTCGTCGCGGACTGTCGCTCGCCGAGCCGCGGGTTATCGATCGGCGACGGCGGCGTCAGCGAGCACGACGGCGCCGCGGACGGCTCGAGGGACGGCGCGAGGGAGACGGCGCGGTCGCCGGCGAACGACGACGACGACGAGTGCGAGAACGCGGCGGACGCGGGCTCCTCGTCCGCGTCCGACGCGTCGCCCGCGGCGCACGACGGCGTCTCCTCCTCCGCGCCGGCGCCCGCGTCCTTCCCCCAGAACTTACACGGCCGGTTCAGGTCCACCGGGAACAAGCGCATGTACGTCGTGTCCGCGAGCTCGCCCAAGAGCTCGTGCAGCTCCTTCTCGTTCGCGAACTGCACGTCCTCGACGGTGCATCGCGCGTCCCCGACCGCGTTCGCGGACGGCGTCCACGGCGTCGCCGGCGCGGACGACGCGAGGGGGAGGAGGAACGCGAAGAGGATGCCGAGGAAGAGCGCCGCGCGAGAGACGCGACGACGCATCTCGTCCGTCCGCGCGCGTCCCCTCCCGCGCGCGTTCGACTGGATGGATTATTGACTGTTGTGGTGAAGATCGGAGCCGAACTTTCTACGAGCTTCTCCGAGCGTACTACGCGAGTACGGGGTCTCTAACTGTTTGCCTGTGTAACTTGTCCGGTCCGGGCCCAAGTTCACTCCAGGTTAACTCGGTTTTTCCTCGTCGACGCGACGCGACGTGGAGTGACGCCTTCGGACGAATCACCCGCGCCGGCGGGGTTGTTTTTTCCCGCGAAAGTTCCGCCCTACCCACTCCGTCGACGCGCGCCCGCTCGCGACGACACGAGGACTTTCACCGAGGACAGACTCGGGCTCGTCGGGTGCGCGTCTTCTCCGTCGTCTGCTCGCGCGCGGTCGTCGCGACCGCGCTCGCGCGCTTCCGTTCCCGCGTCGCGTCGCGCGTCCTCACACGTGTCGCTTTTGTTTGATTTCGGGAACGGGTACAACAACGTCAGATCCCGCGAGGGGGCGCCCCGGAACGCGCGCGTCGCCGCGTCCGCGGCGTTCTCCTCCGCGCCCTCGCCGCGTCGTCGCGCCGTCGCCGACCCAACGTCGACGCCGCGCCCTCTTCCTCGCGCCGTTCGCACCTCGCCGACGCGTCCCCTCCCCTCCTCCCGTCTTGTTGACGTGTCTCGTCCGCGTCTCTCTCGCCAGGTGATAAATTAATTGACCGGCGCACGCTCGAATCGTTCCTTTCAGTTCGTTCGCTCGCGATGACGAAGACCACGCGCGCGCGCGCGCTCGCGGGCGTCCTCGCGACGCTCCTCCTCGTATGCTCCTTCGCGCCCTCCGTCGCGGCGACGGCGTCCGACTCCGCCTCCCCCGCGGAGACGGAGCGGACGGCCGCGACGACGACCGCGACGACGACGACGACGACTTTGACGACGACGCTCGACCCGGTCGCGACGATCGAAGCGCGCTTCGATCGGTGGCTCGCGACGCACGGGAAGGCGTACGCGTGCCCGAAAGAGCGTGCGAAGCGACTCGCGATCTTCGCGGACAACGCGGAGTTTGTCCGCGTCCACAACGAAGCGCACGCGGCTGGGAAGAAGTCGCACTGGCTCAGACTCAACCACCTCGCCGACCTCACGCGCGAGGAGTTCAAGCACATGCTCGGCTACGACGCGTCCAAGAAGCGCGTCGAGTCCAGCAGCCCCCCCGTCGACGCCGCGAACTGGGAGTACGCGGACGTGACCCCCCCGGAGACGATGGACTGGGTGTCGAGGGGCGCGGTGACGCCAGTGAAGAACCAAGGCCAGTGCGGGTCGTGCTGGGCGTTTTCGACCGTCGGCGCCGTGGAGGGCGTCGTCGCGGTGAAGACCGGGGATCTGATCTCTCTGAGCGAGCAAGAGCTCGTGTCGTGCGCGAAGATTGGCGGAAACAACGGCTGCAAGGGCGGGTTGATGGACAACGGCTTCGAGTGGATCGTGGAGAACCGCGGCGTGGACGACGAAGAGGACTGGGGATACCTCGCGAAGGATCGACGCTGTAACTGGTTCAAGAAACGAAGAGCGAAGGCGGCGTCGATCGACGGCTTCAAGGACGTCCCCAGAAACGACGAGGACGCGCTCAAGAAAGCCGTGTCTCAGCAGCCCGTCGCCGTCGCCATCGAGGCGGACCACCGAGAGTTTCAGCTCTATTCCGGCGGCGTCTTTGACGGCGAATGCGGGACGAACCTGGACCACGGCGTGTTGGTCGTCGGGTACGGCTACGACGGCGAAAGCGCCGGGCACAAGCACTACTGGACGGTGAAGAACTCCTGGGGCGCGAAGTGGGGCGAGGAAGGGTACATACGCATCGCCCGGGGCGGCATGGGGCCCGCGGGGCAGTGCGGCGTCGCGATGCAGGCGTCGTACCCGACCAAGTCGAGCTCGGCGCCGTTGGAGGACGGAGACGAGCCGACGGTGTTGGACGCCGCGCTCGGGGCGGTGGAGGACGTCGCCGCGTGGGGGCAGGAGCGCGCGTCCACGGTGTTTCTTTGAGGAGGAGGAGGAGGAGGTGGAGGAGGTGGACGAGAGTCGATGTACGACGTACGAGATGCGAGATTGATGATTGACGAACGGGACGACGCGATGACACGAGAATTCTCTTTTGTAACGCGAACCGAATGTATGACAAGAGCGCGCACGTCTCCACGATGACTCGCGATTACATAAAACTAGTGAACTAACAGACGCTGCTAAAACCCCTAACCGTCGAGCGACCTGCGGCGCGGCGGAGCGAGGGGAAGCGAGCGGGGTGAGTCGCGATTCGAGGAGGAAAGAGATCGTCGAGGGAGAACGAGGTAGGTCGTTCTGTTCGCGTCGCGCGCAGCCGCGGCGTCAGCAGGATCCATTGGAAATTTTAATGGAGTCATCTGAGCGAGCCGCCAAGCCCGCTCTCACCAAAGGGTGCGATGCGCAGCTCATCACCCGCCGCGGCTGCTGACGAAAAAAAACAAAACCCGCGCGCGCTTCGAACGAATCGAGGCTCAGTCCTATCGATCGGTGATCAATCGACGACCTCGCGGGCCGCCGTCAACATTAGCATGTAGATATCTATCATAGCCTCGCGCGCGCGGGTCGGGAGGGTGGTACAACGCGCGACGCGCACCTCAGAGGTCGTCCAAAAAGTCCATTCGCTGCAACATCGATCCTTTGAGATTTTCCGCCGCCTTCTCCGCGTCCCGCGCGTGCTTGATCTCGTCGTTGCTCACCATCGTCAAACCCTCCGTCTCCTTAGACTCGTCCACTCCGCCCATCAGCACGACGTTCTCCCCGCGGACGATGTACAGACCCAGCGGGATGTCGCTGTAGGACTTGTTCACGATGATCCGCTCGACCGCGCCCTCGAGAACGATGTTCGCGAACTGATCGAACGAGCGCAGCGTCCCCAAGATCTTGCTTCCGTCGCGAAGCAGGACGAGGAGCTTCTTGTCGAGCTCGTCCACGAGGCTCGCGACCGCGCTGAGGTTCCACGTGTCCGTCATGTTCGAGGCTTGGGTCGATCGATCGCGAGCGCGCTCGAGTCTGATGACGCGAGGGCGGGGCGATTTCTGGAGTCGTCCTGCATCGTCAGCGTCAGTGGAGACTTCCGATAAACTGAACGGGCGCATCCGACCTTCCGACGAGCGACGGGGGAGGAGGCGCCAGAAGCGTCCCGCGCCGGACGCCCGACGTCGCCTCTCGCGTCTCACTCGCGAGAGGCGAGCGGGATGGACGGCGACGGCGACGGCGACTGGGGCGCGTTCGGCGAGGCCGCGGCGGAGCCGGCGGCGGACGACGCGCGCGAGACGGGGACGACGACGTTCGAGAACGACGACGCGCCCGCGCCCGCGCCTCGGAGGGGCGACGACGACGACGACGACTTCGGCGACTTCGGCGACTTCGGCGACTTCGGCGCCGCCCCGCCGGTCGCGACGACGGCGACGGACGAGGAAGGACGACGCGACGCCGACGAGGACGGCGGCTTCGCCGCGTTCGCGTTCGACGCCGCGCCGCCGCGCGCGACCGAGGCGTCGACGGTCGCGACGAAAGACGACGACGACTCCGACGGCTTCGGCGAGTTCGAGGCCGTGGACGAGCCGTCCGTGATCGTGCACGAGGGAAACAACACGTTCGACGACGACGACGACGACGAGGAGGTGGACGCGGCGGACGCGTCGCGCGTCGAGGACGACTCGCTCGCGCCGGACGACGACGACGACGACGCCTCGGGGTCGGACGCGTTCGGAGATTTCGGGGACGCGCCTCCGCCTCTCTCTCCGCCTCCGCCGCCGCCGCATCAGGATCCCTCGCCGCCGCCGCATCAGGATCCTCCCGCGGACGCCGACTTCACGGACTTCGGCGACTTCGACGAGGCGCCGCCTCCGACGCCGTCGCCGCCTCCGCCGCCGCCGGTGGACGAATTGAGGACGCGCGCGATGGACCTCTCGCGCGCGACGGGCGACGCTTTCGCCGCCGCCGCCGCCGCCGCGCTCGCCCGCGCGTTCGCGTCCGGCGACGCGTCGTCGTCGTCGTCGTCGTCGTCGTCATCTGCGCGCGCGAACGACGCGGCGACGGCGGCGTCGGCGTCGTCGTACGACGACGCGTGCGCGCGATTGCACGCGGCGGCGGTCGCCGCGCGGGCGCGCGCCGGCGCCGGCGACGGCGCGGCGCGACTGATGCGCGAGTGCGCGCGAGGGTGGGCGCCGGCGTCGGGTTGGGCGCCGCGGAGGACGCGCGGGGTGGGATCCGGCGTCGGCGCGAGGGCGTGGGACGCGTCGCGCGCGAGGGAGGAGTTGATCGCGCTGGTGGTACCGAGTCGCGAGGAGGAGGAGGAGGAGGAGGAGGAGGAGACGGCGAGGACGCCGGGGAAGGAGGCCGCGGGCGCGCCTCCGTCGCGAGCGGCGGAGACCGTCGAGGTCGAGGAAGTGCCTCTCGCGGCGGAGACCGTCGAGGTCAAGGAAGTGCCTCTCGCGGCGGCGCCGCCGCCGGCCGTCGAGGAGCCGGAGCTGGAGCCGGTCGCGGACGCGCCGGCGCGAGACTCGCCCGCGAGCATGTTTGGCGGGATGGACGTGTTCGACCGCGGCGAACAGGACGCGAACGACTGCGGCGGCGGCGGCGAGGACGAGGACGAGGACGAGGACGATTTCTCGGCGTTCGCCGACGCGGAGACGGGTGAAGTCGCGGAGGAACCGCCGGCGATCGCTCAGGAGTGGATTCTGCCGCCCGCCGTCGAGGAAGAGATCGCGGTTGAGGAGATTCCGGCGGCGGTCGAGGTAGAGGCGGCGGTCGACGAGCCGCCGCCGCCGCCGCCGCCGCCGCCGCCGCCGCCTCCTCCTCCTCCGGTCGAGGAAGCGGCTCATCCTGAACCTCCGACGGTCTCGGAAACGCCGGTGGTCGATGACTTCTCCGCGTTTGAGGAGGCTCCTTCGTTGGAACAGGCGGCGACGGCGGACGAAGACCCGACGCCGCCCGCGGTCGAGGAGTGGACGCCCCCGGAGCCGCCGCCGGCGTTTGAAGCGCCGCCGGCGTTTGAAGCGCCGTCTTCGCCTTCGCCTTCGCCTTCGCCCCCGCCGGTCGAGGAATGGTCGGCACACGTACCGTCGGGGTTCGACTACGCCGGCGCCTTCGAGGCGGCGCCGGTGGTCGAAGCGGCGCAGGTTGTAGAAGCGGCGCCGGTCGTCGAGGAAACGCTCGAGGTGGAAGAGACGCCGCCGGAAGAGACGGCGCCGCCGCCAGCGGTGGAAGAGGCGCCGTCGGCGGCGTTGGAAGAGGCGCCCCAAGCGGTGGAAGCTCCGCCGCCGCCTCCGCCGCCGCCGCCGCCCGCGCCGGCGGTCGACGCCGCGGAGGCGTACCCGTCGTCGTCCGCCACCGCGTTTTCGCCGTATCTCATCGGCGAGTTCGCGTTCGATTCCATCCCGGAGCCGGCAGCCCCCGCGCCGCCGCCGGTCGCGAGGCCTCCGCCCGCGGCGGAGCCAGAGCTCGCGCCGTCGGTGTTCGCGTCCGCGGCGGCGACGACGGGATTCGACTACGCCGGCGATTTCACCGGGTTGGGGGCTTTGCCGGAGGCGGTCGCGAAGCCGCACCCCCCGCCGCCGCCGACGGCGGCGGCGGCGGCGACGGCGGCGACGTACGCGCCGGTGGCAGAGCCGCCGCCGCCGCCGCCGCCGCGGCCGCCGCCGGTAGAGAACAGAGACGCGTTCGATGACCTGTTCGGTCCGGTGTCGAACGCGCCGTTAGCTTTCGAGTATTCCGCCGGGTGGGGGAGAGACGCGGTCGCCCCCGAGCCGGTCGCCGCGGCGCCGCTGAAAACGGAAGCGCCGACGGAAGAACCCGCGATGGAACCCGAGGAGGCGTGGGGTGCGCCTCTTCCGACGATCGCAAACGACGAGGCGATCGACGTCGGCGCGTTCGCGGCGGTCGAAGCGCCGCGCGAGGACGCGGAGCCGACCCCGACGCCGCCGGTCGTCGAGGAGGAAGAGGACGAGGACGACTTTGGCGCGTTCGCGGCGGTGGCGGCGGCGCCGCCGCCGCCGCCGGACGAATTCGGGGACATGTTCGGCCCGCCTTCGACTAACGCGGCGATGCGCGCGCACGCGAATCCCATCGTCGTCGCCCCCGCGCTCACCGCGCCGACGACGGCGTCGTCGTCGACGGCGTCGACGGACGACGCCTTCGGGTTCGCGACGTCCGCGCCCGAGGCGCCTCCTCCCGAGGTGCCTCCTCCCGCGGCGGTCGGGCTCGACGACAGCTTCTCAGATTTGTTCGGCGCGCCGATGGTGAACACGCCTCTGGAAACGCCCGTGGAGATTGCGTTCGCGCCGCCGCCACCGCCACCGGTCGTCGAGACCGCGCCGCCGCCGCCTTCGGACTCGTTCAGCAGCTTTGACGTCGCGACGCCGACGGGGGACGGGGAGGAGGAGGACGACGAGTTTGGCGATTTCGACGCCGCTCCGGTCACGCCCGCGCCTCCTCCGCCGCCCCTGCTCCATCCCATCGGCGGCTGCGCGGGTGCGAACGACTTCGACATGTTCAGCGGCATGAAGATGAAGACGCCGCCGGACTGGTCGAAGACGGCGGCGGCGACGGCGCCCGCGCCCGCGTCCGCGTCCGCGCCCGCGCCCGTCGTCGAGGAAGAGGAGGACGATTTCGGAGATTTCGCGCCCGCGCCCGCGTCGATCGTCGCGCCGCCGGTCGTCGCCCCCGCGCCTCCGGTGAGACGAGAGGTGCCGCTCGACGCGTTCGGTTTCGGAGGCGCGGCGATGGGCGCTCCGACGACGACGGGGCTCGCGGGCGGCGGCGGGTTTGATTTCGGCGGCGGCGGCGGCGGCGGCGGCGGGTTTGATTTCGGCGGCGGCGGCGGCGGCGGCGGCGACTTTGGAGGTTTCGTCGCCCCGACGCTGCCGGTGATGGGGTACGCGCAGCAGATATTGGCGTCGATGCCACCGCCGCCACCGCAGAAGACGAACACGAAGGACGCGTTCGCGGATTTGGGCGCGTTTAATAAATAGATAGATAGCAGCACACACGCGTTGTCGATTCGAAAAAGTTCGATAAAAAAACTAAGTTAAGGTTCTACGAAAGGTACACCCGTTGCGTCGGTCTCCCCTTAAAGCTCAGCATGTTGAGCTCCGAGCGCAGGTTCTCGATCTCGTTCGCCTGCGCGTTGATCACCTCCACGAGACGGTCCCTCTCCGCGATGTCCTTCCGTCGCGCCGCGTCCGGGTCGATGAACACCGTTTTCTCCGATGTTTTCAGCTCGTGGTTTAAATCGCGTTGCGTCTTCGTGAGATCCGCGACGGCGTTTAAGCACGCGGTGTTCTCCGCGGTCATCCGCGTGAGCTCGTCCTGCGCGTCCACGATGCGCTTGGACCACTGCTTCATCTCCTCGCGGTTGCTCATCTCGAGGGATTTCATCTGCTCTCTCAGCTCCGGGACGCCCTTTTTCGGTATCGAAGCCGCCTCGAGCGCGTCCAGGTCGACGAGCTGACCAAACTTGAGCATCTGCAGCTCCGTCGCGCGCGCGTCCAAGACGTCAATCTTGTCCTGCCTCGTCGCGCACGCGTTCTGCAGATCGATGTTCGTCCCTCGCAAGTCCCTCTGCTGCACGCGAAGCGCGGCTTTCTCGTCGATGAGTTCGTCGATCCGGCGTTGCAGCCCCTCGAGTGCGGCGCGGGAAAAGTACAAGCCTTCGCTGAGATCCGCGGGAAGCTTTTCGTTCCGCAGGTACGACATCTGTCGCATCCGAAGCGTCACCGGGACGTCGATTTGGTTCAGCGAGTTTTGTTTCTCTTTCTGGAACGCCTCCATCTCTCGTTCCGTGTTCTTCAGCGACGTCAGGACGTTCGAGAGCTTCTTCGCGAGGAAATCGCGCTCTTTCCGATCCGTCTCTGTGATTTTGTTGATCTCGAGTATGACGTCGTCCTCGTCTTGCCGCCGCTCGCGAATCTCGAGGACGGCGTTCCACAGCTTCTCGTCGCACCCGGTCGGGATCGCCTCTTCCTCTTCCTCGTCCGAGTCTTCGTACTCGGAGTCGTCGTCGTCGTCGCTGTTGCTGTCCTCGTCCGACTCCGCGACTTCTTCTTTTTCCTCCTTCTTTTTCGCGCGCCGGACGCGTTTCGTGAACACCTTCTGCAGGTACTCCCGGTGCGCGTGCTCCTCCGGAACTAAGCCGCCGAACTCCTTCACCACCTTCCGCTTGTTCTCCGTCACGACCGCGAGCTCCTCCGCTTTCTCTTCGACGCGGCACTCGATCTCGAAAACCTTGTTCTCGAGTTCGGTCTTCTCCGCGTCGCGCTCTTCGATTTTGCCGAGAAGCGTCTTCTCGCGCTTCTCGAACAGCTTCAACTGACGAAGTTCCTCGAGCAACACGAGCTGCTTGATGTCCGCGGTCTTGCACTCGTACTCCAACGCGCTCTTCTCGCGTCGCAACTCCCTCAGCGACGCGTCGAAGGACGTCAGAAGCCTCTGGCGGCGCTGCACGAGCGACGCGCGCTCGTGCTTCAACGCGAGCGCGAGACATTCGAACTCTTTCACCTCAATCTCGGTGCCGGGGTAGTTCTGGCGCTCGACGCGGCGCGAGTCACCAGCGCTCTTTCTCGCGTCCGCGGCTTCATCGTCGACAGCGTGCGCGTTCGCGTCTGCGGCGGGGTTCGACGCCCTCGCCTTCGCGTCCGTCTCCTTCGCGGCGTCCGCGTCCGCGTCTTCGTCGTCGTCGTCGTCGCCGCCCCCGCCTCCGAAGCCGCCCAAGCTGCTCGCGGCTTCCTTCGCCGCCGCCTCCGCGGCTTTTTTCTTCGCGAACGCGTTGAGCTGCGCGTCGGTCACGACGCCCCGCGCTTCCGTGGGGTACTCGTCCGCGAGCGGCGTCGCGACGAAGTGCCCTTCGATCGCCGCGAGCGCTTCTACAGCCTCCGGGGAGTCGCCGTCGTTCAGTTCGTCCGTGATCTCCCTCACTCTTTTCGCGCCCGCGACGACAGTCTTCACGATGTCCGCGCGCACGTCCCGCAGCGCGAAGAACTTCTCGTTGAACTTCATCTTCATCGCGTGCACGGCCTCTTCGTGGAACAGCATCTGTCGCTTCTTACGGTTGTAATCCACGCGTTGGTCCTCCGCGACGAGAAAATCCGGATCAGACTTGAGCTTGAAGTCCCCGAGCGTCGCCTTCGCGGTCGCGATCGCGGCGACGTCCACGGGGTTCTCCTCCTCAGGGTCCGGCTTCGTCGCGTTGAAGGCTTTCCATTCCTTCTCGCGCGCCTTGCGGTGCTTGCGTCGGAGTTCGTACTTGGACTTGTTTTCGTCGTCGCCGTCATCCTCGGACTCTTCTTCCTCGACTGGGGCGTTTTTGTCAACCTTCACGCGCGTTCGCGGCTGCGCTTGCGCGCGCTTCGGCGACCCTTTCACGCTGTTCGCCTCCTCCTCTCGCGCTTTAGCGATCTCCTCGAGGAGCGATTCAGAGAGTTTTGCGACTCTGCAGCTCGTGACCGAGTACGCTTTCCTTCCTTCCGCGAATGACCTTAACACGACGCGTTCAACCTGCACGGGGTCCAAAAACTTCGCGCGGAGCTTCTGTAGGGCAATCTCCGTTCGCTCTTTATCCCACGCGAACTCCCTGTGCGCGCGCGCGATCTTCTCCTTCGTCTCCGCTTCGACCATCTCCCTCAACCCGGGGTCGACCTCGAACGCGTCCAACGGCAGACGCTCTGCCTCGGGTTTGCTCTCGTTCTCTCGCAGGAGCTCTAAAAACTCCCCCTTGAGCTTCTCGAGATACCCCTTCACGCCGAGCTTCTTCGCCTCCGCTTCCGCCCGCAGCTTGTCTTGCTCCGCTTTTTGCTTGTCCTCCTCAATCGAGTACACGCTCGTGGACGTGATGTCGGTCACGTCCGGGATTTCCTTCTCCAGCGCGGCGGCAGCCTCCTCCGCGAGCGTCGGCGTCTCGTCCGCCTCGAGCTCTTTCGCCTTCTTCTCCGGCGAGCCCTCTCCTTCGCCTTCCACGACGGACGAGAACTCGGACCCGAGCGCTTGCACGAAGAAAGACCCGTCCATCGACGTGCTGAGAACGAACGCATCGTCCCTGGAGATGGCGACGCCGGTCACGGCGCCGTACCCGGCGTCGTGGACGTCGCCGTGCCAGTACGTCTTCGCGCCGTCTTTTCTCGCGCGCACGGTTCCGTCCTCGTACCCGACGACTCGGAGCTTCCCGGACGCGCTGACGCTCTGGGACGTGATGCACGAGCCGTGCGTCGTCTTCGTCTCGTGCGGCTTCGGGTTGTCGAACCCGCACGTGAAAATCTTCCCGGTCGCTTTGCCGCCGACGGTGAGCTCGAACCAGCCTTCTTCGGAATTTTTGACGTAACTCAACGTCTTCACCGGATACACCGACGCGCGCTCTTCGTCGTCGAGCTCCGCTTGCATTCTCGCGACTTCTTTCGCGCGGTCCTTCGCGTCCGCGGGGTCCAAGTCTTGGCCGCCGCCGGGGACGAGCTCCTCCGCGGTCGGCCGCGGCCGGTCGAACACGTATTTCGTCGTCTCGCACGCGATCTCGAACGTGTGCGACGCGTCGTGAGTCTCCGGCGCGGGAACCTCGACGATGTCCCCAGTCTCGCACCCGACCAAAACCTTCGTCCCGCACGGGGACCACGTCACGACGGACACCGGTCCGGGCGCGGTCACGAACCCGATCGGCTCGAGGTCGATCCCCTTCCCGGGGGTGGACAGGAAAAACACCGCGCCGTCGACGGACCCGGTCGCGAGCGTCCTTCCGTTGGGCGAGTACGCCGTCGTCGTCACCTCGTCCCTGTGCGGCTTCACGCAGTCGACTAAACGCCACCCGTCCGCGCACCGACGGAGAACGCGGACGACGCCGTCGTCGTACCCGGCGATGACGCACCTGCCGGTTCGGTCGACGTGACTCGGGAGCAGGGAGATCGTCGACGCGGGCGCGCACGATTTGACGGAGAAGAGCTCTCTCTTCCCGACGTAATCGAAACACCGCACGGTGCCGTCCGCGCCGCACGTCACCGCGTGATCGCTCGTGGTAAACGCCTCTAAACCCGTGATCGCGCCCGCGTGGAAGCTCACGAGCTGCTCGCTCGTGCTCGGCGCGCCCGTCTCCGTGAGCTCCACGCGCACGAGCGCGCCGTCCTCGTCCTGCACCAGCCAGTGGTCCGGCTGGGTCATGACGACGCTCTTGACGCTGACCGGGGCGTCGTTCGCCTTCGTGATCAAAAGCTCCGCGATCGGTTCGACGAGCACGACGATGCTGTCCTCCCCGGGCTCGGCGTCGTTCACGCTCGCGAACGACCACGTCTTCACGTATCCGTCCGCGGCGGCGGTGTAGATGACGTCGCCGACGAGGCGGACGACTTCGATCATGCCGTCGTGGCACGGCTTCCCTTCGCCGTCGTCGCCGCCGGGGACGAGCAGCACAGCCTTGATGAGGCCGCCGTCCCACAGTAGCATCCTTCCGGACTCCGTGCCGGAGAGAACCTTGCCGTCCGGAAGCTCCGCGTAGCCGGCGATGTCGGACAAATCCTCGTTCCCGAACCGCCCGATCTCGCCTTGGAGCTTCAGACCGGTGAACGTCTCCGCCATTTTCCAAAAGCGGACGTGTCCGGTCCCCGAAGTCGTGAGCTGCCCGGGGAAAAACGGCGAGAACTGCACGTCGAACACGTCCTGCGAGAACGCTTTCGATCGCAACACGATGCTCTCCGTGCGCCAGTCCCACAGCGTGAGCCAGAAGTCCGGGAACCCGCCCACGGTCGCGAGCGTGTCGCCGTCCGGGGAGAAACGCCCGCACGCGTACGACCTCTCGGTGCCGCCGCGCATAATCTTCCTCAGCTTCATCCGCGGGTACTCGTACACGTACACGTTCGGGTCCGTGCCCTTCTCGCCGACGGCAAGGATGCGCTTCGACGGGTGCACGCACACCATGCCGACGCCCTTGCCGTCGACGCCGTGAAGGTACGTCTGCGCCCCCGTGACGAGGTGCAACGTCTGCACCTCGTTGCCGACGGTGAAGACGACGACGTCGGGCGCGATGTAATGCAGGTTGTTCCGCTTCGTGGACTCGAACCCGAACGAGTGGTACACGCTGACCGCGGTTCGAGGCATCTCGTCCCCCTCCGGTCGCTTTCGGAGGTTGTTCTGGTCGTACGCCCGCTCGTGCTCCGCGCGGCGGCGTTCGAAATCTTCGCGCGCGAGTCGACCGCGCTGGACGGCGTCTTTCCTTGAGACGTCCACCGCGTTCTCCTCGTCCGTGCCCTCGAGCGCGGCCGCGAGGGCCGCCTCCGCGGCGGCGACGATGATCGCCGCGTCCTCGCGCTCCTTCTGAAGCCGCTCCTTCTCCTCGCGCGCTAGACCGCCGCTTTGCAGCGCTTCGTACATCTCGAGCGCGTTTTTATCCTCGCGCGACACCTCCTCGAGCTGCACCTCGCACAGGCGCGAGTCGATGCGCTGCAGCATCGTCGCCGCGGCGACTTTTTCGCTTCGCAGCTTCGCGCGATGCGCGAACGACCGCTGCGTCTCTTGGAGCTCTTTGATCATGATCTGAATCGCGTCCGAGCCTCGCATCTCTGGCTCGACGTCCGCGTTGACGATGACCGCCTCGGCGTCCGCGGCGTGGACGTCCGCCGCGGCGACGTGCACCTCCACGAACACGCACTTGCTCTCGCACTCGAGCTTCTTCGCCTTGAGCTGCGCGACCGCGAACCGGCACTCTCGGCCGCGTCGGATGACGTCCATCTTCGCCGCGGCGGAGTCCTCGTCTTCTTCCCCTGTGTACTCCTCGACGTTGAGCTCCTCCTCGTCCGCGGCGATCGCGGCGTCTTCCGCCTCCGCGAGCTCTGCCACCACAGCCTGGACTTCCGCCTCCGCGGCGAGCATCGCGGCTTCGCTGTCCGCGCTCGCAGCCTCCGCGCTGTCCTTCTCGTCGCGCATTCGCTGCATGCCGCTGCGCGCCGCGCGCCCGCGCGCGAGCGCTTGAATTTTCGTCGCCGCCGCGTGCTGCTCCTTCGAGCCTTCGAACATGATCGTCATTTCCTTCTCTTCCGTCGCTTTCTCCGCCTCGAGCGCGGCTTCGCGCTCAATCTTGAGGCGCTCCACCTCCGCGCGCGCGGCCCTGCCGCGCTGCACCGCCTGGAGTTTCGTCGCCGCGGTGTGCTCCTCCTCGGTGCCGTCGAAGGCGGCATCCGCGGCTTCCTCCGTGAGAAGCTTCGCCTCCACCGCCGCGCGCTTCGCTGCGGCCTCGTCGTGCTCCGCCTTGAGCTTCGCCCTCGCGGCGCGGCCGCGTTGCATCGCTTGAAGCTTGACCGCCGCGGCTCGTCGCGCCTCTTCTTCGGAGATCTCGGGGGTCTCTTCGTCCGAGGCGTTCGGGTCGGACGCGCGCGCCTCCGCGGGCGGCGCGTCCGGGTCGATCGCCGCGTCCGCGGCCGCGTTCGCCTCCGCGGCGATCTTCTCCGCGGCGTCAGCATCTTCCGTCGCCGCCTTCGCCGACGCGTGCGACGCGCGCGCTTCCGCGGCGAGCTGCTGCGCTCTGAGCTCCGCGACTTTCGCGCGCGCGGCGCGGCCGCGTTGGATGCTCTGCAACTTGATCGCCGCCGCGTTCTCGTCGTCCGTCGCGACGCCGCGGAACTTGATCTTCTCCGCTTCTTCTTCCTCCTCCGCGGCCGCCGCGGCGTCGGCTTCCGCGACGCGCACGCGCGCGCCGAACGCGGCGGCGTCGAGCTCCGCGGCCGCGGCTTCCTCGCGCATCAAATCCACGGACGTCCGCGCCGCGCGCCCGCGCGCGACGGCTTGGATCTTCGCCGCGGCCGCGTTCTCCTCGTCCGTGCCTTCGAGCGCCGGCGCCTGTGGGGTGTTGGAGCGGAGGTTGGGGTTGGGAAGGTGGTCGGCATCGCGTCGTCGGGGTGGGGAGCGCTCGGGGACGGTCGCGATCGGAGGGGCGGGCGGTTCTTAATCGAGTCGCGGCGAGTCAAAAATTGCGTTCGGTGGCTCGAGCGCGAGCGAGCAATCGCGCGCACCTCATCGTCCCCCATGGTGTCCGACCCCCGGACGCGAGCGACGATGTCGCCCCCGCGCGGCTCGCGTCGTTCGCTCGCGCCCGCTCGTCAAGCCGCGGCGCTCGTGTGTGTCCTACCGCGCGCCCCTCGGGCTCTTTTTCGAGATTTTCCCCGTTCAAGCGGATGGACGCTCTCGCGCGTGTCCAAATTCGTCGTCGCGACGACCGAACGAGATCAGTGCTGGGGACGCCGAGACGCCGCGCGCAGTGGCGGACGGTCGTCATGCCGATCATCACCGTGGCCGGGAAGCTGAACGAGGCGTCGTTCCAGAGGTGCAAGAAAGCGGCGGAGGTGCGCCGCTCGCCGCTCGCCGTCCGCCGCCGTCCGCGCGCGTCCCGCGTCCGTCGTCTCTGAATTTTCCTCTCGTCGGTCGATCGATCGCGCGCGGACTCCCATACTGGTTCCCATACGACCGCGTTGGCGTGGTGAACGCCGATCCTTAAGGACTTTGCCCGGCGTGTCTCTGCGCCCACACCTCGCTTTCAATACCCGCCCTCGACGCCTTTCAACGCCATCTGACGCCTTTGGACTCACCCGCGCGTTTCCCTTCTTCTCTCTCTCGACAGTACCTCGCGGCCGTGGACCCTAAGTTCAAGTGCAACGTGATCAGTCTCCTTCCGATAGACTACGAGCTGTACCTCCCCGGCGCGCTCGAGAAGTTCCCGAAGGTGAAGCGGCACGTCGCCCCCGTGGTGTGCTTCGCGAACGGGACGCACGACTTTTTCATCGGCGACGCGGAGCGATTCATGCTCTACCTTCGACAGAAGTGGGACTACGTGGACGGGACGCACGCGATCTTCTACGAGCGCGCGGCGACGATGCACATGCGCGGGTACATGGAGAAGAGCGGTCGCGAGTTCTGCGAGATGGAGATCTTGATCGACGAGGAGGAGGGCGCGGGCGACGACGACGAAGAGGACGACGGGAAGGCGAAGGCGTCGGCGAGGAGCGAGGGGAAGCTCGTCTTCGAGCTCTTCACGGACGTCGCGCCCAAGACGTGCGAGAACTTCAAGGCGTTCGTCCTCGGCGGGGACGAGCGCGTCGGCGGGAGAGGCTACGAGGGGACGCCGGTGAGTCGAACGGTACGGGACGGGTGGATACAGGCTGGGGACGTGATGAATAAGTGGGGGTCGGGGAAGATCTCAGTCTACGGCGAGACGTTCCCGGACGAGGTCTTGAAGGTGCGACACGACAAGGTCGGGATCTTGTCCATGGTTCGGATGGAGAAGAGGGACAGGAACGGCTGCCAGTTCTTCGTCGCGCAGTGCCCGCTGCCGTTCCTCGACGGTCAGCGCGTCGCGTTCGGGAGGCTCATCGACGGGTGGAGGGTCATGAAGGTTCTGAACAAGCTTGACGCGTACCACACGTACAGGCCGCGTCGGGGCGTCACGATCGGGAAGTGCGCCATGATCACCGCGCCGGGACCGGCGGAGGTTCAGAAGGAGGAGTGAACGAGACGAGACTCGCGTTAGGATTCGTTTAATTAAGTCACGCGAGACGACGCTCCCCCCCCCCCGCGGTTGCTCACGCGGACATCTCCGCGTTGAGCTCTTCTAATTTTTCGCGTTGCTCCATCGCCTGACACGCGCCGATGGCGGGCGAGACGTCGCCGTTCATGAACCCCTCCAAGGGGAAGTTCTCCCCCACGCGGTGGTCGCTCACGCGGTTATCTTTATAGTTGTACGTCCGGATCTTCTCCGACCGCGCGCCGCTGCCGACTTGCGCTTTCCGTCGCCCCGCGACCTCTTTCGCCTGCTCCTCCATCTGCAGCTCGAAGAGACGCGACCGAAGGATCTGCATCGCGCGAATGCGATTCTTCAGCTGCGTGCGTTCCTCCGTGCAAAAGATCCGAATCCCCGTGGGCTTATGCACGAGATCCACCGCGGTCTCGACCTTGTTCACGTTCTGCCCGCCCGCGCCGCCGGACCGCGCGGTCGTGAGCTCGATGTCCTTGTCGTCAATCTTCACCTCGACCTCGTCCACCTCGGGCATCACCGCCACCGTCGCCGTGGACGTCTGTATCCGTCCTTGCGATTCCGTCGCGGGGACTCTCTGCACGCGGTGCACGCCGGCTTCCCACTTCAGCTCGGAGTACACGCTGTCTCCGACGAGCTCGACGACGATCTCTTTGTACCCGCCGCTGTCCGCGGGGTTCGTCGTGAGCACCGACGCCTTCCAGCCCTTGGAGTCGGCGTACCGCGAGTACATCCTCCACAGGTCGCCGGCCCAGATGCCAGCCTCGTCCCCGCCCGTCCCCGCGCGGATCTCGAGCACGATGTTCTTCTCGTCCAGAGGGTCTCTCGGCAACAGCGCCATCGTCATCGACTCCTCGAGCGCGTCCATCTCCTCGTTCAGCGCCGTCGCTTCCTCGCGAGCCATCTCCCCCATCTCGAGGTCCCCCGCCGCGTCCTTCACCATCGCCTTCGCCTCCTGCAGCTCCTCGATGCATTCCTTGTACCGCGCGTACTGGTCCACGACGGAGGTGAGCTCCCCCAGGGCTTTCGAGAGCTTCTGGAACTCCTTCGCGTTCGACGCGACGTCCGGGTCCGCGAGGCGGAACGTCAGCTCCTTGTGCGTCTGCGTCGAGGACTCGAGCTTGTCGATCAAGAATTTCGGCGCCGCCGGCGCGACGTGCGACGGCGTCGGGCGCGTCTGATTCGGTCGGAGATGGACGGACCGACGCCACGGGCGACGAGACGTCGACGGCGTCGACGTCGAGGGCGCGAACGCGCAGCGCATCGTGCGTGCGGCGGCCATCGTCGGTGTGACGCCGACGCGACGACGCGCTGAGGGTTAGGTTTTATCGGTCGTCGAGAAGACCTGACCGGGCTGCGGCCCGGATGACGCGGATTTCAAAAACAGCTGCGTGACGCCCCGTCACTCCTTTCGCGCGCGCGGTCGAACGCGGGGTCGGTTCCGATGGGCGCGGACGCCGAGGACGACGACCACGTCCCCGTGGTCAGCACGGAGCTCTACGACGCGGACTTCGACGCGTTCGTCAAGGCGCGCAACGCGCGCGTCTCGCGGCCCGCTCGCGTCCCGTCGTCGCATCTTGTTTCTTCTCTCCTCGTCCCAGATTCGGAAGTGCCCAGATCTCGTTCGCTCACGCCCGTCCCCTCGTCCTCGTTCGCCCTCCTCAGGCCCTCGGCGCGGCGTACGAGAAGTACGGCTTCGTCATCCTCCAGAACCACGGCGTCCCCGACGAGCTCATCTCCCGGTCGCTCGAGTGCAGCAAGCGCTTCTTTGCGCTGTCGTCGGAGGAAAAGATGCGGTACCACCTCCCCGGCTTGGGCGGCGCGCGCGGGTACACCGCGTTCGGCGTCGAGACCGCGAAAGGCAGCGCGCATCACGACCTCAAAGAGTTCTGGCACCTCGGCAGGGACCTCCCGGTCGGTCACCCCCTCGAGAGATACATGCCCCCGAACGTCCGCGTCCGCGAGGGCGACTTCACGTCCGCGACGACGGAGGTGTACCGCGCGTTGGATGCGCTCGGCGGCCGCGTCCTCGAGGCGCTCGCGGTGCACCTGGGGCAAACGAGAGACTACTTCGCGGACAAGGTGAACGAGGGGAACAGCATTCTGAGGGTGATTCACTACCCCGCGCTGGTCAAGGAGGGGCAGGACGTGAACGAGGCGCTGTCGAAGGCTGGGCACGTGAGGGCGGCGGCGCACGAGGACATCAACCTCATCACGTTGCTCTTGGGCGCGGACGAGGGGGGGTTGGAGCTGCTGCGGAGGGACGGGAAGTGGATGGAGGTGAACCCGCCGCCCGGGTGCGTGACGTGTAACATCGGGGACATGCTGCAGAGGCTGTCGAACCACCGTTTGCCGTCGACGACGCACCGGGTCGTGAACCCGAAGCCCGAGCGCACGGCGTTTCCGCGGTACTCGATGCCGTTTTTTCTGCACCCGAACCCGGACTTCGTGATCGACACGCTGTCGACGTGCGTCAGCGAGGAGCACCCGAACCGGTACCCGGAGCCGATCACCTCGGACGAGTACCTGCAGCAGCGTCTCCGGGAGATCAAGCTGAAGTGATGAGAGGGAGAGGGGGGGGGGGCGGGGGGCTTCGGAGCTGGACGACGACGCGGACGAACGAGAGCACGAAACGCGAAAGCGACGAAAGAGAAGCGTAAGGATAGCACTTATACGATAGAGTCAACGATTTTTTACACGACGTCGAGAAGACGAACGACCTACAGCACTCACTCTCACCGGTCACGGCGCAGAGATCGCTTCCGGCATCGGCCACACGTTCTCCGCGTCCAAGTCCACGTTTAAGCTCGCGTCGTACGCGTCTAAATACTCCGTCACCGTCGGCGCGCCGTCCTCGTTCTTCAGCAACCCCATCAACTTCACGAGCTTTGGAACTTCCGGGAACGCTCTCTCCAGGTCCGTCAGCGCCACCGCGGCGTTTTTCGCGTTCATCTCCTGCAGGACGCTCCCCAGCTTCACCACCGCGAGGTTCACGCCGCCGGTTATTTTGACTAAATTTTCGCTCTCCTCCGGCTCGTAGGCATCCGCGGTCGTGGCCTCGACGAACGCGGACACGAACCCGGTCGGGTACGCCGTGAACGGGCTGTCCTCCATGGACGCGCACACTCGAATCGGCCCTTTGTGACATTCGCCCGCGCCGCGCGTCTCTATCGCGCGCGTCAGTTCCATCACGCGCCGCGTCGTAGACTCCAACGAGACGATCGAGCAGTCCGGGTACACGATCGCGATCCCCGTCGTCTCCGGGGTCTCGTCGTCCTCCGACGCCGTGGACGCGATCAGCGACGTCCAGTGCGCGTGGACGTCGTCCTTGGAAGTCATCCGAGTCGCGTTCTCGCACAGGAGGACGACGCGCGCGGAGATGCTTCCGGGGCCGTGCGGCGCCTGCGGTCGGGACGGAACGAGGACGGAGCGGGCGAATGAATAATTGACGGGCCGACGTCGGCGAACGAGACGCGCGGGGGATCGATATCGAGGGCTACGGACGCCGCGAGAGACGCGCACCTTCCCCTCATCCGCGAGCTTCTGTTGCACGACCCCGAGCAGGGACTCCTTGGACGCGTCTAACACGTCCGCGAGGTCCTCGCGCCAGCTCTGATGCGGGTCCACGGGGGCCGCTTTTGGCTCCGGCCTCTCTATAGGCATCGCGTCCGACGCGCGCCGTCCGGGCGCGTGGCGGTGCTACGAACGCGTCTACGCGGTGCGACGGACGCGTGGGCACGGCGATGCTCCGCGAACCACCCCGGGGCGCGTCGCTCGCTGTGCGAACGCGCGGGCGCGAACGAACGTTTACGATGGGAAGATCGGTCGTCGTGGTCTGGTGTCTGGTTTCGAGATCCAAATTTTCACAACCAAATTTTTCTGTCGTCGCTCGGCGAGCCGTCTCGTGTCGTACACTACACGTAAACTAACACTTCCCCTCTTCCCGAGTGCTGTCCGGGACGCAGCACGCGGCGCCGTCCGCGACGCACCCGCTGCTCTCCGCGAGCGCGCATCCGGACGGGTAGCAGCACGCGTCGTCCACGACCGCGAGCTCTTTCGGCGCGGAGGAAATTTTCTCTTCGTCCACGCCGAGCCAGTCGACGCACCCGAGCGCGGCGCGTCGCGTCGCGCGCGCGGCGTTGATCTGCCGCGAGATGGCGCGCGCTTCCGCGAGCTCGGACGTCGTCGCGTTCGCGTCGCTGATGATGTCCGCGGCGCGGTACCATCCGCCGTACCCGTAATAGTCTTCGCGAGCGGAGGAGCGCGTGAGCGTGGAACGGAGAAAGAAGAAACAGAAGGAAGTGTGCGAAGACAGGGAGGAAGGAGAAGAGGCGCCGCGAAGCGCACCGCAGTAGTACGGGTACGACCACGCGTAGTTCCACTTGTAGGTGGACCCCCAGTATCCCCAGTATCCCCAGTATCCCCACCATTTTCCTTGCGGCGTCGGCGACGGGTGGTCCGTCTCGACTACCGCGCCTCGCCTCTCGGTGGAGCCGACGCGAGCCTCTTGGTCCCGCAACTCGTCGCGCTCGCGTTCCTTCTCGTCGCCGCGCTGCTTTCGCGCGTGCGCGGCGGGCGCGCACGCGAGGACGACGACGAGGCACAGCGCGATCGCGCGCGTGGATCGATGCATGACGGCGTCGGCGTGCGCGAGGAGGGTCTGCGCGCGCGGGAGGGAGGCCGACCTGCGGGGATGAGACGAAGGCGGCTCAGTCCGAGAAACTAACTGTCTCCAAGACCGAGAGAGAAGCGAGTCTAAACATCAGCTCTTCCAACGCGACGTTTTGAAAGTGTCGTCTCTCAGATCCCGCCGCGCCACGCGAGCACGACGCGAGCGAAGGACGAAACGCGCGTCGAAGACGCACGCGGACGCGCGCGAGTCGCCGCCGCGATCGCGCGCCGCGCGTGACGCGAACCAACGCGCCGCGACGTCGCGTCCGCGTCCGGGGAGAAAGTAGGCATACCTGGAAAAGATCGTCCGCCGTCGTCGTCGTCCACCCACGCACCCATCACATCATGTCCGAGGACGGCGAGCTCCTGGACTACGACAGCGCGTCGACGACGCCGAGGTCGAGCGAGTACGACGACGCGGACGTGCAGATACGCGCGGAGTCGGAGTCGGAGACGCCGCCGACGCGGCGGCGGTCGCCCGCGCGAAGACCGAACAGCGCGCTCGCGGCCGCGCTCGGTCGCGCCGAGCGCGCGCGCGAGGGCGTGGAGGACTTCATGAACGACATTCACGAGGCGTACTCGTTCGACCTGGACCCGGAGTACCGCGTGAAAGTCGTGAAGCGGTTCGACGGCATCGCTCTCGGGGCGAGGTACGACCTGAAGTCCAGGGTGTTCAAGGTGAAAGTCAAAGAAGCGCCTCGAAGGGACGAGAGCGACGGACGGTTCAAGTTCTGGAAGGTGTTCAAGAAGGCGGAGTACGCGCCCGAAGGCGGCGTCGCGGAGGTGTTCACGCGGCCGCTGAGGTGGGGGATACTCTCGCTTCAGGCGATCGGCGGGTATAAACAGGAGACGGGGAACTTTAGTTTTCGCTGGAAGGCGACGAGCACGGTGTGGGAGACCGCGCGCGGGGAGGTGATGCGACGGACGGAGAGGGACGTGAACGACCGACTCTCCGCGGCGTTGCGATGGGACCTGGACGTGCGGCCACCGAAGGCGGAGGGCGGCGTCTCCACGGGCGAGGGCGGGGAGAGCAGAGCGATGGACATCGACATCGGGAGTTATCACGTGGCGGTTCCCAGGGTAGAGTTGAAGCTGGATTTGTCCGGGGAGACCGAGGCGGCGCGGCGGCGCCGCGAGGGAAAGTGAGCGCGAACGAAGAGAACGAGACGACGAGCGAACGCAATTTACGTTCGGCGGCGGCGGCGGCGAACGACGGACGAGTACGAGTAAACGGATGGACGATGTACGAACGACGAGTCGATCGAATACAACGACTAAAAGAATCAATTCGCGGTCTGCTCGAATTTTTCGTCGCACGCGCCCTTCCTCGTGCACCCGTACAGCATGTTAAACGCCTTGTTCGACGTCAGGTCCTCCACGACGTACCCGGTGTCTTTGAGGACTCGGTCAAACTCCTCGCGCTCCGCCGGGGGCACGATCATCCCGAACAGCACCTTCCCTTCCCTGCCGCCGTCGCTCCTGTAGTGCGTCATCGTGATCTGGTACTTGGGCGAGACGTAGTCCAAGAACGTGTCCAACGCCCCCGCCCTCTCCGGGATCTCGACCTCGTACAGCCTCTCCTGCAGCACCCCCGTGGCGCCGCCGATCATGTGCCTCAGGTGAATCTGCGTCGTCTCGTCTTCGGTGACGTTCTCCGTGAAAATCCCCGCCTCGCTCAGGCTCTCGTGCAGCGTCTCGAGCTGCGCTTCGGACTCGATCTGCACGGAGTACAGCACGACCGCCTCGAGCGTCTCGTCCTGAACCGCCCTGTACTTGAACTCCGTGAAGTTGACGTCCTCGCCGACCACCTCCACAAACTTTTTGAACGACCCGTTCGTCTCCGGGATGATCGACATCAGCGTCGCCTCTTGCTTTAAACCTCCGTCCGCGAGCTGCGAGACCACGCGCAGGCGGTCGAAGTTCATGTTCGCCCCCGACGTGATCGCGACGACGTCGCCGGTGATCCCGTTCAATTCGCAGTACGCCTTCGCGCCGGCGACGGCGACGGCGCCCGCGGGCTCCAAGATGGACCGCGTCTCTTCGAACACGTCCTTGATCGCCGCGCAGATCTCGTCCGTCTTCACGGTCATCACCCCGTCCACGAGCTGCCGGCACAGGTCGAAGCACACGTCCCCGACCTGCCTCACCGCGACGCCGTCCGCGAACCCGTCCACTCTCCTGAGCCGGCAGATCTCGCCGTGTCTCAGCGACTGCAGCATCGCGTTGGCGCCCTCCGGCTCGACGCCGATCACCTTCACGTCCGGGCGGATGCTCTTGACGTACGCGGCGATCCCGGCGATGAGCCCGCCGCCGCCGACGGGCACGAACACGATCTCCAGCTTCGGAAGCTGCCGCACGATCTCCAACCCGACCGTCCCCTGCCCCGCGACGACGAGCGGATCGTCGAACGGCGGGACGAAGGTCCGCCCGTCCTCCTCGGCGCGTTTCTTCGCGTACGCCTGCGTGGCGTCGTAATTTTCACCCACGAGCTCGACCGTGGCGCCGAGCCTGCGCACGGCGTCCACCTTGATCGCAGGCGTCGTCACCGGCATCGCGATGACCGCGTCGCAGCCGAGCTCCTTCGCCGCGAGCGCGACGCCCTGCGCGTGGTTCCCCGCCGAGGAGCAGATGACGCCGTTCTTTCGCGCCTCCGGGGAGATGGCCGCCATGCGGTTGTACGCGCCGCGAAGTTTGAACGAGAACACGGGCTGGAGGTCTTCGCGCTTCAGGTGGATGTTCGCCCCGACGCGCGCGCTGAGACGCGGCGCGAAGTCGAGCGGGGACTCCACGGCGACGTCGTACACGTTCGCGGTGAGGATCGCGCGCAGGTACCAGTTCAAGCGCTCGGCGTCCTCCGCGCGCATGACGCCTCGGTTCACGACGCCGAGCTCGCCGCGGTTGACGATCATGTCCTCGGGGAAAACCTCGCGAATGGCGTCTGCGTCCGCGACGTCGTGGTCGGGGAGGTTCGGCAGGCGCACGGACGGGCCCTGCGCGACCGCGGTCTTCTTCTCTGAGGAGGCATCTTTTTCTTTCGCCGCCTTCGCCGCGGGGGGGTCGGACTGGATCACGCATCGCGCGCCTCTCAGGGAAGACGCGCGTCGTGGAAGGGTCGCGACGCTTTTCGTTCGTGACGCGACGCCCTCGCCGCCGCCGCGCGCGAACGACGCGCGCGATGCCCCCAAGGCGGGGACGTGTCGAGCCGCCATCATTTCTGGCTACAGGTAAGAGATGCTGGGGTCGCGAATTGTCGACGACGCGTTTCTTCACGAGCTCTCCACCAGCCCTAGCAGCGCGCTCCGGTTTCTTCCGAGCCAGAGAAGGCAGGATAGCATGGATTTCGCGCGCGAATCTGATTCGTCTTCAGTTGCCAAGTGGCAGCATCGCAGGAATCGAACCGCCGTGACGCGCGTCGCGCCACATCTCGCGCGCCCTCGCCTCACCCAGCGCGTGCTCATCACAGTCGCGACGATGCTCGCGACGACGACGCGCGCGTCCACCGCGCGCCCCGCGCGCGCGTCCAACCGCGCGTCCAAGCGCGTCGCCTCGAAGGCATCATCGACGGTCGCCGCGATCGACGGCAAAAAAGCCGCGATCGTCGTCGGCGTCCCCGCGGGACTCGTCGCATTCGCCCCAATCCCCGCCGCGCTCGCGGCGGCGGACAAGGACGCGATCGAATCGTTCGTCTCCTCCGTCGACGACAGCGTGAACGCGGTGGTCGGCGTCTTCGCTCGAGCCTCGGACGCGGCGACCACGGCGAGAGACGCGCTCTCGCCCGCGATCGACCGACTCGCGCCGCTCGTCGAGGAGGCGGTCAAGGACGCGACGCCGTTCGTCTCGAGCGCGACCGAGGAGGTGTCCAAGGCGACCAAGCAGGCCGCGCCGCTCGTGAAGAAGAACGTCGACCTCGTGGAGAAGTCCATCGGCGGCGGCGTCGACAGCGCGCTCAGGGCGGCGTCGTCGAGCGCGAAGAGCGCGGGCGTCGACGTGGACTTCTCCTCTGCCGCGCGCGGCGTCTCGAGCGCCGTCGAACGAGTCGTCCCCGCGTTCGCGGACGCGCTCGACACCACGCTCGACGCGGCGAGAGCCCTCGACGGCGCGACGCTCACCGCGGTCGTCGCGACCGGCGCCGTGCTGTTCGCGACGTCGCCGCTGTGGGTCGGACCGCTCGCGAAGACGGCGCGCGGGTACGCCGGGGACGTCTCCGCCGTCGCCGCGTTCGACGACGTCCGCGAGGGCGCGCTGCTCGTGGACGTGCGCGACGGCGCGGCGCAGGACAGAGGCGTCCCGGAAGTGCGCGGCGGGAGCGTGGTCGTCGTGGAGACGGAGCAAGTGGGCGCGCGAGGGAAGTTGGAGATCGACGCGTTGGCGTTGATCGTCGCGTCGCTGAAAAAGGCGAACAAGGGGAAGAAGATCATCGTGATGGGGCCGAAGGCGGTCCCGGTCGCGATCGCGCTCTCGTCGCGTGGGTTCGGGAACGTGTTCGTGATGGAGGGTGGATTCGATAAGCGCCGCGGGTGGCTCGAGAGCGGGCTGCCGACGAACTGAGAGAGCGCCGGTCCGTCCGCGGTCATCATTCGGTCGCCGCTATTCTTCGTAAGGTTTATTCTAAGGTTACGTTTATTACGCTCTCGCGACGCTCTCGTCTTCTACACTGTACCGTACCGTCGTCGTTCGTCCTACTCAGCTCTCCTTCTTCGCCGCGTCGCGTCAGTCACAGCGTCCGGATACCGTCGCCGACGACCCTGAACCTCGTCCTCACGCCCGTCCCCGGTCCGTAGATGACCTCCGCGCCGCACGACGTCCCCGCGCCGCCGCCGTCTCGCGACAGACACAACCTGCGATGCGGCGTGCTCGTCCATCGTATCCCCAGCGCGGGCTTCACCGACGGCCCGCTCCCTCCCGCGCCGCCCCGTTCTCCCCCTCCCCCGCCGCCGTCGCCCCCCATCCCCCCCGCGCTGACCGTGTGGTTCGTGTACAGCACCGCGCAGTTGTGAACGGGCGCGAGGCTCCTGAGCAACGACGCGACGGACGCCATCGTCGTGTACCCCTGATGATGCAACCGCGTGAGCGTCGGGGACAGCAACGACGACAGCGAGTCCACGACGAGCAGACCCATCTCGCGCCCGATCATCGCGCTGTCCGCCTCGCCCTCTAAGCCGCCGTCGCCCTTCACTCCGGGGTCACCGAGCAGTCCTAACCCGAGCTCCTCTAACACTTTGAACGCGTGCATCACGTCGTGGACCCTCACGACGGTGATGAGGTCCAGCGTCAGCGCGAGGTGCTGCTCCACCTCGGAGGTGTCCGCGTCCGCGGTGACGAACCCGCGGTGGAACTCTTTAATGCGCGCGGAGGAGAACCCGCCGCCGGTGTCGACGTACACGACCCTGTGACCGAGCGCGGCCGCGGACGCGGCGGCGGAGAGGCACAGCTGCGTCTTCCCCGTGCCCGCCTCGCCGGTGAGCTCGGTGACTTGGCCCTGGCGCAGGCCGCCGCCGAGGAGGTCGTCGACGCCGTCGCAGCCCGTGGGGAGGAAGTTCAGACGGCTGAGCTGCGTCTCGATCCCGGGGCCGTCGAGAATCTGGAGAGGGAGGGAGGGAGGGAGGGAGGGAGCGGGGGGAGGGACGACGAGCGAGGGCGTCAGGTGGCGTTCCTCTCCGTCGAGCGATTGATTTAAAACGCGGCGACGGACGGACGGCCCGACGGCACGCGCCTGCGGAGCGACCTCGCGCCAGAGCTGCTCGAGCATCTCCTCCAGTCGCTCGGGGGGGAGATCCGGCTCGTTCTCCCCCCCGACGCCTATCAGGCGCAGGAGCTCCTGCTGCGCCGGCATCCTCAGCGCGTCGAGATCTGAGCGTCTGACGACGGTGACGCGCGTGCCCACTCCCAGCCCGCGCCGTGAACAGATTGCGGCGAGAGGGTTTCAATGCCTCATAACCTCGCGCGCGTCACGACGCGACGGCCACGATGCTCGCATCTCAGCGCGCGCTCTCGTCGCTGTGTCGCGCGGGACGACCTCGGCTCGTCTCTTCGTCCGGGCGTCTCGTCGACGGCAGAGCGGCGACGTGCGCGCGCGGGGGTCGGCCGACCTCGCGAATCGCGGCGCCCCATTCGTCCAACAACCATCGCGCGTGGGCGGTCCCCCGCTCGCGATGGTCCGCCGCGGCGGGCGACCGCGGCGTCGCGTCCTCCGCGACCACGCCGCGCCTCGACGGCGACCGCGACCGCGTCGCGCGGCCGCGCCTCGGCGCGCGACGGACGGACGTCCGCGCGTTCGCGGAGAAGGCCTCCTCGTCGCGATCGTCCGTCGACGACGCCGACTACGACGGCGAGGAGCTCGCTCACGTGGACGAGCTCGGCGAGCCGATCGTGTCGGACGACGACGACGACGTCGACGCGAACGACCTGATCAACACGTCCGGGACGGACTGGGGCGAGCTCGCGCTGCGTTCCATGCGAACGACGCTGAGCGACGACGAATTTAACGGCGAGCTCGAGATTTACTCGTTCAAGGTGTCCGTCGAGCGGCGGCGGGTGTACGCGAGCGTCGACGCGGTGAAGGACAAGTTCGGGTCGCCGACGCTGGACCAGCTCGGCGAGGTGAGCAGGAAGTTCAACGCGCTCTTGGAGGAGGAAAACTTCCCGGAAGACGTCGCGTTGGAGGTGGCGTCGCCGGGGGCGGAGCGTGCGTTGCGGCTGCCGGATGACCTGCCGCGGTTCCGGAACCTCACGATGAAGGTGACGTACGCCGCCGCCGCGGAGGACGACGGCGCGGAGGGGACGAGGACGAGGGTGATGGACGTCGTGGACGTGGACGGCGACGCGGTCGAGTTCAAGCTCGCGGACGTCCCGGAGAACCGACCGCAGGCGAAGAAGGGGCAGGGGATGAACAAGAAGCAGAGAGAGTGGCGGCTGAAAATTCCCATCGCGGACGTCGCGAAGGCGAACTTGTTCATCGACGTGTGATGCGGTACACGCACTGTAGGTTATTATCGTACGCGTACGTGTACAACGGGTACGCTCACGACGCGTCGTGGAGTCGCGTATCTTATAGTCGACTAAGGGTATCATCTAATATTACGTAAGACTCGAGAAGGACTCGCGACCCGCCGCTCGCTCACGGCGACAACGCGGTCCCGCCGAGGTTCTTCGCGACGTACTCGTACAGGCTCCACGTCATCGCCTGCTGCAGCGTCCGTCGCGCGATCCTTGGCAGCGACCCGACCCACAGCGCCCGAATTCCCTCGTCCGCGACGACGGACGCGAACGTCACGTTGACGCTCCTCAGCTGTATCCGCGTCCTCAACACGTCCGGCGGGTGCGTCAAGAACGTCGCGACCCCCCCGGAGATGGCCCCGGCGACGAACGTGTCGAACGGCGTCATCGCGCGCCCTTCCTTCGCGCGCATGTCCTGCATCATCTTCCTCGTCTGCGTGTACACGACGAGGTTTAATCCGCTGAACGGCGCGTCCCGCAACAGCGTCGACCCGAGCCCGGAAAATAACCCCCGCATCCCCTCCGTTCGTCCTATCGTCACGAGCGCGTTCGTCACCCCCGTGTACGCGGTCCCGCTCATGGACGTGTACTCCATCCGCGTCTTCACGACCGTGAGCGGGCACAGCAGCGTCGCGGCTAAGCTTCTAGACACCGCGCCGACGGCGAACGTCTTCATCAGCGCGACGGACGACTGCGACGCGTTCGGGGACTCCGGGAATCGCGCGTTCACCTCCTTCGTCACGCGCTCGAGGAGGAGGAAGTACAGACCCGCGCCCGCGGCGGTGCGCACGCACGACGCGGTGACCCCGGACCATAAACCTCGAATCCCCTCGTCCCTGACGACGCACCCGGCGGTCTTGAACATGCTCTTGTTGATGCTTCCCGGACGCAATTTGTGCGCCTGCATCCGCGTCTTGATGACCTCGAACGGCTGAAGGATGCCGCTGGAGACGAGACCCGCGCTCGAGCCGGCGAGGAACGACGTCACGCCGCTCTCCGGAGACCGCTTCGTCTCGGACGTCTCGCCGCCGTCATCCCTCTGCCGCCCCATCTCGCCCGCGTGTTGACGAGTGAGGGTTTAGGGTTCGTAAGCGCGACGATTGCGAAAGTAGTCGGCACTGCCGTTCGATTTTCGAACGAGGGCGCGCGTCCGCCACTTCTCCAGCGCGCGCGGACGCGAAGAAGGGGTCGGTCCGCGTCGACGTCATGACGAACGCATCCACGACGATCGCGGTGAAGTGGCAGGGGAAGCAGTTCACGGTCACGGTCCCGGAGGTTCGTCGCCCGTTGTCGCCCGCCGTGTTGTTCATGTTCAGATCTCGCGCGACAGCTGAGCCGATATCTTCTCGTCCAGTCCGCGCCTTCCTCACCCCTTTCCTTCCCCCTGTCTTTCCTCGCAGGAAGCGGACGTCGCGTGCTTGAAACGATGCATCGAGGCGGAGACGAACGTCCAACCGAAGCGCCAGAAGCTCCTGAACGTGAAGCAGGGCCCCAAACCCGCGGCCGACGACGCGGCGCTCGCGTCTCTGAAGATGCCGAAGGTCGTGATGTGCATGGGAAGCACGGAGGCGAGCATCAACGAGGTCGTCGTCGCCGCGGAGCAAGCCCCGGAGGTCGTGGACGACTTCGACGTCGGCGTGGACGAGAAGATCGACGTCCGGGATAAGGAAGAGAACGTCGAGAAGCTGCGGAGGAGGATCGAAAAGTACAAGGTGGAGCCGCTGAACCCGCCGCGGGACGGGAAGAAACTTCTCGTCCTCGACATCGACTACACCCTGTTCGACCACCGCTCCACCGCGGAGGCGCCGCACGAGCTCATGCGACCGTACCTGCACGAGTTCCTGACCGCGGCGTACGAGCACTACGACATCGCGATATGGTCCGCGACCGGGATGAAGTGGATCGAGGTGAAGATGAAAGAGCTCGGGGTGTTGAACAACCCAAACTATAAGCTCCTTCAGCTCGTGGACCACGGCGCGATGATCACGGTGCACACGGAGAAGTACGGCGTGTTCGACTGCAAACCCTTAGGGTGGCTCTGGGCGAAGTTCGACGGCAGGTACGGCGAGCACAACACGATCATGTTCGACGACTTGCGCAGGAACTTTGTCATGAACCCGAAAAACGGTCTGAAGATTCGGCCGTTCCGCAAGGCGCACATGAACATGGCCACGGACGTCGAGCTCAGGGAGCTGACGAAGTACTTACTCGCGATCGCGCCGTTGCCAGACTTTGGCGTGTTGCGGCACTCGCGGTGGGAGTCGTACATCGCGGACTCGACGTACGAGTAGAGTAAATAAGTTCGCGGCGAGGCGGGGCGGGATCGGGGACGCGAAATAGAACGCGACGACGGCGCGCGACTACCTCAGCGCGTGTAAAATAATATACGACGGCTAATACAACTCGACTACCACGCGTACTACCTCCTTCCCCTTCCCACGTCCTCCTCCTCGTCCTCGTCCTCGCCGCCTAAACGCATCAGCGCGCGGCGCGCGACTTCGTACGAGGTAAAAAACACCGCGCCCTGCGTGACGTAGATGAACAACCGGGGAATGACGCCGCGGTATAAACCGCCGACGCCCTCGCTGACGACGATGTCCCGCATCGTCGGCAGCACCCCGGCGACGGCCCCGCGCCCGCCGCCACCCGTCTGCAACCGCGTCTTGATCGTGTCGAACGGCGTCGTGAACACCGCGGCGGTGGACCCGGCGACGCCGCCGGCGACGAGCGCCGGAAGCGGCCCGCCTCCTCCGCCGCCTCCTCCGCCGCCTCCTCCTCCGCCGCCTCCTCCTCCGCCGCCGCTCGCGGATCGACTCGCCGCGCGCATGAGCTGCTCGAACACGAAAAACTTGATCGCGCTCTGCGGGATGTTCCGACACAGCACCGCGGTCCAGCCTTTGTACAGCCCGCACACCCCCTCCGCGCGAACGATGGCTCGCGTCGCGCCCCACGCCGTGGACGTCCCCGAGACCTGACATCGCTGCTTCACGCACTCCGACGGCGTGTACACGAAGCTCGTCGCCACGGACGCGCACCCGCCGGCGACGCAGTGCGCGACCCAGCTCCTCTCCTCCGGGAACATCGGCAGCAGCTTCGCTTTGACGGCCTCGTACGCCGCGGTGTAGATCGCGCTGATGGGCGCGGACGACGCGAGCGACGCGGAGAGGCCGCTGTACAGCCTCGATACCCCGCGCGCGCTGAGCATCTTGCGCACGACCTTCGTGAGCGGCTCCCTCGCCGCGCGGTCGGCTTGCACCGCGACTTTGATCGTGTCCACGGGGTGGAGGACGACGCTGACGAGCGTCCCCGCGACGGCTCCCGCGGCCGCGTTCGCGCCGATGATGGTCCACGAACCGGATCGTCGCTTCCGGCCGCGCCGCGCCTCGCGCGCGTCGTTCCGAGGCGCATCGCGCGTCCGCGAGGGAGGCGAGGACGCCGACCGCGCGCCACGAGCACCTCGCCGCTTCTCCACGGTCGTCGCCATCTCCATCACGCCGCCAGCGCGGCCGTGAAGTGGTGTCGTACAACTGGGTTGCGATGTTTGAAACTTCAGCTTGACCGCGAGCGCGACCCGCCGACTCTGCTCGCGTTCATCGCCCTCCGCGAGCCACGACTCCTCATTGCCTCCCGCGCACGCGCGAGCGCGATGGGGACCAAGAAGACGGCCCGGCTGTGGCTGAACACGAAGTGCGTTCGTCGCCATGCCCGCGATCTGCCCCCCGCGCGCGGACGTCCCTCCCCCGCGCGTCGCTCCGATCGCGTCGCGTCGACGCTCCAAACCCCAGGACCAATCTATCAACGCGTCCCTCGCGTTCGAGATCGCCAATCCTGACGCCCCCCCCCTCTTCCGATCACAGGAAACTCACGCGGAAAACGCTGACGTGCGCGGAAGAGATGACCGCGCTCCTGACGTGCTTCAAGATGTGCGACTTCGGGAACGACACGAGGTGCGCGGGGGAGAAGCGCGCGCTGAACGATTGCCTCACCTTGCACGCCACGAGACCGAAGCAAAAGCAGACGATCAACTTCCACCTGCAGCGATTAGCGCGGCTCGCGAAGCGATGAAGCGATCTTAACAACGTAGTCATACTGTAGACCAGCCTAGATTTAGACGCGAACATTCACTAAGAGAAGGGTTCACCCCGTCGCGCGACGCTGACATCGATTCAATGCGCCGCTAACGATCTTACGTTAAAAAATTCGACCTAATTTTTCTCTGATGCGGCGCCCTCGCTCGCGCGCGTGTTCACGAGATAAATCCCCACCACGGTCACGAGCGCGCCCGCGAGCTGGACCTCGTCTAACGTCTCCCCCAACAAAATGTACCCGAACAGCGCGGCAAACATCGGCGTCAAGAACGTCAGCGACGACAGCTTCGTGAGGCTCCCTCTCGACGCGAAGTAGAAAAACGCCCCGTACGCGAGCGCGCTCCCGAGCATGGACGTGTACACGAGCCCGCCTACCTCGTTCCCGGTGAGTTCTCCCAAACGAGAGTAAACCTCCGGTTCGTTGATTACGCTGTACGCGAGCAACGGGACGCCGCCTAACGCCATGTGCCACCCCGTCGCCATCACCGGGTCGACGTATTTGCACACCCACCGAACCATGACCGTGCCGACGGCCATGGACTGCGCGGCGAGGAGCATCCACCACTCGCCGCTCTCCCACAGCCCGCCCTCCGCGTCGACACCGGAGGTGATCGCCGCGATCGCGGTCGCGGCGTCGCCGTGGAATAAACCTTCCAGGGCCTCGCGCGGGAGCTCGAGCATGAGCAGACCGACGACGCCGAGGAACAAACCGAAGACGCCCCCCGCGCCGATCGTCTCGCCGTATATCACGCTCGCCAGCACCGCGACCGTCAGCGGCTGCGAGTCGATGATCACGCTCCCGAGACCCGCGGACGTGCGCTGCAAACCCTCGGACAAGAACCCCTGGAACATCGTCCCGTCGACGAGTCCGAACAACGCGATCGCGGCCCACGCGTTGGCGGTGTTCGGCCACGGGCGCTTATTCAACGCCGCCCACGCGATGAGAACCGCGCCCGCGGGGACTAAGCGCACGGACGCGACGAACAGAGGGCTCGTCGCGGGCAGCACCGTCTTCATCGCGACCATGGACGTGCCCCAGAGGAAGAACGGGGAGACTAATGCGGCGCCGCCGAGGAGCGCGGCGAAACCCGTCGCGGCGTCCGCGTCGTCGTCGTCGCCGACGCCGACGCGCGCGACGGAGGAGGTCGAGCTCGCGTCGCCGCCGCTCTCGCCGTCGTCGTCGTCGTCGTCGTCGTCTACGCTCAAAACGCACGCGGCCTCCATGCCGACGACGACGCACTCGAGCTCCGGTTCAGCGGACGAGGACGACGACGTCGACGTCGTCGGCGGAGCCGCGCTGTCGTCCTCCTCCGACGCGCGCGGCGCGACGCCGCGGACGCGTCGTCGTCGCGTCAGCGCGGCGCCGCGCGCCCACGCGTTCGCGACGACGATGCGTCTCGGCTCGTTTCCGAGACGCGCGCTCGCGGCGGTGCGCGAAGGAGGCGCGCGACGGCCCCGCGCGACGACGTCGACGCGATCGCCGCTGTAGATGGTCGCGATCGTCGCGACCGCGGACGACGCCATCGCCGCCGTCGTGCGCGCCGGGGCGGTCGCGAGACCCGCGTTCGGTCGCCTCGGGGGCCTCCGTTCGCGCGAGCGTTCGTCTGCGCCTCCGCCGCCGCCGTCGTTCGCGTCGCGGTGGCGTCGTCTTCGCGCGAGCGCAGTGCGGGAGTTGCTGCTCAGGTTCTTTTCTGTTGTCGAGCTGTCCGACTTGGCGCGCTTCTTGCGTACGGTACACACAAATTCGTACACGTATGGGTTATTAGTCAGGCGTCGCATTTTGCGGCCAGGAAAATTTGTCGAACGTCAGGTGACCCCGGTACACTCGTACTCAAAAACGATAGCACGAGCGGCGCGGTTCGCACACGGAGCACAAGATCCCCGCGGGAGGACGGTGGCGCGGTCCTCCGCGACGCGTTATTCTCTCTCGCGCGCGACGCGAACACCGTCACGATGAGCTCTCCCGAGAAGACCGTCGTCATGGTCACCGGCGGCTCCGGCCTCGTCGGGAAAGCGATTCAGGAAGTGATCGAGGCCGAGGAGGGAACCCTAAACGAAAGGTGGGTGTACCTGTCGAGCGGGGACGGAGACCTCACGTGCCCGATACAGACGTCCGCGATATTCGACAAGTACATGCCCACGCACGTGATCCACCTCGCCGCCCAAGTCGGCGGTCTGTTCGCGAATATGAAGTACAAGGTACAGTTCTGGAGGAACAACGTCATCATGAACGACAACATCTTCCAGGAGTGCCACAAGCGAAACATAAAAAAGCTCGTGTCGTGCCTCAGCACGTGCATTTTCCCGGACAAGACGACGTTCCCGATCGACGAGACGATGATCCACGACGGCGCGCCGCACTTTAGCAACGAGGGGTACGCGTACGCGAAGCGCATGGTGGACGTGCAGAACCGAATGTATCGAGACCAGTACGGGATGAAGTTCACGTCCGTGATCCCGACGAACATCTTCGGGAAGCACGATAACTTCCACCTCGAGGACTCGCACGTGATCCCGGGGTTGATCCACCGCGGATACTTGTGTAAACAAAAAGGCGAGCCGTTTCAGATCTGGGGAACCGGGAAGCCGTTGCGGCAGTTCATATTCAGTAAAGACCTCGCGCGACTCATGGTGTGGACGCTCAGAAGTTACGACGAGGCGGACCCGATCATCCTGTCCGTCGGCGAGGAGGACGAGGTGTCGATCGCGGACGTCGCGCACACGGTCGCGAAAGCTCTGGGGTTCGAGGGTGAGATTCAGTTCGACGCCACGAAAGCGGACGGGCAGCATAAGAAGACGGCGAACAACGCGAAGTTACGGAGGTACCTCCCGGACTTCAAGTTCACGCCGTTCGAGGACGCGATGAAGGAGACGGTGGAGTGGTTCACGGAGAACTACGCCACTCCGGGGCGCGTTAGGAAGTAGTCGATGACTCTTAGCTCTATACGTTATTGAATGCCATCATAGCAGGTTAGCTAAACGAAAGAATACCGTGCTCGCGCTCTATTGCGCTTCCTCCGGAGTTTGCGTGACGATGCCCTGCACGGCGTGCACCTTGTCCGTCTGCATCTCCTCCCAAATCGCCTTGTACACCATCCGCTGGCGGTTGATGGGGTTCTTCCCTTCGAACGCTTTCGACACGACCTTGATCGTGACGTGCCTGCCGTCGCCGGACATGTCCACGACGTCCACGAACGTCGCCTCGAGGCTCGTTTGTATCTGCGCGATGGGGAGGGAGGTTCGCTCGTCGTCAGAAAAGTCACGGCGCGAGGAGACGGCGGTGGAACGACGACGACGCGCGCGTGGAAGGAAGCGATTCGCACCTTCGACTTCATCCCCGCGATCAACCCCGACTCGGGGCGATCGAACTCGCCCGCTCTTGACGCGGGACTCGACGCGAACCCGCGCGTCTCCGCGCGAGAACCCCCCGGAGTCTCCGATCGTTGCCACGTCACGAAGTTATGACGATGTTGGCTCGCCGACGCGCGAACCGCGCGCGCGCGAGCGAGCTGCCGAGCCGCCGCGAGAAGCGCTCCGCTACCGCGTCTGACGTGGTGCGACATGCCGTGTGCGTCCGTGCGTCTACAGTACGCGTGCGCGGGCGCGTGTGCGAGGCGACGAGATCGCTCACTTGGATTATTTCACATCTACATAATGCTCAACCAGACAGGATGTACAACCAGACGGACTTCTACAGGAGCGCCTTCAGCCCGTCCTTGATCTCTTCGATGGACGACTTCGCGTCGCCTAACACCATGTTCGTGTTCGAGTTAAAGAACAGCGGGTTCTCCACGTCCGCGTACCCGCCCGCGAGCGACCGCTTCAGCACGAGCACCTTCTGCGACCGCCACACCTGAATCACGGGCATCCCCGCGAGCTCGCTGTTCGGGTCCTCCACCGCGCTCGGGTTCACCGTGTCGTTCGCGCCGACGACTAACGAGACGTCGTACTTGTCCACGTCGTTCTCGACCTCTTCCATCTCCTTCACGACGTCGTACGGCACGCCAGCTTCCGCGAGCAAGACGTTGAGCTGCCCGGGCATCCTCCCGGCGACCGGGTGCACGGCGACGACGACGTCTTTGCCGCTCTCGCGCAACAACTCGATGAGGTCCGCCATCGCGTACTGCGCCTTGCTCACCGCGAGGCCGTACCCGGGGACAATGAGGACCTTCTTCGCGTCCGCGAGGTCCTGCGCGGCGGTGCCCGCGTCGGACACGACGCACTCGCCGCGCTCGACGTCGCACAGCATGTTCGGGTCGACGTCGACCGTCTTCGTTTTGTTCAGCGTTCCCTTGATCCCCAGCAACACGCCGACGATGGAACGGTTCATCGCGACGCACATGATCTGCGATAAGATCGCCCCGGACGCGCCGATGAGCGCGCCGACGACCGTGAGGAGCTGACTCCCGAGCACGAAGCCTTCCGCGCAGAGCGCCCACCCGGAGGATGAGTTTAAGACGGTGATCACGACCGGGGTGTCGCCGCCGCCGACGGCGAGCGTCGCGTGCAGGCCGATGAACGCCCCGAGAGCGGCGATCGCGCCGAGGGCGCTGACCGCGTCGCCGGTCGCGCCCGCGACCGCGGCCTTGAAGAACATCGCGCAGTAGTACAGCGATCCGGCGAGCGCGGCGCTGTTGAACACCTGCTTCGCGGGAAGCGCGACTTCCTTGGACGGGACTAAACCTTGTAGCTTCGCGAACGCGATCACGGACCCCGTGAACGTGAGCGCGCCGATGAACACGCCGAAGCACGTCGCGCCGAGGTGCGCCGCGCCCGTGGCCGCGGGGTGGGACATGTACGCCGCGACGGACGTCAACGTCGCGGCGAGGCCGACGAGGGAGTGGAAAGCGGCGACGAGCTGCGGGAGATCCGTGATCGCGCATCTCGCGGCGATCGCGAGGCCGACGACGCCGCCGACGCCGAGCGCGCCCGCGGCTTGCATGAGCATGTCCGCGGACGCGGTCGCGAGCCTAGGGCCCGCGGTCGCGGCGAGGCCGAGGAGAACGCCCGCGGACCCGAGCGCGTTCCCTGTCCTCGCGGTCTGCTGCGACGCGAGCATTGAAATCGCGCCGATGCAGCACAGCGCGGACGCGAGCGCGATGGACTCGTGCAACGCGACGGCGGCGACGCCCGCGGCGGCTTGCTTCGCGTAAAACGCGATCGCGGCGATCACCGGGACGAGCAACAGGTTCGAGTACGACGGCGGGTCGTCCGGTCGCTTGAACATGTCGAGCATCCGGCCGGTCATGAAGAACCCGCCCGCGATGTTCACCGCGCTCATCGCGACGGCGGCGGCGGCGGCGGTCGCGGCGACGGTGTCGGGGAGGAGCCCCCCGCGCATGAGCTCGAGCGCGCCGATCGCGGTCATCCCAGAGATCGCGTTCGTGACGGACATCAGCGGCGAGTGCAGCGCCGCGCTGACGCCGTTGACGGCGAAGTAGCCCACGATGCACGCGAGCGAGAACGTGGACATCAGACCGATCGCCTCCGGCGGCGGCGCGGCGCCGCCCGCGGCGTAAAACAACGCGAGAAGCGCCCCCAACGCCATCGCGGACTTCGCGTCCGGGATCCACGCGGGCGGGGGCTTGCACTCGTCCGCGGCGTCGAGATCGCACACTTCTTCCGGTTCCGGCGCTCTGACCGGCACCGGCTTCGGCGGCGGCGGCGGCGGCGGGAACATGATCTTCCCGTTCTGCGTCACGAGCGCGCCGCGGACGGCTTCGTCGTCGAGTCTGATTTCGAACCTCCCTTCTTTCGCGTCGCCCATGGACATGATGAAGTTCGCGATGTTGTTCCCGAACAAAGTCGAGGACTGCCCCGCGCACCGGGACGGGAGGTCCGTGTATCCGACGCACGTCACCCCGTTCGACGTGCGAATCACCTTCCCGGGAACCGTGCTCTCGATGTTCCCGCCCGCCTCCGCGGCGAGGTCGACGGTGACGCTCCCCGGTCGCATGCTCTCGACCATCGCCTTGGAGATGAGCTTCGGCGCAGGGCGGCCCGGGATGAGCGCGGTCGTGACGACGATGTCACACTCCGCGCACTGCTTCGCGAACAGCTCCATCTCCGCGGCGATGAACTCCGGGGACATCTCCTTCGCGTACCCGCCCGCGCCTTCGCCGCTCTCTTCGAGCTCCACCTCGAGGAATTCCGCGCCCATGGACTCGACTTGCTCCCTCGCCGCGGCTCTCACGTCGAACGCGCGCACGATCGCTCCCATGTTCTTTGCGGTCTGCACCGCCGCGAGCCCGGCGACCCCGGCGCCGACGACGAGGACCTTCGCGGGGGGCACGTTCCCGGCCATCGTAAATTGCCCGGCGAAAAACCGCGGCAACGCGTTCGCGGCTTCGACGATGGCTCTGTACCCGGAGATGTTCGCCATGGACGACAGCGTGTCGAACGCCTGCGCCCGGGATATCGTCCTCGGGACGCAATCTAAACCAAACGCGGTCACGCCCTTCGCCCGGAGGCTCTCCACGAGCGCTTCGTCCTGGCGCGGGTAGATGTTCGAGAATAAGATCTGTCCCTCTCTGAGCTTCGCCACCTCCGGCTTGGACGGCGGTCGGATCTTGCAGACGATGTCCGCGGTCCACGGGTTCCCGATGACGCAGCCTTGCTCGACGTACTGTTCGTCCGCGTACTCGGACTCGACCCCGGCGTTGGACTCGACGACGACCTTCATCCCGGCTTTCACGAGCTTCCCCAACGCGTCCGGCGCCAGCGCGACTCTCCTCTCGTCCTTGAACGATTCTTTCGGGACGCCGAGCGCGAGCGTTTCGTACGCGACGCCCGCGGCGGTCTCCGTCGCGGGCTCCGCGATCGCGCCGAAGGAGACGCTCCCGGGAGATTTACCCTTGAATGAGACGTATCCGGACTGGCTCCCGCGGTACGCCGCGGTGATCAGCGCGCGCGACGCGTTGGACGATCGCGCGCGCGTCCGACGCGCGCGTTGACGCAGATCGAAAGTTGTTGTGATTTTATTTTGGCGCGAAGACAGCGCGGCGACGCGCGCGCGCGCGGACGCGCTCCGCGCTCGGCGCGCGGGCAGCGCCGTGAGGGCGGCGTTTACCGCGGTGGACGCCGCGAACGCCATCTCGAGTGCGCGTCTTGTGAGAGGAGGAGCGGCGCGGGGAAGTTGTGCCCGGTGTTGTTGAATTAATCACCGCGTCCAGCCTGGAAATAAAGCGTATCCTGCTGGCGTGGACGGCCAATCGCAGGCCAATCGCGTGATGACCCGTGACGGCGAGTTTGAAGCCGCGGAGTGTCGGTCGAGCCGGTCGGAAACGGCACTTCGAGCGCGAGCGCGATCGCACAATTTTTAGGGCACCGCGAGCTCAGCGCATCTCGTCGTCACTCGCGGCGCGCACCTCGCGGGCGCTGGCGAACCCACTCGCGAGATGGGCGACCACGACGCCGGTCCCTCCACGACCGCCCCTAGCGGCGGCGGCGGCGGCGGCGGGTTCAAGAAGAAAGGCAAGTTCGGGCGAGGGAACGTCCGGAAGCGCGCCGTGGCGGACGACGGGAGCGACGGCGAGGACGCCGCGCGCGGGGCGGGGCGATCCTCCGTCGTCGCGCCCGCGGAGAAGAAGAAGCGCGCGAACGCGATAGGAGGCACGACCGCGAGGGACGATAAGGAGAAGCTCCAGGTCTTCACGTTCGCGGGCGACCGCACGCTGCAGCAGCGCGGCGACGGCGGCGCGACCGCGGAGCTTCAGATCGACACGGAGAAGCACCTGGACGGGCGCGCGATGCGCGAGAAGGTTCTGAAGACGGCCGCCGAGCGCGCGGAGGGTTTCGTGGACGACAAGCAGTACAAAGGCAGGAACAACTACGTGGACTACCGCGCGGGGTTCAGGCAAGAGCACTCGATCGCGAGCGAGAAGGGCGCGGGCGCGCACGGCCCGATGCGCGCGTCCTCGAACGTGCGAATGACGTTCATCATGGATTACAAACCTGACATCTGCAAGGATTACAAGGAGACCGGGTACTGCGGGTACGGCGACGGGTGCAAGTTCATGCACGATAGAGGCGATTACAAGCACGGGTGGCAGCTGGATAAGGAGTGGGACCAGAAGGAGAAACTTCGGAAAGAGAAGCTCCAGGCGCTCGAAAGGATGGAACGCGCGTTGGGCGAAGACGGCGAAGCGTTGCGCGGGTCCGACGACGAGTACGACTCCGACGACGACGTCCCGCCGACGTGCGGAATATGCGACGAGCCGTGGGATAAAGTCAGAGACCCGGTCGTCACGAGGTGTAAGCACTACTTTTGCGAGCACTGCGCGCTGAGGCACAACGCGAAGGAGAAGGCGTGCGCGACGTGCGGGAAGCCGACCGGGGGGACGTTCAACACCGCGAAGGAGATCACGCGGCGCGTGAAGGAGATGAAAGAGTCCGGGCAGACGCGGTGGGGGAAGAAGAAAGCGAAGCAGGCGAAGGTCGTGGACGGCGAGTTCGGCGTCGTCGGCTCGCAAGGGTGGCTGCTCGGATAGGTACAACTACTCTCGGTCGTTCCGACGCGGCGTTTCAGAGTAATAATAGCACTCACAACGCGTTGACCCACTCCCCGATGACCGGGCTCACCGCGGACGGGTTATCGTCCTGCAGACAGTGCCCTTCGCCCTCGAACACCTTCAGCGTCGTCCTGGCCCGCGTCTCCGGCAAGTTCACGAAGTACTGCCCCAACGGAAAGTCCAACGGCGTTATCCCGTCCTCGTCCCCCCACAGGATGAGCATCGGGCATCTCACGTCGTCCATCAGCTCCTCCGGCCTCGGCCCCGGCGGCCCGGTGAGGATCCTAACGAACGCGCGGAACGCCCCGGGACGCTCCGCGGCGTCGCATATCGACGCCACGAGCGCGTCGTCCACTCTCGTCGGGTCTTTGTACACGCCTCGGAGCGCGCCGCGGACGTTTTCCTCGCCGCGCACGCCGTCGAACACCGGCTTCGCGACGGCGTCGAATCGAAGCACGAAGTCGATGATCGCGAGGACGACGCTGAAGACGGGAACGACAGCCTTGTACTGCCACCCGAACCCGTCGAAGTCCCCGGGCAGACGCTTCACCTTGTTGTTCATCCCCCCCGCGCAGTTGAGAAGCACGACGCCGGCGACGCGTTCGGGCGCTTTCGCGGCGACGTGCAACGCCGCGAGCGATCCGATCGAGTTCCCGACGACGACCGCGGTCGCTTTCACGACGTCATCGATGAAGTGCGAGACTTGGTCTCTCCAGAACTCCATCTCGTACGGCACGTCCGGCTGGTCGGACAGACCAAACCCGAGGAGGTCGAGCGCGTACACTCTGTTCGTCTTCGCGAGCGCGTCGATCGTGTCTCGGTACTGATACGAGCTCACGCCGAAGCCGTGCACGAGGACGACGGGCGTCCCGGCGTCGCCCTTCGCGCGGTACGCGCATTTCATGCCGTTCCACTCGTACGTCGCGACGTCCTCCGCGGTCGCCGCGGCCGCGATGACGCGCGAGGCGGCGCGGGTTCGACGCGCGAGGACGCCGCGAGGTGTCGATCTTCTCGCGACGACGACGCGATCGCGCCGGGACGAGATCGACGTCGTCGCCGCGACCGCGCGCGTCGCGCTCGTCATCGTCCCCGCAGGCGCGCGCGGCGAGAGCGCGCGCTCGCGACGTTCGCGGTGAGACGGTCGCGGTCTCGCGTCCGCGCCCTTCCGCGGCGCGAGGTGTTTTGCGTCCCGCGCGCGGTGTCGACGTCCACGTGGAGATGCCGACAGGACCCAAGCAGCCGGGCCAGTAGCCAGTCACGGCGCCGTCTGGTGTCGTCGAAATGTCGCGAATCGTCGGCGTTCAGATCCCCGGACGCTGGCCGTCGCGCGCGCGCGCGAATCGCTCGTCGCCGAACGCGACCGCGGATGTGCTTTGCATGAGCTTCGCGTCGTCGCTTCCACAGATCGCGTGCGCCGTCGATCGCGTTCGAGACCCGAGTCGAAGCGCGCGCGTGTCGTCGACGTCGAGGAATACGTCGTCCTCCTCGCGCCCGCTCCACCGCCGCCGCCGATTCGCGAGCGCCGCGAGCGCGAGCATGGGCAAGATGGACGCCGACACGGGCGGGCCGGTCGTCAAAGACCTCGTCCTCATCGGCGGCGGGCACTCGCACGTCTACGTGCTCAAGATGTTCGGCATGAACAAGCTCCCCGGCGTGCGCGTGACGCTGATCGCGAAGGACGTGCACACGCCGTACAGCGGGATGCTCCCGGGGCACGTCGCCGGGCACTACACCTGGGAAGAGTGCCACGTCGATTTACGGCCGCTGTGCACGTTCGCGGGGCACAGGCTCGTGCACGACGAGGCGATCGGGATCGACGCGGCGAACCAGCGCGTGCTCTTGAAGTCGAGGCCGTCGATTCGCTACGACGCGCTCAGCGTCGACGTCGGCATCACGCCGTCTTCCGGCGCGGTGACGGGCGCGTCCGCGTTCACGACGCCGGTGAAACCGATATTCGGGTTCAGCGCGCGGTGGGAAGCGCTCATGAGACGCGTGTTGGAGCAAAACACGAAGACGAACGTCGTCGTCGTCGGCGGCGGCGGCGGCGGCGTCGAGCTCGCGCTCGCGATGCAACACCGACTGCACGAGGAGCTCGAAAACGCGGGAAGGTCGAAAGACCTCGCGTCGTTCGCGATCGTGACGCGGGGGAAGCTCGTGCCGACGCACGCGGCGAACACGCGAAATATATTCCTCGACGTGTTCGCGTCGAGGGGCGTCGAGGTCGTCGAGGACGACGGCGTGAAAGACGTCGCGAAGGATAAAGTGCGACTCGCGAGCGGACGAGTGCTCGCCGCAGACGAGTGCATCTGGTGCACGCAGGCGGCGCCGCAGGCGTGGCCGGGGGAGTCCGGACTCGAGACCGAGGACGGGTTCATCAGAGTGAACGCGACGTTGGAGTCGACGTCTCATCCAGGGATATTCGCCGCGGGGGACATCGCGGCGGTGCGAGGGCATCCGCGACCGAAAGCGGGGGTGTTCGCCGTGCGTCAAGGCCCGCCGCTGGCGGACAACTTGCGGAGATATTTACTCGGCGAGCCGCTCGTGGAATTCACGCCGCAGAAGAAATTTCTCGGTCTTATAAGCACGGGGTCCAAGCACGCGATCGCGTCGCGCGGTTCCATGAGCTTCGGCGGCGTCTCGAAGACGGGAGCGATGCTGTGGAAGTGGAAGGACAAGATCGATCGGAAGTGGATGAAAATGTACCAGGAAATGCCGGCGATGCCGGAGCCCGTTCCCGAGGTCGCAGAAGTCGCGCTCGCGTCCGGACCGGCGGCGATCGCGGCGATTCAGGCGGTTCCGATGCGCTGCGGCGGGTGCGGGGCGAAAGTAGGCGCGAGCGTGCTGAGCCGCGTGATGGCGCGTCTCGACGTGCCCACGCGAGCGGAGGTCGAAGTCGGCCTCGATCAACCCGACGACGCGGCGGTGATCACGGTTCCGCCCGGAAAGGTTTCCGTGCAAACCGTCGATTTTTTCCGTTCCTTCGTGGACGATCCTTACATCTTTGGACAAATAGCCGCGGTACACGCGCTTGGAGATTCGTGGGCGATGGGCGCGGAGCCGCACGCCGCGCTCGCGATCGCGCAGGTGCCGTACGGTCTCGAGTCTCAGGTCGAGGAAGACTTGTTTCAGATGATGTCCGGCGCGACGTCCGTCCTCAAAGACGTCGGCTGCGCGCTCGCGGGAGGCCACAGCTGCGAGGGAGCGGAGCTCGCGTTAGGATTTTCCGTCCACGGCGTCGCCGATCGCGGGACGCTCATGCGGAAAGGGGGAATGAAGTCCGGCGAGGCGCTGATTTTAACCAAGCCGATCGGCACCGGGACGCTGTTCGCCGCGGACATGCGCTCGAAAGCGGAGGGACGCTGGATAAGCGCCGCGCTCGATAGCATGCGTCTACCGAGCGCGACCGCGGCGAAGATTTTAGTCGACCACGGAGCGAGCGCGTGCACGGACGTCACCGGGTTCGGGCTCCTCGGTCACCTCGTCGAGATGTGCAAGGGCTCGAACGTCGCGGCGGTGCTCGACCTCGACGCCGTTCCTGTGCTCGACGGCGCGCGAGAGTGCTTGGACCTCGGGATAACGTCCTCGCTGCAGGCGTCGAACGTGCGGTTAGCCCGCGCGGTCGCGAACCAGGAAGCAATCGCGAGGAACGCGATGTACCCTCTGATATTCGACCCGCAGACCGCGGGAGGTCTCCTCGCGAGCGTCCCCGCCGACGCCGCGGAGACGTGCGCGGCGGCGCTGAGAGCGGCGGGATACCCCACCACGTCGATCATCGGCGAGACGTTCGCGCGTCTCCCCGCGGTGTCGACCGCGCCCGAGCAGGTCGTGTACGTACAGGACGCATCGAACCCGTTCGCGTCCTCGGGAGAAGGCGGCGTGCTCGTCGGATCGTCGAAGCCGGAGCGCGACGCCGGAGCGCGCGAGGGAGCTTTGAAACGAAAAAAGCCGCGTCGCTCGTGAAACCGCCGCCGCGTTCTCGCGCCGCGTGCAGTGCGACTAGATGATTCGTAATACTCACGCAGAGCGTAAAATCATTCGAACTACGCGCGCGGTCGAACGCGCGGTGACGCGCGGTGACGCGGACGAGCGCGCGGGCCTTCCGCACGCGCTCGAGTCGCGCTCGCGCGTCGCAACCCAAAAATAGCACCAACGCCATTCCCTGATGCCGCTGAGAGCAGAAAAAGTCGTCAACACCCATAATTCGTGGACGCCCGCGCTCTCGCGCACACCTCGTGACGCTCGCACCGAGCAGTCGCCGTTACGGCTGAAGGGTCGATACCCTGCTCGCGTTCACGCGTGATCACCTGAACGCGCACCGAAGGCGATGAACGCGTGACTTCGTCATCCTAGCGTCTTTCGTGGAGGTTCGGCGATTCGATAGACCAAATGGCCGTGTTGGATCGGCCCTCGCACGGCGCTGCTACTCAGAAGAGAGACACGAAGTTAGGCGGGCTCTTGGGGCGTGTCAGGAATATCAAGACGTTTGATAATACCCTCACGCGCACATCCGATGCGTTACTGCGCGCGCAACAGAAGAAGGAAAGGGACAGGTCGCACGCGGAGTTCGTCGCGGAATGCACGCTCTCGCCGATGCGAGAGGGTGTGAAAACAGTCACGAACGTGTGGGGTAATCCCGACGTCGAGGGCGCGATGCCTCGCATCATCGTGCGAGGTAAGCCATTTCAGGTCGCCCTCGACGCGGGGATGGACTTCGAGGCCATGTACAGCGAAGTCGCGGAAGCGATGTACGGTCCCACGATCGCGGGCCAAGAAGAAGAGCGTTGGCGCTTCGTGAGGGAAATCACCGACCAGGATTCGGAAGGCGATGTTGGCGAGTTCACGAGAAAGTCCGAGTACGTCGGGATGAGGTTCAAACTGCTGCTCGAGATTCAAAATTACGACCCTCGCTTGAACGAGGGGGGCAGTTCAACAATCACGATGACCGAGGAGACGTGGGGTAACTTGAAGAGGGGACAACCTATCTCAGCGGAAACGAACCGACTACAGATGTTCGAACACCTCGAGTTGAAGTGGACGACTGGCGTGGAGAAGGACGACAACGTGCTGAAGGAGGAGGCGATCCTCGGAATCTGGGAGATGTCCATACAAAAGGACTACCGCATCGAGATGCCTGACTCGTTGTTCGACAAAATCGTCGACGCGCTTTCGAACAAGTACACGGACAAGATTCGGTCCGTAGCCGCGGCTGTCACGTGGTGTTTATCAGTGAGCAGCCAGAGTCGCACGGATCTCATGAACGTCGGAAAGTCGGAGGAGGAGGATGAGGAGGAAGTCGAAGAAGGCACGCCAGGTGCGCATCCGTTCATGCGATATCTCATCGAGATGCTGAAAACCTCGATCACAAGAGAACCTGCAGAATTCGGCGGCGAGGACGAGGCGTACACGTGCGAGGTGCGCGACGAATTTTACGACCGCTCCCTCGGTACCCTCGGCATCATGTTCGTGGATAAACGCGCCCGCGCGCAGTACATCGAACTCGATCCAGGGCTGGAAATGCTCTTAGGCGCGTGCGCGGCGCCGATGGAAGATCCTCCGTTCCCAGTAGACCCTCCAAGCGAAGCTGAGCTGGCCGCAATGAAGTCGGACAAGCAGCGGGCGAAAGCCATAAATAAATACAAGCACGCTGTGCACGCGTACCGATGCGAACGAAGCCATCGCCGATTGAGTGCTGGGGAGACGCTCGCGAGTATCATGCTGCGCGACTACGACGCGCGGGGTTCACTCGTTAAATCAGGCGGATACGGTTCCCTCAGCTCGCTGCTGGAAAGCGATAACGCCGCGATCAGGCTCGCGGCCTCGGCGGCGATGGGAATTTTCGCGAAAGATCCGGCGAGCCAAGAGCAGGTCGCGCAGGAGAAGAACTTGAGTGAGACGATTGATTCCCTCACCCGCACGCTGAAAACGTCTCTGACTGAGCTCGTCGGCCCTGCTCCGCCGACCGTGACTGAGCTTTACGAGGCAGAAAAGGCGGCAAAGGCGGCGGCTTTAAAGGCTGAGGAAGAGGCGGAGGCGAAAGCGGCCGCGATCGCCGCGGCTAAAGCCCGCGCCGAGGCGTTGGGCGAAGAATGGGTTGAACCAGAATCGGAAGAGGAAACGCCCGACGCGGGGGGTACCGTGAAACGCGTCATGTCCACCGTCTCAGTTGCGGAGCTCGAGCAAATTCAAGAAGAAAGTGCAGCATTGAAAGCGAGTACGATCCCTCTCATGGCGGCGACAATCGAGAACTGCATCACGGCGTTGTGGGGGTTGGTTCGCGCGACCCTGGCGAACACGGAATCCCTCTCGGATGAAGCGATGCTGCGTTTGATCAGTTTCTGTCGCCGTGCGCACGACGGCGTACAAAATGACGCCATCACGGAAAACGCGGTTTTTACGGCGATCGGTATCATAGCCACATTGTGCGAGGATAGATCGCACTGCGAACGACTCATGTTGCTCGGTGCGAGGCCGGAAACTCCACCGCCCTTCACCGCGGAGGAAATCGCAGAATTCGAGCTCGCGGAATTCAAGGCGCGACGAGAAGGGAAAAAGTTTGTACGTCCGGTGAGAGAAAAGCTTCCTTGGGACTACACGCATTCCGTGATCGAGTGCATTAAGCACTGGCTCACGGTCGCGCCGTACGATGAGGGCCGTACCCGTACCATGGCCGCCGTGTGTGCTGGTCTCATTCTCGAGTATATGTTCGCAGACGCTCCTAAAGAAGGAGATGCAACTTTGGATGGCCCATATCGTGGTATGCTAATGAGAGACACCGAACTGGTCGACAAACTGATCGAATCAGCTAAGGCTGGGGCTAATCACAAGTGGTTTCATAAGCCATTGTGGGAAGCCACCGCAGCTGCTCTGATGTATTTGGCGACTCCGTACGAAGCGGCTTTCACGCCGAAGCAGCTCGAGAATATCGTGAGCTTGATAAACATGGTGACTGAGAGGTACCCGAGCGAGACATACGCGACGATGAAATATCTCGCTTGTACGATTTGGTGCGTCGCCCGTTCACCCTCGGGACGGGGTAATCTCATAAAATACGCGCCAAATTGTATACCCTATCTCATAGAAATGGGAAACGTGTGCGTCAAGGCTGTGAGTATATCAGGCAAGGTGGAGCTCGGGATCGAATCCGAGGAGGAACGTCTAATCGAGGCTTCCGATGCGGGGGAAGACTCGTTTTTGAAGCCGAATCATCCGCGCATCCGCGCGAAGGCTCTTCAGTTCACCATAGCATCTCTTTGGCTCATGCTCTACAGCGAGAACGATCCTCCGGTACACCACGGTGAGGTTTACCTTGAAAAAGACGGAGCACTGTTGACGATACCCCGCGTGGAAACTCCGTCGCTCGAGGACATGGACGTCGTCGACGAGTTCGGCGGCATCAAGCCAGGGATGCCCGAGCTGGAGGAGGATAGACTCGCCGCGGCTGCCAAAGTGAAAGCTGCAGAGGCGGAAGTCTACGTGACTAAAATGCAGCTCGTTATGGATGCTGGAGACGAGCCTGAAACCCCTGTCGAGCAGGCCACCACTGCGTTCTATGAGGCGACCAAAGCCGCGGAAGAGGCAGCTGCTGCTGCGCTTGCTGCTCACGCTGCACGCGCAGAGAACATCGCCGCCTCGCGAAAGAACATCATGAATTTCTTGCTCACCGCGATTCGATTACCCGCGATCCGGTTGACGGAGAAATCCCGCAAAATTGCAGTCGCGGCCTCGTGGAGTATCTGCTATCGTTCGGCGGCGGCTCGCCGGGAGTACATATCTGCTGGTCTCTTCGACGCGCTCGAGAGTTGTGCGTGCGACGGTGGTGAAAATACCACCGTCCGATGCACCACATTCGCCGCGGCTGCAATGGAATCGTTGTTGGCGTTCCACGACGTCTCAACGGCGGTCGGTGGCCCTGCGCGAATGGAGAAAATCGGGATTCACATGGTAACGTCACCCTTGTTGGGCGAGCAGGAACGCGGCGCTCGCATCTTGGCGTTCATGACTTCAGATTCGGATTCGAACTCCATCAAGGCATCTTTGGTGCGCAAGTCCGTTCTGCCGAACTTGCTCAAGCTATTATGTCCGATTGAAGTCAAGGAAGAGGTGGAACTCGAGGAAGAAGCGGCGGCGGCTGCTGCTGCTGAGGCTGTGAGGGAAGCTGAGGAGATGCTCAGTAAGACGCAAGCTGCGTTGGACGCGGGAGAAGAGCCGGAGTATGATCTCGATGACACGGAGGATCTTCTGAGAAAGGCTAGGAAAACTTCGGAGGCGGCTGCTGCTGTCGCACAGGAAGCTCGCGACGACTACGAAAGGCACATCGCGGAGAGCGGCGAGGAACACGTGTCACACGATACTGAAATGAAGCGATGTGCCGAGCTCTTCGCCGCCGCTGCACTTCTTAATTTGTCGTCGTTACCCGCCGCGCAAATTTCTCTCGCCCGACATGGGATTTACAGGCTGCTGAAGACGAACGCATCTGGGATGGTGAACCGGCGTCACGTGGCGATCGGTGAAGGAGTGGTGAAAGGGGGAGATTTGATCGCTGGAACGATCCAGAACATCGCTTCGAACGCGGAGAACCGCACGATATTCTACAAGCTTGAGCTCCGCGCGAAGGCTTTGGAGCGAGTGTTGCACAATAAAAAAGAGGTGCGGCATCTGAACCGTCATATTGAAGTCGCAGGACGCATCGTCGGTGAATCGTATGAAAAGGCAAAAGATTTGGGAGTGTCATATGAATCCTCCTCTCGGCGGCGTAAGGGTCACGTGCCAGCGAAGGGTGATGAAACTGCTGTCGTCGAGGAGATTTCCAGGGAGGACCCCGAGTCCACGCCCGCTTTGAAACTTCCATCACTGCTCGAGGATGTGCTCGCGCAAAAGAACGAAAAGAAGGTTGATATCGCCTCCTTCGCGAAGAAAGATGGACTCGGGACGTTTGAGGTCAACACATCCGCGACACAAGCTTCTGCCGAGAGTTTTCTGGCCCAAGACGCGGAAACCGTGGAAAAGAAGAGTCAGTTTGCAGAAGACGATTGGCTTTCGAGCATCGCGAACGCCGACGACGATACATTCGCAGAAGGTCTAGCACTTCTAACGCATTCCATGCGTCAGCCGCTGTGGAATCTGTGGGCTCGTCCCGAGGAGAGACGCGATGACTTGGTATCCGATCCTGAGATGTACGGTGCGAGTGCATTGACCCGCGTCCACCTCGTGCCCTTGCAGAGAGGAACCCCCGAGGGTGAACAAAGGTGGCGCCCACCCATTCGCAAGTACGTGCAAACGAGACGTCAACCCGCTAGACAGAATGGGGACCTCACATCCGACATGAATAAGATGAGCCTATCCGGGACGCTTCCCCCCGTGGGTCAAGATGGAGAGGCATACATCGCGGAGACGACGACGCGGCTTTTATCGACCACCCGACCCGGAAGCGTGCAAGAACGACTCCGTGCCAAGGCTGCGGAAATAGCCGAGGCCGTGGCTCTCGGCGGGCCTGAATCTTGCGGTGGTATCGGTAGCGAGGACGGTCTCAAAGGTAGCAGCAAGGCTCCGAACGCTCTTCCCGTGATGGAGATCGTGCCCGATGACGTCGAAGACGGGCTTGAGATCGAGCATGACACGGCTGATGGGGCGGGCGAGTACGGCCCTCTCAAGGTCGTCCTCGACCCCGCGGGATCCCGAAATTGCGTCAACTTCGTGAGCGGCTTCGACAAGGCACCAGACCCGGCGAAGCGCAACGCGAAGCTCGTCATGTTCGAACACGTCAGCGGTGCCAAGGTGTACGAGGAGCTCTTCCCCGTGTACTCGCTTCCGAACGGCAAGAAAGCGTTTTATTATCACACCGGCAACAACTTGGTGCCAGAAGTTCCCATCCGACCGGACGAACTTCCCTACCGACCTGGCACGCTCGAACTGACGTACGAGTTAAGATTGCCGCAGACCGACATGCTTCACGAAGTGGCTAGACCGAACCCGAACCTCGGAGACGACAAGCCCTACAAGCCGGTTCCGCGGCTGTGTCCTCTCCCGGATCGGCACTTTTTGGAAGTGAACGAACCCGAGTCGCTCGACGAAGAATCGTTCGGCAACCTCGTCATTCCTCCGTTGGAATTCAAAATCGTCGAGGATGTCATATACAAGACGACAGAGGAATCGTTCACGGTCGCAGCGAAGTGGGTCGAGCCGTGGTCCATAGAAAACTCGGTGTTCGCTCCGAGGAAGAAGTTCTCTGACGCGCGTGACTTTTTCGACAGAACGCCGCTTTTTGACAAGATGTTCGACCGAGACTGGCACCACGCGCTGAAAAAGAAGCAATTTGTGAGGTTCCTTACGAAGAGTGGTGGCGATGATGAGTCGCCTGATGATAAGCTGAAACTCATCTGCTCGGCGCTTAAGAACTATTACTTTGAAACCGAAAAGCTGTACCGGTATTACGGCGTCACCGGCACGGGCGACTCCATGACCATGCAACTGAACGAGTGGATCATGTGCGCCACGGACTGCCAGCTCCCCGATCCGGAATCAAAGCTTTGCACGAGCTCTCATCTCGGGACGATGTTCAAAGTCGTGAACTTCGAACAGGAATCGGAGGGCAAGGAGATGGAAATGATCGCTAAATTGAACCAAGACAACGCGTTGACGCGCTTTGAGTTCATCGAAATTTTGTGCCGCGTCGCGGATGCGAAATACGTGCAAGTAGGCACGTGCGCGAGTTTGGCAGAAGCGATCAGCGTCATGTACGAAATGTGCATCATGCCTAATCTCAATCCCGAGGTTCAGATGGGAACTTACGACTTTCGCGTCAACCGACTTTATACTGAAGCAGTGGATGATGTCTTCCGTAGTGTGTTCACAGACGAGGAAAAGTTTGGCGAAGGTAACTTTCGAACGTACAAGTCTGGCACGACGTACGCCGTGCTCGAGGCGCTATATTACGCGTACTGCATGCCAGTGGGCGGCACGAAGGCATCTCAGCGGAAGTTGATGCAGATGGATCAATTCATCGAGGTACTGTTCCCGCTGAACTTGATGAGGGACGAAGAGAGCGATTTTTCGCTTCGTGAAGCGCAGCTGTGCTTCCTCTACTCGCAGATGAGGGTTATTCGGCAGTTCGTCGACGCGGAGAAGTACGAGTCGCTCACCTTTGTGGACTTTTTGGAAGCTCTTGCTCGGGTCTCGGAGTGTATCCCAATACCGCCGCTAGCGGACATCAAATCGAGAGGATACAAATCGGCGCTCGATTGGTTATCGAAGACGTCGCAAGTCGATGCTCGAAACGATGCAAACACGGAAAAGCTGACATTGTTGTCGCGACCGTCGCGAGAGTTCACGGCAAAGAAGACGAGGCCGCTAAACCAAAAGCTCGCGGAATTCCTGGATTTTCTGTTCCGATGCGTCGCGGTGAGGGTTTGTAAGATCGAAGAAGATGAATACACGGAGGCTAAGTGCGTGAAATTATTCAAGTCGCTTCGTGCAGCGAGGGAGCACGGCGGCCAGGCGCGAGGGTGAAATTCGAGGCCTAGACTAGAAAACGGCAATGTGGCGCCGATCCTGAAAAGATAAATAAATCCCCTTTTAATTCCCTGAAAATCAAACAAAGCCCTCGAATTCAAAGGAAATTCGACCGCAGCGGCGATTTTCAACCCGCGTCAAAGGGAAAAGTTCGACCCTGCTGCGGCGTTTTTCACCCCGCGTCAAACCTCCGCGTTGTCATCCGGATGCCAAGCTGAATCGGATTCTGCGGGATTCTGGCGGAGATCTCCGCAGGGCAAACAGGGTCGCGGGATACACTCCAAAACCCCGCGCGCGCTGCTCCGCGACATCGCCACGGTATGACGTGGGCATCCCGGTCGAGACAGTGAGTCTAGTCCTGAGAGACGGATCGCCGCGATGGGACCGTGCTTGAGCTCCTCGAGGTACGCGGCGCGCGCGCGGCGCCGCAGAGCGACGAACGATCGATCGTATTTTCCGACGCGTTCCACGCACTCCAGCCAGACGTCGAGTTCGCGCCCTTCATCCCCGCACGCGCGCTTGCGTCGCGATCGCGGCAACTTCGCGCGGACAGACTCTTCATCGCTAGTTTCGCGTACATGCCCCGCGTGCCTCTGGCGGTCGTCCCCCGGAAGCCTCCGCGGGGTAGACGTGTTTCACGGTGGCCGAGTCAGACTTCGCTAATCTTTTGCTGATCTTTTTTCCCTATTTTTCCTGCACGCAGAGGGGCTCACGGCGACAGCGATGAATCATCATCTCGGAAATCCCAGGACCCACATGATACCGCGATTAGGAGCGACGACGGTGTGCGTAAAAGACCCTCATCGGACGCGGCGATGATGATGGCCGCGCAGCAGACGCACCAGCCTGAGTTGAGCAAGCCCCAAAAAGACGTCGGTGACGCCCGCTCACGCGAGCTGACCGAGGCGAACGTGGCCGCGGTATCCGAAGGAAACGTGTCGGGCACAACGGCGAGATCACATCAGAATGCCACGACGACGACCAAAGCGGGGTTGGCGCGGGACTTGGAGAGGTCGAGCAACGCTGACAGGTCCGAAGATGCGGCGTCTGACGTTTCCGAGACGAGCTCGTCCTCGCGGCGGGACATGCCGACGATTACCACGGATAAAGTAACGAGATACTCCGTCAGGGTGGGGGAGATGGAATACAGCCAATTTAACCAGTACATCATCGTGAAAGACCTCGGCGTTGGCGTGCACGCGAAGGTGGCGCTCGGCTTGCACATCCAGGAAAATTTGCTCTACGCGATCAAAGTCTCTCACCGGAACGCCGCAGTCGCAGAGACCGCGGTGCGAAAGGAGATCGCGATCCTCAAGAAATTAAATCATAAGAACGTGTTGAAGCTGTACGAGGTGATTGACGACCAGAAGACCAACGAGCTGCTGCTCGTTCTCGAGTACGCGAGCTCTGGGCCGATTTTCACGAGGTACGACAAAAGGCCACTGCGAGAACCGTTAATTCACAGATACATTCGCGACGTCCTTCAGGGTCTTGATTACCTACATCACGCGGCTGGTATCGCGCACATGGATCTTAAACCCGAAAACCTGCTCTTGATGGCTGATGGTTCTGTTAAAATTGCAGACTTTGGGGTTTCTTTCATCGGTCAGAGTAAGGCGGTCAACTCGAATAAAAAAATCGTCGGCACGCCTGCGTTCATCGCTCCCGAGATGCTCGGCGAGGACGGCTACGACCCGTACATCGCAGACATCTGGTCACTTGGCGTCTGCATATTTCACATGGCGACCGCTGAGTTGCCCTTCATCGGTCGAACCATTTTCCAGATAGTCGCCATGGCCCAGAGGCAAGGGTTACGCTTCCCGCCAGAAGCCGTCGTGCTCTCGCCCGAGTTGAAAAATCTTTTGACGGTGATACTCGTCGTCGATCCCACGAAGCGAGCGACACTGTCACGGATTATGACGCACCCTTGGGTGACCGCGAGGGGGGAGCAACCCTTGCCTCCTTCTTTAGCGGATCAGCCTCTTCAGATCGACGTCACGGAGGAAGAAATCGCAGCTGCGGTTCGTGCAGACCCTCTTGCAACTTTGCTTCGACCTGCGTTCAAAACCGTACATTTTCGGGCTGGGGAGATTTTCATTCGGAAAGGAGTATCCGGTACAGTCATGTATTTTATCAATTCCGGAGAATGCGAGGTTCTCGTCGACGCACTGGAGCACACGGAACAATATTCTGAGGCCTCGGGAGGTGAGTTATTTTCCCATGACGTCAGTAAACTCGCCACTCTCGCCGTTCGCTCAGCTGGAGCAGTTATCGGAGAGATGGCTGTTTTAGAAGCTATCCAGAACAGCCTGAACGGAGAAAAAGCGATCGGAAGTCGCACGGCGACGGTACGCGCTCTCACAGACCTCGAAGTTTTGTCAGTCACAGTCGACGACTTGCTCGCTGCGTTATCAAAAGACAAAGGAGGAAAAGACCAGTTGGTAAGAACCGCGAGTTACAGAATATTGCAGAACGAAGAAATCATGTTGCAGCTCGCGGAAACGCAGAAAGATATGTCGCTCCTTGGTATCAGTGAAGAAGTCAAGACTGAAGGATTTATTCCGGCGCGAAAGTTGAACGTGCTTTTCGCCGAAGATAGTGTTCCAACGCAATTTATCGTGAAACGCCTCATTAAACGTTTTGGAATCATCGAACTGGTGTGCGTGAACGACGGGAAATCCGCGTTGGAGCACTGTGAGAAGTGTATGAAAGGAAACGAAACAATTCCCGATATTATTTTGATGGACCTTCAAATGCCTGTTATGGACGGTTTGGAGTCAAGCAGGAGAATACGTAAATTGGGCGGTGAAATGAGCACCGTACCAATAGTCGCGGTGTCGTCTGGTATCAAGTCTATGAGTCAGAAAGACTGCGTCAAAGCTGGCATGTCAGATTACGTCGCGAAGCCATTAAACCAGCAACTATTGACAAAAATTTTGCTGGACAATCTCCCTCAACCTCTCATCTCATCGCCGCCTTGAACGGTTGATTGATGTTCATTTTATCACTAAAACTAACTAGACACCATAACTAAATAAATGGTATACCTAAGCATCTCTGCGAGCGTAAACAATGAACGCGTCCGAACCTGGCTCATGTTTCTCGACTGCGGTGAAGAACCCGATTTTCTCGAGCAAAACCTTGATTCGGGAGACTCTGTTTTGTACGTCGTGAACTTCAATGACCACTTGTCTGATGATATCCCAATCCTCCGGAGACATACCTTCTAAGATCGCGTATTCGCTTCCTTCCGCGTCTATTTTCAATAAATCGACGCTTTTCAGTTCGGGATATAAACTCTTTAATTCGGAGTGCAGTGTTGAAACGCGGCAAGTGACGTTTTCCCGACGCTCAAAGTATTTTGATTTCATCCTTGCCTTTTGCAGCGATTCTTTCTCCTCAGGGACCATCGTCGAGTTTCCCGGCATCGAAGGATAATGCGCGAATGCAGCAACACCATTCACGGCTTTAAATTCATTCGTCAGACCGCACGATATCAAATCGACCTTTTCTAAGAGACCGTGAATCCACGCGTTCTTTTTAAACGCCGCGGCGTTGTTTTTAATCGGTTCAAATGCTATATATGTTTTCGGTGGTGAACCGCAATTACGACGTAGCCACGCGTGTGTCGCTAAAAAGAATAATCCAATGTTCGCGCCTACGTCGATAATAACTCCACCGGACGTTGGTTCGATGCCATGTCTAAAGTACGCGTTTTCCGTGAATATTTCGTTGAAGATATATTTTGTCTCGTGAATCGCGTCTTGCGTGCACGCAACTTTCAAAGTATTTGAGAGCGTTATAACGTGAAGTCGCGGTTCTTTCGCAGTCTTTATTAGAACCCGCGTTTCCGTTTTGTTCTCGAAATATTCCACTGCTTGAAATACCGCACTCTCGGTCTCACGTTCGATATTCCGCTGCACTTCCTTCGCGCTTTTATTTAATTCAGGCTTGCCGAGGTTTTCAAGAGCTTCGTCGAGTGCCATAGCCCTATTTTTATTTTCTCTTGAAATATCGGATGATTTCAAAAGACTCGCGACCCCGAGCCAGGCCACTTTCTCAGCGAAGAAAAATTGGTCGAAAAAGAACGGAATCACGACCTGAGGGATTCCCGCTCGAAGAGCTGCGCCAGTGCTTCCCGATCCGCCGTGGTGAATCACCCCAGCGCAACGATGAAATAATTTTTGAAAGGAAACAGACTCGATGAGGGTCAAAATTTCATCGGTGTTATGAGGTTCAGGATTGTCATCTGCAGTTTCGTCCTGGGCTTGGAATTTTCGTTTTCTCGACTCCGAAAAGATGACAAACGCCCTGCCGAGGACGGACCCCGACGGAGCGACGACTATTCCCCGAAACTCCGCCTTCTTTAAGGAAGCTCGGAGGACGTGCAAGATGTCGACAACGTCCTCCAAGGTTCCTAGAAGGCCCATGTCACAGACAGTGGAAAGGACGATCGCAATTACAGAAGGGCGTTTGTCTGTTGTACGTGCTGCGTCCCCGAAGAGTTCGTCCGTCTGTGCTGGTTTCATAACGTCCCGCTCCCACTCGGCCGGAGGAAACCAAAATCCACACACTTTCGCGGTGCTCGGCCAGTATCCGGGCACTTGCAGGACGCTTGGGCTTATTCCGTACAGTAACGACGACTGCCCACGCGCTTTTGGTTTCGTCAGAAAAGGGACGGGATCGAGCTGAAGCCTCTCGACTCGCCAACTCCCCCATCTTTCCTCGGACAGCAGAGGCCACATCCAGTGCTCGACCTCGCGCCACGACACGGGCAAGCCGTCTTCGTTATCGTGCAAATATCGAAACGGCCCGGGATAATAGCGCTCGAACTTTCTCGCGAACGACGAAGGCGGTGCTGACACACCGGGCGGAACGCACGGGCTCGCGACGACGCAAGGGTAACCGAGGGATTCCGCGATGTGCCATCCTTCGAGGGCGAAAAGGTTGATCACGACGAGTGCTCTTCCGCGAAATCCAGCTGCCCGATCGTCGTCTTCGTCTTCGATCGAACAACCGAGCGAGGTTTCTAACGCGCGAACGCACTCTTCTCGGTGCATCGTTTCTTCGTCGCGTTCGTCTTCTTCGCAACGTTCCGCCCCGGGTCGAGAAGGGGGTTGGCTGAGAAATTGAACGGTTCGCACGCCCGCGGCAGCGAGAGGCGCTTCCACGATCGTGCGATGCGCGCGGTGCGTCACGAAGTGCACGTCATTTCCTCGACGTGCGAGCGCTGCAGCGAGGATCGCGAGTGGTTCGCAATCGCCCCGAGTGCCGACTGCGAGGTACACGACGCGCGCGCGAGAGCTCATGTGAACGAGACGCGCGCCTTGGTTCTCAGGAGGGGTTACACATCATACAGTATCATGGATATTCAATTCACCCCGCCGCGCGCGCGTGCGCTCGCGCTCATCACGAGTGCGGGCGCGTGCTCCGTTCGTGGTTGTCGTCGGCCCGCGCTTGAGTAACACTGAAGTTTTGCCCTCCCTCGTCAGGGCCAATAGCCAAGTCTGTTTGATTTCGGCCTTTTTTTTTTCTTTTTTTTTGGTTTTCTCGCTGACAGGGAAAAGACCTGAAAAGCAACCTGACAACCAAGCACTGAAAGGACTCATGAACGAACGAAGCGGCGTCGGTTCGCCCGTCGTTGTCATTTCCGAGTACGCGCGCTTCGCTCCCTTTCGTCTACGTGCAGCACGAATGCGACGTTCTCAGCACCTGCACGTCGCGTTCCTCGCGAGCGTATTCGTCTTTTTCGCTCCAGAGGAAACGCGCGGCGTCGTGACGGGACGGAGTGGGAAAGCGACGCTCGGGGAGAGAACGACCACGACGGGCGCGTCGTCAGATGCCACAGCGTTCGCACCGCCGCCCTCGTTCCCGTCGACGACGTCGACGTCGTCCGTCGTCGACGGCACCGCCTTACCTCTTTTCCGCATCAATCTCGACGACCCGCCTAGGCTGCGCTGGGAGGGCGTGATGCGGGCGAACAAAGCCGCGGTGCGCGAGACGATGAGCGACATCTTCGCGAAGCTCCCAAGAGAAGTCCACGCCGAGGTTGACAAGCTCGTCCTCGACGCTCGAGGACGCCTCCCGAGTTGGGTGATCGAGGAGCTCACCGGCGTCGCGGACGTCCTCGACATGTCCCTCGCGGACGTCGTATTAGTGAACCTGTTCTTCGAAATCACGCCATTCTGCACTTCCATCGTCGCGCAGAGCTCCGAGAGCGGCGGCGGGAAGCTGCTCCACGCCCGGAACTTAGACTTCGGCTTCGGCGTGAAACGAATGAGCGACGACTTGAGGAAAATAGCGATCGACGTCGAGTTCACGCGCGCGGGTGAGCGCGTGTACGTCATGACGACGTTTGCCGGTTACGTCGGCGCAGCCACGGGGATGCGTGGTGGCGCATTCTCCATCACCGCGAACGAACGCGAGATGACCGGACCGGTGCCAGTGCCGAATCTTTTGAAGAGCCTTCTGAATCTCGTCAATGCAATCAGGACGACGGACGTTATTCCCGTGACATGGGCGATTCGCGAGGTATTGGAGGACGAAACCGCACTGACTTTCGAAGACGCGGTGGGCGCGTTGAGCACGAGACACATGGCGACGCAGATGTATCTTACGATCGCTGGCGTTTCCTTCGACGAAGGCGTTGTGTTGACGCTCGATCGTAACAAGTTGCTGGACACCTGGAGGTTGAACTCGACTGCGGGTACGTGGTTTCTCGTCCAAACGAATTACGACCACTGGGTGAGAGAACCGGCGTGGGATAATCGAAAAAAGCCAGCGGAGAAAGCGCTGCGCGGGGTCGGCTCAGTCGCGATCACCCCATCGTCGATGTACGAAGATGTGCTGTCGCTCGATCCGGTATTAAATCAGCTGACGATTTACACGACAGTCGTGATAACAGCCGACGGCGCGTACGAGTCGTTCGTACGGGAATGTGTGACGTGCGCGCCGATTTTCTAGAGTTCAGTAGATACGTAGTACTGTATGCATAGTCTATCTAGATGCACAGCACCGCGCCGGGCATGGCTACGGCCAATCTCGGCGATCGAGAACGTCATACGCGATCCACGCCAGCGCGATGGCAAAAACCCACGGAGCCCCATACAGGCCTGCGCCCGCGAACGTGAAGAGAACGTCACCGCAGTCCGCGATGAATATAGGCTCGCACTCGGGTAACTGAGGAACTCCAGTTTCGGGGTTCGCTTCTTTGGGACCGCGCCATGCTGGAGACCACTCTTCCTTTTCTTCGTCATAGCCGCAACCAAGTATCGGGTTATCGTCGTAATCCGTTGGGACCCGGATGCCATATAAAGCACCCTCAGGCGGCCTCAACTCTCGATGAATGAAAGAGTCTCCGTAGCCGGGATGACACACACACGTTCCGTTGACGCATATACCTCGGCTACTGCACGTGTCATTTTTCTTATTCGCTGGATTCCAAGGACACACGGGAATCGAACAGTCCAACCCCTCGTACGCCGGACGACCTTGTTGCGTGAAGCACTCGCAAACGCCGTAGCCGAGGGAGTTGTTTCGGCTGTGGTCGCAGATGCCGTTGCCGTTGCAGTCGTTCAAACAGTCAAACGCGCGGCACGATTCCCCCGACGCCGGGAACTGGCACTCGCACGATCCGGTGAACCCGTTGCAAATACCGCGATTATTGCACTGGTCGCACACTTGCGAGTGACCCAGGTAGTCGAAATAACACACGTCGTCCGGGCACGAGACGTTGGAACAGTCAAAGCCCGTGTATCCTGTGTCGCACACGCAAAAGTTGTACACGCACGACCCGTGTCGTGAACAATCTTTAGGACACGACGTAGGAAAGTATTGCCAAAGATCGTCGAGCTCTTCGTAGCAGTATTTCTCGCCATAATCGTTTGGGGTTTGAATCCACAGATCCGGATTCGTGCTCAAAATCGGGTCCCCGTACGGGTCGACGTCAACGCGTCTGACCGTGATCTTACCGTCCCCGGTGACGTCATATTGAGTGTCCCACTGCAAATCGACATTATTGATGCGGTCCTGCTGCGAGAGCACCTTACTTTTCGTCGCTTCGAAGTAGTTAACCCCTTTCAAGCAACCGTGCCCGCCGAATATCAGCGCCCTTCCCGCTTGCTGCGTCGACCCCGTGCGGAGCTGCGACGTGTGTCCCACGGGCACCATCGTCGCGCGGTATCGACGCGACGGATATTCTCCCTCTCCCACTACCTTGACCCACGTATCTCCTGATATGTTGTAATACCACAAATCCCCGATCTCGTCGTCCCACGTGTATCCCCCGTACACGAGCATCACGACATGTTCCTCTTTTATGCTGATCGCGCTCGCGTGCCCGAAACGTGGCTGCGGGCGGATCGGATAATTCGGGTGTGGGAACATCTCCTGCCACTCGTTCACGGAGATGTTGTACTTCCATAGGTCGTTCATGTAGTACTTGCTGTTCAGCGACGGGTAGTCCGTGAACGCGCCGGTCGGGTACAGAAAGTTGAACCGCGTCACGCCTCCGAACGCGTACCCGCCGAACAAGTACAACGCGTCGTCGTAGTTCGCCAACGACGGACTGTGCCTACCGCGCGGGCCAAAGATATCCCTCTCGGTCGTGCCGTCCGGTTCTGTCGCGTTCTCACACGTCACGCAAAACGGCTTGAGGAGCTCCCACTCGCGCTCCGTGACGTTGTACGACCACAAGTCGTCAAAGTACAGCGGGTTCGTCGGGTCGTACCTCGTGACGTCGTCGTAAATTTCATTCTCGTCGACGGTCTGCCCGGGCAAAAGCTTCGCCTTCCTTTGACCGTGCCCCCCGAACATAAACACCGCGTCGAGGTAGTCGACCATCGCGTGCTTCCATCGCCTCGTCGGAACAGGCTTCGTGAAATTTGCTATTTTCGTCCACGTGCTCCGCGGGATGTTGTAGTGCCACAAGTCGTCGCAGTAGTCCACGCAGTCGACGCTGTATCCCCCGAACATGACGAGCGTGTCGCGCTCGCCCGTCAGCCGGTTCAGCACCAGCGCGTTCTGATGCTCCCATCGCCCGCTCGGCAGGTCGCGCGCCGGGCGGTTCGTCCCGCTCTCCAGGTTCGGCTCCGCGTACGGGCGCAACCCGGTCCAGTCGAAGCACGTCGTGTGGTACTCGCACTGCGCGCCGAAGCTCCTCGACGTGACGGACAGCGCCTCCCACTCCGCCCTGGTGTCGTCCGGACACGGGATGAAGGATCCGTCGTCGGCTTTGATGTACTTGTGCCCGTCCTCCTGGTTCGCTCTCTCGCTCGCGCACACGGAGCACTCCTCGCACACGAGCTCGTTCGGGTTGTACGCGGTCCAGTTCCCGGTGTTCCAGTCGTACAGCCACATGTCATTCAGGTAGTCCCCGTTCGGGACCCTGACCTTGCCTCCGAAGACGAACATCCGCGACTCGTCGTTCACGACCGCGCTGTGGCCGCTCCTCCCGGGCGGGCCGTAGTCGCCGTGGAACCCGCGATCGCCGAGGGGCTGCATCTTCGCGAAAACGTTGCTCGCGAGCACGGGCTTGTAGACCGGGCCGCCGGGCAAGATCAGCGCGACGATCGCGAAGAGGAGCGCGCGGCATCCCCGCGGCGGCAGACGCTCGCGCATCGTCGCATGCGGCGGTCCTCCCCGCCGCGATTCACCGACGTGGCGCGGGAAGTTGTGCCCGCGGCCTCGTTCGATTTTCGGTTTAAGGCGGGAGGTGTCACGGCGAAGGACGTCAACAACGATCGTTCCGATCGTCGCTTCAGTGCGGCCGGCGCAGGATGACTGAGACGCGCGCCGGCGATAAGCCGACAGCTTGGGAAGAAGTACGCACACGCACCACTTCGACCCGCGTGGACACCGCTCGCGCCTCGCCTCGCCTTCACGACGCCGGATACGCACGTTCGCCTTTGGCGTGTCGACATCATAGCATCTCACGTTTTCACACTTGTCCCCTCCCAACTCGTTCGCAGGCAAGCGCGTTGCGAGCCGCCGCCGTAACGTTCGAAGCGCGTTGGAAGTCCGAACCACCGATCGGCGCGGATGGACTTCCGGACGAAGCCGCGTCGCTCGTCACCGCGGCCGTTACCGTGGCGGACGGTTACGACGACCCGAGCGCCGCGGACGCCCTCGAGGCTGTGATTCGAGCGCTTGACGTGCTCGCGTCGTTGCCGTCCGGGTCGCCGTGCGAATGGAGTAAGACCGCCGCATCGCGAAGAAGGGCGTTCTTGACCGCGGCGCACGCCATCGCGAAGCAGTTGGAACCGCCCTCCGCGATCGTGGCCGCTACCGCGCGCGCGGACCACGGACTCGATCTCGTCGCCGACGAAACCGCCGCCGAGTCCGCGCCGCGCGGGGCCGCCGCGGCGGCGGTCCGAATGAACTTATTGCGCGCTATCCTCGGCGTTTTACCCGACAAAGAGAGGCACCCGCCGCGAAAACCACGGGACGAGCGACGTGAAGGTGCAGACATTCCGGCGCGCTCGTCCGTGGATGTTCCTCCGCCGCCTCCGTCTGGCAAACGCCCGCCGCTCATCATCGAGTTGATCGACGACGATGAACCCGCGGGGAGAGGAACTGCGGGCGTCGAGAACGAAGACGGAGGTGAGCCCCAGTCGACGTCTCTGAATGATGACACTGACATGGAGATAATGAGCGTCGCCACGGCGGCAGCGCTCGCGGCGGCAGCGTACGCGAAAGCGGCGACGGTTCACGGAGCAGGCGGTCTACCAGGGTGGAGTTCACCAGAGGCCGCGGAAGCGGCGCGCGTGTTACTGCAGCGAACTTTCGCATCTCGCGCTTCTGGGGCAACGACATCGAGCGGTTCCGAGTATAGCGACTTCACGCGCGAGATCCTAGCGAAGTGCCTGAGCGAGGCCGCGCCCTCCATAGCGCACTGTCTCGCCCAAGAGCCGGAGCAGCGCTGGGCGGGTGAGTCCAGCGCTCGCGACAAACGCGCACCGGGACCTCCAACCCCGGAACTACCCGTGGACATATCGGCAACGTTGCAACCTGCTTCCGTGGAGACATCCGTAATCGCCGCCGTGCGTTTACATTGGTTGTTGTCCACGGCGGGATACCCTTGGGTCGGTCGCGTTGGCAGCGGCAAAGACGGCGGAGTTGGAGGAGTCGTGTCTCGCGTCGTGCCGTGCATTCTGCGGGCCATGGACCACAACAGTCCGGCGGTGAGGCGCGAAGGATGCGCCGCGCTCGTGGCTCTCGTCGCCGCGGTCACCAGAACGGAGATGCGATGGCACGGCGCCGCGCTGCTCGACGCCGCGGCGAACACACTGGGTGGATCTGGGACAGAAGTATTCGGCGCTGCGGCAGCGGCGCACGTCCGCGCGACGATCGCGGTGTCTTCAGACGACCCTCATGAACCGAAACTCGCGAACGCGCTCGCGGTGATGATCGATGCGGCAAACTCGCGGAGTCACGAACCTTTAGTCGCCGCGGCGTGGGTGATCGAAGCTCCCGCGTTGATATCCGCCGCGAAGCTGTCCACGGCGCCGCATCTTAACCGTTTGTTCCCGCCGTTGCTCTCGTGGCTGCACGCAAGAGACGACGACACCGCGCTCGGGGCGGCTTCGTGTTTAGAGCTCATCTGCACGATGACGTGGCCGCGAGTGCCCGCACACGCCGCGGAGCTTTGGAGCGACATCGCGCGGGCGTACTCCGAGGCTGACGTGAGGGGAGACGATGCGTTCGTCTTCAAATTTCGCGCCGCGTTGACGCGAGTCGCGGACGTCGTTCAACTCGCCGCGGGGGAAAATTTCGAGGCGGCGTGGAGGCGCGATGGAGATCCCGTGCCTCCCGCGCTCGAACCGCTTGTGGCGCACCTCGAAGGGCTCCCTGGACGAGTCGCTTCGACGGAATGGTCGCGTCCTTCGAACTAGATCTAGTATCCGATATGAATAGGCTAAACACACTAACTGCTAGAAGGTATTCGACTGAACCGCTCTGCTTCTTCAATGAGACTTGACGACAGCGCGCTCCGGTAAAACGACGGCGGCGAGCTGTCGTTCGTCGAGCCCTGCGCACTCGTCCACGACGAGCCATTTACCGTCCGTCTTCAAGATGCCGTGATGTCCGCTCGCGACGAGCACGTTTACGCCGACGTTCGCGGGCCGTCCAACGTTCGTCCGACCTTGAAGCGCTTCGATCCAGCGTTGCTGAATCACGCGTTCGCGCAATGCCTCGAGTTGTTCCGGGATCGGACGTTCGAGTTCCAACCCCGCGTGAACGGCTATGAGTTTATTCACCTCCGGGTGCATGTCATCCTCGACGTCGTCCAGCTCGACGACGAACTCGAGGGACGACAGCAGCACGGCGTGAGATTCCGGGAGCGACGACAGCAGCGCCTCGCGCCGACGCGGGTCGCCAGGGTCGACGCCGAACGAAGCGAACGTCGCTTCGCTGTCGAAAGCGTTCCGCGTCCCCGCCTCGAACGCGCCCCATCTCCTTCCTTGTAAATGCATGCGCGCGTGTTCGTTCTTGTCGGTCGCGTCCACCCACAGCGGCGGTTCTTTTCTGCGCGCGACATACCCTTCCGGCGGAGGCATCCCGCCGTCGACGCGCCACAGGGAACAGAAGGTTGCCATCCCGAGGTCGTGGTTGCCTCCGAGTATCCTCACCTCCATGCTCGGGTGCACGGCGGGAAGCGACGCGATGAAGTCTAGAACGCCGCTCGTTTCCGGTCCGCGATCGACGAGGTCCCCGAGGAACACCACGCGGCTGGTGCTCAACCTCTCCGCCCCGATCTCGCGTTCGAGGTTCTCGAAGAGCGAGACGAGTTTCGCTCGATGCCCGTGCACGTCCCCCACGAGCACCGTCGCCCTTCTGTGCGCGCCAGCCGAGGACATCGCGGCCGCGCGACGCTCGAGTTCACGATGCGGGCGCGCGACGCGGGCGAAAACGACGCGCGGACCCGCGCGCGCGGGCGTCATCGAGTGAGGTCGACCGAACCGGTAACTCGTGTCTTCTTTGTCGACCGCGATCTGACGAACTGAGCTCATACTGACTTACGGATCTGCTCACTGGATCTCAGTGACCGCGCCGCGGCCGCACGGCGGCGGACGTGCATTCACCGCGTCGGTGATACACCGCGACTAACGCGGCCTTTCAGCGTCGGCGTCCGCGTGCTCCCGCGAAGACGAGCGCGATGATGAACACGGGTTGGAGCGACGCTATGATGTTCGCGGCCACCGCGATCGCGGTCGCTTCGGTGCCCGTGACGCACGGCGTCGCGGGCCATCGGCTGCACGCGGGCGCGTCGCTTCCGTGGAAGTTTCGGAACATCTTCTTCAGCGGAGGAAAGCGGTTCATGGTGTTCCAAGGCTTCAGCTGGACGTTCTTCGCCGTCGCGGCGACGTGCGGCCTCCTCGCGCTCGGAAGTCGCTTCGTCCCGTTTTCGATCGACTTCGACTCGCCCACGCTTCACGAGTGGTCGATCTGCTCCGCGCTCATAAGCGAGGTGCTCATGGTCGCGTCGCTTTTGACGTACCATCGAGGGTCGTCGAACACTCACGGACGCGGACACCGCCGCCAGCCGTCCACGACGACCGTCGAGATCAGCAACACGGGAACGACCGTCATCGCGGCGTTGTGCTGCGCGTTGGCGTTCGCGGGCGCGGCGCTTCTCCTCGCGGCGAAGAACTCGCGCGAAGCCCCCGCGGCTCGTCTCGGGTTCACGGTCTTAGCCCTCGCGTGCTTCGCGATCGCGGTGCCGGTGACGCACGGCGTCGGAGGGCGTCTGCGCTGGGCGCTCGGCGGCGGAGACGCCTGGAGCTTCTGGCAACCCGGCACCGGGGGGAAACGGTTCGTGCTCTTACAAGCGTTCGGCTGGGCGTGCTTCTCGCTGAGCGTCGCCGGGTGCGTCGTCGTCGCCGCGGTCATCCTCCGCACGAGCTCGGCGGCGCTGATTCGAGGCGGCGGGGCGGCGATCGGAGAGACGGGCTTGAAGCTTCTCGCGATCGCGTCCTGGGTCTCCGGCGGCACGGGGTTCGCCGCGCAGATCATCACCGCGTGTTCGCTTCTGCACTTCGTCCCGAGAGGCGCGGGCGCGCCGGCGTCGCCGTCGTCGTCGCCGCCGTCGAGCCCGTCCAAGCGCGCGGCGTCGATGAAGATGTCGTCGTGGCGGGAGTTCGCGACGATGCTGCTGGTCATGCACGTCATACACGCCCCGCACTTCATCGTCATCGCGCTCATCACGACCGTCCTCGCAACGGCGCCGAGCTTCGCGTGGAGCGCGACGGTGTTGGCGATCGGCGCCGCCGCGTACGCGCCAACGTTTTACGGCGCCCCCGGGTCGACGGGGTATCGGTCGTGGATCGGATTTCAACACTGGATGACGCGAGTCGTGGAGGACGTCGCGCGGAGGTGGCACGGGAAGTGCCGGGTCGTTCGACACGGGAAGGAGTGGCGCGTTAGAGACGACGAAGACGGGGAAAAACGCGATGGGGATTCCCCGCGGCGGGTCATTTTCGGGTACCACCCTCACGGCATGCTTCCGGCTGGGGCGTGTTGGTTCCATCACACACCGCAATTTGCGTCGCTTTTCCCTTCCATACCGTCACCGGTCACGCTCGGCGCGAACGTCATATTTCGCGTGCCGTTGCTCCGAGACGTCGTGATGTGGGCGGGCGCCAGGAACGTCTCGAGGAAGAGTTTCCTGAGGAGCTTGCGCGAGCGCGGCGCCGTCGTGTTGTGCCCCGGCGGACAAGCCGAGCTCGTCGAGCACGTGGGGGGGGTCGACGATCACGTCGTGACGTTGTGCACGCGGCACAAGGGGTTTATTCGCATCGCGATCGAGGAGGGCGCACACCTCGTCCCGGTGTTCGTCTTCGGCGAGTCGCAGGCGGTCAGGAACATCATCAAGTGGAAATCCGCGCAGCGGTGGACGACCAAGCGACTCGGGTTTCCGATGCCGTTCCTTCCCGCGGGATACAAAGGGTTTCTGCCATTGCCCGCGCCGTTGCCTTTGAGCTTCGTCGTCGGGCAGCCCGTGGAAGTCCCTCCGCCGAGTCCCGACGGCGTCGCCGCGGAGGAGGACGTCGCTCGCGTGTGCGTGGAGTACTACGCCAAGGTCGAGGAGCTTTTTCATCGGTACAAAGCGAGCAGCGGGTTTCCTCATCTCGAGCTCGTTCTCAAGCACGACTGAGCGGGTATTCCAGGTCGAAGGACGTGGAGATGCGATAGCAATCTAGCTCGCGGGTCCACCGTGCGATCCCCGGCGAGGAAGCATCGATCATCTCGTAGCAAGCATAGAACGTAATAATATTTTTATGAACGCGACACGAAAACACTTGCCACCGTTTGCAGTCATCTGGAGCGAGGGTGTCTGGTAGGTGTGTCTGGTGTCGCGTTCAGTTTGGGCACCCCCTGCATTTTTTCGTTCGTTTGAAAGGCCACGCGGCGCCCAACCTCTCTCGCGCCACAGCCGGGCGCACGCCGGCGTGTTCGATCGCGCGCACGTAGCGTCAGATCCGTCGAATCGAACCGCCTTTCTGTTTCGCAACACGGCATGCGCCTGACACGTGCGGTGTCTCCGTAGATCTCGACGAAAACAGATCGCGCGGTCGTTCGCCGAGATGGCACCCCGTCGCTCGAAAAGCGAAGTCGAAGCAGATCTCGACGCCGTGAGGGCTAAGTTTACCGAGAAGTTCAAGAAAGCCTCCGAACACTACCATCAATCACAGCATTTAACATGTAAGGAGTTGATAAGGCGGCGCGACGGGTACGTGTCGACGATTGGGAAGGTCAAGGCGGGCACCGATTTGGAGGGTCTGCAACTCACGGTCGCTCTGTTCGATGAGATGATCCCGCTCAAGGAGGAGCTGCATAAGATTCAGCAGCATGAGCGAAAGCAAATATCGTCACCAGAAGACCCGGACTTTTCACCAGAGTCCAATCCCTTGGCCCGCAATCAGTCGTGGAAGAACGACGCCGCAAAGCAGCAACGCTTGAGACAAGAGGCGAAAGAGAAGGAGGCGTTGGAAGCAGCGGCTCGGGAAAATCTCTTTAAGTCGCGGAGGGGGAAAGGAGTGGCGTCGAGGAATAGCGGGTTCCCGTTGCACTTGGAAGGCGGTCCTCAGAAAGGCATGACCGTGGTGGAACAGATCGCCGGGTACACGAAAGACAAGAGCGAAGACTTTCGCGCGCAGAAGAGGATGAAACCGCCGAGCGTGTATCCAGGCGTCGACGCGGATCCGAACTGGACGAGCGGGAGTAAGCCTAAGAGGAAAGCCGCCGCCGCGCAGGCGACGCATGAACCCATCGTGCTCTCGGACGACGACGACAACGACGCTGGAGCTGGCGGCCGCGGCACCGGGGCTCAGTTCGAGCCCGAGGTCACGATGCGTTCGAGTCGCCCGACGCGCTCGACGGTGAAGGTAAACATCTCCAAGCAGATCGGCGAGTGCTCGGCGTCGTTCCCAGCGGGCGACAAAGAGATAGACCCGGTGACGTTGACGTCGCGCGATACCATCGCGCTCGAAGAAGGCGAGATGTTGAACGACAGCGTCGTGGAGTTCTACATCAAATGGCTCCAACGAGAGCCGAAGTTTAAAGCGAACGTGGGTAGGTGCCACTTCTTCAACTCTTTCTTTTTCGAAAAGCTCGCGCAGGTGTACGACTGCGAGCCCGGGATGAGGCAGAGGGCGGCGCATAACGCGGTGACGAAGTGGACGGAATCGAAGAAGCGCCGCGTGAACATCTTCGAGAAGGATTTCGTTTTTTTTCCCATTCATCAGCACCTGCACTGGAGCGTCGTCATTTTGTGCCAGCCGAAGCTCGTGAACGAGGCGATGGACCTGACGGATGAGAAAAATACGCATCACCCGGCGCCTTACCTGCTGCATCTCGACTCCATGTCTGGCGGTCATAAAACGAGTTTCGTGTGCGGTAAGCTTCGCGAGTATCTCGCCATGGAGTGGGCGCGGCTTAACCCACGGCATGAGAACCTGATCAGGTGCGTTCTACACAAACGTTTTTCACCCATCCCTCGGTTTCAACATTTGACCGTGTCCCCTTTCAACTGATCGATGAACTTTTCGTGTGGGAATCGCTCTCAGGAACCAAGACGGCAGGGGCAGCACAGTGGATCTCTTTCAGTTCACGAAGGAGAGGTTACCTCAGAAGCGCATGAGGATTCCGCAGCAAGATAACGGCTCCGATTGCGGTCTTTTCCTCCTCATCTGCATCAAGAAATTCTTGGAGTCGATGCCTACACAGTTGACCGTCGCGGATGTTGACGCGGCTCATAAAGATCTTCCGGTCGCCGAGGGGTCTACGCTTGACGCGGGCTTCTTACGCGGCTCTTGGTTCGTGAAAGAACTGGCGAGTCTGATGCGTGTCCAGATCACCGAAAAAGTCCTCGAGGCACTGCAGACTGGGCCGGAAGCATCGAGCGATGCGAAGCAATGGCAAGCGATCCAGCTTGCCTTGGAAAACGTCGGCGTCAACATCTCGTCTTACGAGGAGCTTGTGAGGCAACGCGAAAATTTCGCGACGGCGGCGAGGGTCAAAGAGGAAAAGCTGAAAAAGGAACGGGAGTCGAAGGGATTTGAGCGAGCGGCTGTCGAGATGGTTGCCAACAAAGAAGAACGTCGGTGGTTCAGTGGGCAAGGGAATAAGCTCGGGCGAGCAGAGGTGGGAGGCGGCGCGAGCGCCGCAGATTTTTACGGCGCCAAGAAGAAAGAGGAGCCGGCTCGTCGGGAGGTGGTAGAACTCAGCGGCGCGAAGGACGAGGAAGAGGCGCACGAGGACTTGGACGAGATAAAGACGTTCACTAAGCACGTCCCCGAGACTTATGAGGATGAAGAGGAGGCTGAGGTTAAAGACGACGCGGCGATTGTCGTGCGGGACGAGTCGGAGGACACGCCAGTCGTGCCGGTGGCGTCTCCACCGAAGCCACCCCATCAGCAAGGCGTATCCGAAACCGCCGGCGCGGTGAAACACGTCTCGGCGGCGAAGCGAAAGAGATACTTCCTCGACGAGTCGTCAGAGGACGAAGATGACGAAGAAGTAGTCGAGGCGACTCAGCCTGAGCCGGTGGTTCGGACGGACCCAAACTGGGCTACCATCACCGGTGCTCTCCACGAACTCGATCCGTCTTCTCATTCGAACAGGAGCTCAGAGAAGAACACCGGGTTGTCCGGGTGAACGAATTACGCGCCGCCGCCGCCGCCGACAAGTGAACGAATAGTTAACACGGGGCGATTGTGAAAGAACTAGCAGCAATGTGCACGCTCATCATCTCGCTCTTCGAACGACGCGCTCTCCACTCTCGTCCCGCGCGGACCCTGGACCTAAACTTCTCGCGTGCATCCGCCGCAGAACTTCGTCCAGCTTCGCGATTTGCTCCTCCGCGTCGCGGAGTTGCCGTTGCGTCGCTCGCAGCTCTGTTCCGCCCATATCCGCGCGTTCGTCCGCCGCAGCCGCGGTCGCGCGTACTACTCGCAACTCCTGTCGAGAAGCCACGCAGGCGGCATCCGCCTTGACCGCCGCGTCTTCCCAACCCGCCGCCGCGGCTGTCAACGCGTCCCTCTCGCTCTCGCACGCCGCGAGCGCGTCTTCGAACTCCTCAGCCTTTGCGCTCGCGGTCACGAGAGCCCCCGCGGCGCAGTGCGCGACCGCGAGCAGCGCGGACGCGGCGCTGGCGTCATCGTCGTTCCCGGTGATCATCCACTGCTTAAACACGTCCGCACCCGAGTCCACGTTAGCTTCGACGCACCGCCTAAGCGCGGCGGAGAGCACCGCAGTCGCTTCCTCGACGACGCCCGCGTCCGTGGCGTCGAGCGCGTCCCTCGCGAACGCCCTCCCCCCCGCGTCTCGATGCTTCTCGTCCACCTCGTGCACTGTCGTCATCGCCACCGACGGCGATGCTGCGTCTGTAACCGGCGACTGCGGCGGCCGCGGGGGCGGCGACGCGGGTCGAGGCGAAGGCGAAGGCGACGCGCTCGCGATCACCCCGACGTTCGCGCTGATCTCCCTCAGTTCTCGCTCCGCTTCCCTGCGCGCGTCCGCTTCCATGTGCGTCTTCGCCGCTCGAAGCCGCGTCTCGGATTCGTCGAGCTGCCGACGAAGGTCGCGCGCGGTCGCCTTGTGACGCGCGGCCGCGGCCGCACGCGACTGCGCGTGTCGTTTCGTCTCCTCCACGCGCTCCAAAAGCTGCTCCGTTCGAACTTTCAGGACGTCTTGCGCGCGCGCGAGATCCGCGATTTTCGACTGCGCCGTCCGCGACACCTCCGCGCGTTCTCGCGCCTCCGCCTCCACCTTTTCCTTCTCCGCGTTCGCTTTCGCGATGGCAGCGTCAGCGTCGGCGCGCACTTTACCGATGACCGACTGCGCGTCCGCACGCACTTTATCGATGTCCGACTGCGCCTCCGCGCTCGCCGCGGCGGCGGCGGCGCGCGCGTTTTCATCCGCCGCCGCCCTCTCGGCGTCTTCTCGCGCCTTGTCGCGCGCGACCCTCGCCGCGGTCGCTTCGCATTCCGCCCTCGCCGTCGCCCGCGCGGCTTTCTCGCGAACGTCCTCCATCTCCTTGCGAAGTGCATCGAGCTCGCCCTTCAAGCGCGTCGACTCGGAGCTGTCTTTGTCCACGGACGAGCACCGCGCGACGTTTCGTTCGTTCCGCGCGATCGCCGCGTCATTTTTCGCTCGCGCCGCCGCCTTCTCCGCGTTCGTCGCGCGTTCGATCGCGAGTTCGTAATTCCTCCTGTGTTCCAGAGCGGCGAGTCTGTTCGCCGTCGCCGCCCCGCGCGCGGACTTCAGCTCCGCGCTCAGTCTCTCCGCGTCCCTCACGCGCGTCCGCGTCTCGTCGAGCTCGAGTTTGTATCTCTCCGCCGCGTCTTTCGCCGCCCTCGCGCCTTTCCTCGCGGCGACGAGCTCTGCTCGTAACCTCTCCGATCTCTGCGTCGCGTCCTTCGCCGCCGCGAGCGCGTCGTCTCGCGCCGACATCGCCGCGTGCATGTGCTTCATCGCGTCCACGCGCGCGCTCGCGGACTTTCTGCTCTCTCGCCTCGCCTCCGACGTTCGCTCCGCGGCGTCCGCGTGCGCCCTGCGGAGCTCCAACGTTTCCAACTCCTTTTCGCTCAGCGCCGCGCGCAAGGACAGGAGCTCGCCGGCGAAAGCGGCGCCGCCGAGCGCGGCGGGCACGACCATGAAATCCGGAGGATACGTGCTGGCGGAAGCTCGCGCGTCGTGAGCGAAGGAATCACGCGGGTCGGGTTCCCGCGTTTCCGGCTCCGGCTCCGGCGGGGGCGGCTCGTCGACGAGGATCGTCTTCTTACTTCGCCCCAACAGCGCGAGCGCCCTCGCCTTTATGCCCGCTGATTTCTTCTTGCCGCTCGCGGACTTCAGCGCGGCGATCGCGGCGGCGCTGTCCACGCTGCGCGCGGGGCTCGGAGGCGGGGACGCGAGCGGGGACGCGAGCGGGGAAGCCCCCGCGATGCTGCCTTCGCGCGAGGAAGGAACGCTCGCGCGGTCGTGGTCCGAGAGGCTCGCGAACGCGCCCGCGGCTCTCGCTTTCGCGCTCGCGGACTTCATCCTGCCGCCGGGGCTTTCCACATCCGAGCTCGTTCTAAGGCTAGAAGTAGGGCTACGCGGAGGACTCCGGGGTGGACTACTCGGCGGGGAAGAGAGCGGCGAAGCGTCCGCGCCCGAGAGGGCGCGAAACGAGTCGCGCTCGAAGCCTTTTCGTCGAACCGAATCCTCGTCCGGTTCGATCGTATCCGACCTCGGGTCTCCCTCGGGCGAGTTCGTCTTGCTCGAGCAGCACCCCACCGTCTTGCCGCCGCCCATCTGGCGCGTCGCCGACCCCCGGCGACGGTCCGTCAGCAGCGCGCGACGAGATCAGTGGACGGATCGATTTTCAATTTGTTGAGACAGCTCGCTCGTTGTGTCTCAAGTTCGCTTACAACCTCTACGCGGGTGCGACCCCCGCCCCGCGCCCCCTCTCTACACGCCACACCCGCTCTCGGACGATCACGCCCGCGCCGCCGCCGCTTCTACTCGCGAGCGCGTCACTTTCCCTCCCCCGAGACGACCACCTCCGATTTCCACCTCAGCAGCTCGTCCATGAGCGCGTTCGCTTCGTCCACGCCTCCCGCGATCCTCACGCCGTGCTTCGCGAGAAGCTTGGTGAGCGACGCGCGCTCCGTGCCCATCTCTTGCTTCAGCGTGTGCCGCACCGCCGCGGCTCTTCTGCGCGCGAGATCGTCCTCCGTCGCCGGTTCCGAATCCTCCTCGACGAGAGACTCGCGGTGCTCGGGGATGCCGCGAAGGATGTCACCGCGAGCGGCGTCGTCGGATTCCGTTTTCGACGACGCCCAACGGCGACGGTCGGATCCCGGCGACGACGTCGAGCTCGCGACGGCGTCGATTCTCGAGCTGAACGCCGATCGCACGGGCGTCGACAGCGCCCGAGACGCGAGCGCGCACGCGCGGCGCGCGATGAACGACACCATGAGCGCGTGGGGGGTGTGGCGAAGTCCGTCGGAACTGATGACGAACTGGCCTTCGAGCAGCCTTCAGTTCGAGTCGTTCGCGAGCAGACTGCAGTGGTTCTGTTCGCGAAGGCGAACCGCGCTCGCCTCTGTTCGAACGCGGTTGGAAGATCGCCGCCGCGCCGGGTCACTCCGCGGCACGGTGGGTCGACCGTACCAGAGGCGGCGACCCCGCGGAGAGTGGGGGATCACCGACCTCGCGCGGCTCGCCTCCGGAGCGTCATGCAGTCGCACGAAGCGAAGCGCCAGCGCGTGGAGAAACCGCGCGCGTCATCCGAGAACGTTCTGCCGTTCCCCTCGACGTCCGTTGCGGAGACGAACGACGCGGACGAACGCTACGACGCGGACGCGAACAACTCGCCGTCGCGGCACACCCCGGGTCGCACGCCAGGTGCGCGTCGTCTCCGTCGTGCCTTGGATCGATCGCATCCGGACTCTAGACTCGATCGCGCGCGGCACGGCGCGCCGTCGCGCGCGGGCCGCGTCGTGGCACGAACGCGAATCTCACCACCTGTCTGTGTCAGCCGCGGGTGCACACATTTTTCTCGCGACGCTCCCCTCGAGCGCGCCCGTCGCCGACCGACGCTCTCCCACCCTCGCCGCTGGCGTTCGACAGGGTTTAACATCCAGCGCAGCAGATCATTTGGCGACCTCGGCGTCGAGTCCGCGGAGCGAGACGGGTGCGCACGCGACGCCTCGCGCGAGATTTCGCGAGTCACGAAATCGTGGCACGTTTCCGCCGTGTTTGAAAACTCAAATCCCGACGCGCACGCGCGCGCGACGTCTCCACTCGCGAACGCGCACGCTGACTCCACCACCTACCCTCTCATCGATCCCACAGGCTCGAACGCGGTAAATCAGAACTCGCGACGTCGCCCGCGGACCGGGACGCGCGCGGGGATGACGTTTTAGATCCGCGCGCCGTCGCGCAGGCGCCGTCGTCTGTGCACGCGACGCCGCGACGCCGGCACAGGCGGGTGGACTCCCTCGGCGGCGAGGACATCACGCTGAGCCCCGGCGAGCTGGGAGGGTCGCAGTACATCATGTCCCCCGGGGACGCGCTCGCGAACACGCTGTCGCGGAGCGAGAGCACGGTGTCGGACGGCCAGAGCGCGTTGCCGAGCAGCGTCGAGGAAGTCGCCGCGCTGGAGCTGAGGCAGCCGCAACGGCTGTACCCGATTTTCGTGAAGGGCCGAAAGATCGTGCACCTCGTCAGGCACGGCCAGAGCACGTACAACGAGGCGATCAGCGGGCCGGGGTCGTGGGACGAGCCGAACATATTCGACGCGCCGCTGACGACGCTCGGCGTGAACCAAGCCAGAGGTCTCGGCGGGTTTCTAGCGAAGCTCCCGAAGGATGCGGTGTGGGTGACGTCCGCGCTGACGCGCGCGATGGAGACGTGCGTGCACGGGTACAAGTCCTCGCTCGAGGTGAAATACGCGCAGAAGAGAAGAGCCGCGGCGGTGAACGAAGCCGCGGGCGGAACCGCGTGCGCGAACACCGCCGGGCGCCCGCCGCTCGCGGGAAGGAGCAAGAGCCGTCTCTCCCACGGCGGGAAAGGGTCCCGCGCCGCCGCCGGGAGAAGCAGCGACGAAAACGGATACGCTGACGACGGAGGATCCGAGGACGCGGTGCCGATGGCGGGGACGACGCCCGCGCCTGGACGCGGATGCCTGGAGGATGCGGATGCGGACGCGGGAGCGAGCGGCGGCAGAGCGGTCGCGAGGATGCTCTCGGACGAGAAGACGCCCGCGCCGATGGCGGCGAAGCGAACGCTGAGCGCGGAGCTCGGCGAGCTCGCGCCGGACGCCGTCGGCGCGTCGCCGTCGGATACGCTCGAGTTTGACGCCGCGGAGATGGCCGCTTGGGGGGAACGCGTCATCGTGCATCCGCACCTCTCGGAGAAGGTGAGCACGTCCGGGGATATCGGGCGTAACAAAGGGATCCTCATGAACGAGTTCCCTTTGCTCGCGCTCGGGCTCTCGCGGCTGCCAGGGGACGTGTGGTGGTACAGTCAAGTGCACCGACCGAACGACGCGGAGCGAGAGACGTTTCAGTCGCACGAGCCGTCGCACAAGTTTAAGGAACGCGTCGATCGGTTCCGGCACTGGCTGATGAGCCGAGAGGATAAGGTTTTCGTGGTGTTCGGACACTCCACGTTCTTTAAAGAGCTGACGGGCGGGCACAAGAGCATGAAGAACTGCGAGGTATTCTCCTATCACTTGTGACGAGCACAGAGGGAACGAAAAAAGAGCGACGGCGTCGACGACCAGAGATTTCACCTCTACCTCTCGACGTCGAACGCTGGAGAGGGTCCGAGTGCGTCTTCTAGCAGAAGTACTTTGACGATGAAGGGAAGCTTTTACTACATGCACGTCTTCATTAACTTTTCGCGCGCGATCGTCACTGCGCCGCGGCCGCCGCAGCTTGCTCGGGAGTCTGACTCTTTTTTATCGACAGCGCGTGGATCGACGCCATCTCGTTCTTCAGCGCGTCGTGGATGAGCCTGTGCCTCGCGATCGGGAGCTTCCCCTGGAACTGCTTGCTCACGACCTCGACCTCGAAGCTCTCACCGCAGCTAGGTATAGGGTCACGCACAGCGGTCGCGTCAGGGTCAGTCGTATGCGGTTCGAAGGGCGATCGGTGGTTGGACGACGACGCGCACGGAGAAGGCTCGGGGAGAACGCCGCCCTACTCTCCGCTGATGTCCGTGACCTTCACCGTCTCCGCCTCGAGCGCGGCGCGGAGGAGATCTTCGACCTGCTGCACCGAAGGCATCGTTCGCGGAGCGGTCGTGTGTCGGTGACTTGTGTCCCCTGTCGCTGGAACCGGGGGGCGGAAAGTTAACACGCGACAAACGCAAACTGAGATCTGCACCAGAACACTCGGAGAGGCGCAGGGCTGGCGGGTCATGGAGACCCCCACCCGCGGCGGGGCCGCCTCCCCCTCGTGCGACACGACGGCGTCGCTGCTCTCGAAGCTGCAGGCGCGCAACCGCGCGGAGGTCGTCGCGTTCAAAGACGTCTTCGAAGCGCACGCATCCGCGCAGACAAACGCTCGAGCTCTGCAAGAGCGCGCGTCCGCGCTGCAGCGACAGTGCGCGGAGCTGACCCAGGGGAAGGAGACCTCGGAGGCGAACTTAAAGATCGCGAACGACGCGGCGGCGCGAGGCGAGGCGGCGCAAGAGCAAGCCGCGCGCGTCGCGCAGCTCCAGACCGAGCTCGCGGAGAGTTACAAGCGACACGCGGACAGCTCCGAGCAAGTCATCGTCGCGAGGGACCGCCAGGCGAAAGCGGACGAAGACCTGGTCGTCGCGAAAGAGGCGCTCGTCCTCGCCGAGCGCGAGCGCGACGACGCGATCAGACGCGGGGACGCGCTCGCGAGCGAGCTCGAGAGCGCCAGAGCGCTCGCGGAGGCGACCGAGGCGGAGGCGGCGGCGAGAGCGCGCGACAAGGAAGATGCGCTCGCGAAGGCGGAGGCGGTCGAGCGCGAGAATCAGCAGCTTCTAGAGCGCGTGATGCAGATGAAGCTGTCGGAGGCGGAGAAGATGAACGCGATCAACGACCTGTACGAAGATCTTCAGAGACAGAAGCAGTCCGTGGAGTTAGCGGCCGCGGCGGCGGATCTCTCCGCGGCGTCGAGCACTCGCATGCGTTCTCTGACGACCGCGCCGGGGCAGGGGGGGTCGCGCGCGCGGAGCGGGGGATATTTCCCCGCGCGCAAGCGCTTGGTGATACGCGCGAACGTCGGCGGCACGCACAGGGTCGCGTTCACCGCGGGAGGGGACGTCCTCGCGACCGCGGGGGACGACAAGGTCGTGTCGTTGTGGGACGCGGGCTCGGGCGTCGCGACCGGCCCCGGTAGGCTCGCCGGTCACGCCGGCGCGTTGCTCGACGTCGACTTCAGCGGCGGCGAGAACGGGGGTGGGGGCGGGGGCGGGGATCTGACGGTCCTCGGCGCGGGGGCGGATAAGTCCATTCGGCTGTGGGACGCGGTCACCGGGAAGTGCAGGCACGCGCTGCGAGGTCACGCGGAGAAGGTGTGCGCCGCGCGATTTTCGCCGTTTGAAAACACGCGCGCGGCGTCGTGCTCGCACGACAAAACGATCAAGGTGTGGGACCTGAACAAAGGGTTTTGCGTCGCGAGCATCATGTGCGCGAGCAACTGCAACGCGGTGACGTACGGCGACGGCGCCGGGGTCGTCGTCACCGGCCACTTCGACGGCGCCGCGAGGGTGTGGGACGTGCGAAGGAAGCCGGGGAACGCGTGCGATCCGATCGAAGTCAGAGCGCACGAGCAGCACGTCACGTCCGTGACCGCGATGCCGAACAACCGAGCCCAGTTCCTGACGAGCGGCAAAGACCACACGCTGAAGCTGATCGACCTCAGAGGGGGCGCGCAGGGCGAGGTCGTGAAGACAATCAAGGCGAGCGGGTACAGAGTCTGGACGCAATGGGCCAACGCGTGCGTGTCCCCGGACGGCGCGCACGTCGTCGCCGGGGGCGCGGACGGCGCCGTGTTCGTGTGGTCTCTGTCCGACGAAGGGCTCAAGGTGACGCTGAGAGGGCACGACGCCGCGGTCGCGACGTGTGCGTGGGGGCAGAGCGGTCTCGCGACCGCGGACAAGAACGGCGTCGCGGTTCTTTGGTCGGAGTGACGACGTGCTTTAGCGATCTCGAACGAGTGTTTCAACAGTCGAATGAAGAGTTACGGATCATAATAACGAAGCCTCATCAGTGCGCGACCAAGGCCTCCGCTCCGGCGTCTAAAGCCTTAGACACCTCGCCCGCCGCGCCCGCCAGGTTCTCCCGCCACACGTCGAGCCGCGCCCGAAGGTTCGCCCACTGCTCCTTGCCGAACACTCTGTGCGTCACGCGCGTCACGACGGCGACGCCCCTCAGCTGATCCATCTTCGCCTCGATCAGCCTCGCGCCGATCGCGCGAACGATCCACCCCTCGACTTCGCCGTCCGCGCACTGCAGCGCGGCCGCGACCTGCGCGTACGTCACCTCCCCAGACGACGACGCCGCCGTCGCGCTCTCCGCGAGCGCGCACAGCGCGAGCACCTTCATCTTCCCCGCGCACTCCGCCTCGTCCACCGATAGGGTTTTGAACACGTCGCCGTTTGACTTGGCGAACGCCGCGAACGCGCCCATGCCGTCGCCGGTGAGCATCGTCTCGAGCAACCCGAGGACGTTCGCGGACTTGGTGTCCTTCAGAGCCTTGATCGCGGGGTACCCCAGAAGGTCGCACTTGAACAGCATGTCGTTGGAACGCACGAACGACACGACCGTCGCCTTCGCGACGTCCTCCGCGGTTGCGTCGAGCTTCTCCCCGGGCTTGTACGTCGCGAGGTACTTGAGCTGGAGATCGAGGACGCGCGCGGACGCGGCGTCGTTCACGTCCGTCGTCACGGACGTCTCCGCGAGCATGGAGAAGATGCTCTGGAGCATCGCGCGCGTCGCCGCGGGGTCGAGATTCCAAGACGCGTAGTTGTCCTCCACGTGCCTCGCGAGCGGCGCGACGAGCGTCCCGAGCTTCGCGCTGCGGACGTACGCGAGGATCTTGTTCAAGATCGCGAGTCGCGCGGTGAGGTCCGTGGTCATGTTGTACAGCGAGAACAGCGCGTTCGCGCGCGCGGGACCGCGCTCGGTGCTCGCGAGCGCAGCCTGCACGAGCGCGTCTACGCACGCGGCGGCGTCCGCGGCGGGGAGCCTCTGCGCGAGCCCGCCGACGATCAGGACCGAGGCCTCGAGGTCTTTCTCGGACGCGTCCGCGAAGAGCTTCGCGCCGTGCGCCATGATCTTGCCGACCGCGTCGACGAACTTCCCGGCCTCGAGGAGGGCGGCGCACTCCTTCGCGATCTTGCCCGAGGCGTCCCCGACGAGGCCGTCCACGAGCGTCGCGACGGAGACGAGCGGATCCTCGTCCCCGGTCTCCACGAGCACGCAAGTCGAGGCGGTCATGGTTTCTCCGGAGCTTCGACGGCGACGCGACGAGGTCCGAGCGGTAACGCGCGGCGGTGTGAGTCGCGCGCGCGTGAGAAAGGGCGCGCTCGCGCGGGCGACGATCCTCTTGGTCTTCAGTTGGCGGCGGTCCCCGAGGGGCAGAAAAAAATTGAAATTTGGGCCTCTCCAGGTGGCCTCTCCCCAGGTTACGTTTGGGCTTTTAGACTGGAGTCAGAGTCACGTTTCTGTCACGGTTATGATCAGTGACGGATAATCAACCCGAGCACAACGACCACAACGACCGCAGCCGAACCATCATGGCGGCCGCGGTCGCCCACCCCGTGGACGCGCTCGTCCCCGAGATAGAGAACGACAGCGACGACGACTTCGCGGACGAGCTCGAGGCCGAGCTCGTGGAAGCGGGACGCGCGGACGACGAGACAACCCTCGCGGGAAATAACAAAAAAAGGAAAGAGACCCCAGACGTCGACGACGCGCCCGCGAGGAAGGCCGCAAGGGCGTCGGAGACGACGACCGGAGGAGGATCGGGCCTCGCGTCCCTGCCGAGGGAGATCATCGCGCACGTGTTCGCGTTCCTCGCCCCCGAGGACCTCACGTCCGTCGCGACGACGTGCCGACACCTGCGAGGGCCCGCTCAGGACGACAGGCTCTGGCGAAGATCGTACGCCGCGCGCTTCGGACAGCCCAAGGAGCAACGCCGAGCGCACAGCTGGCGCGCGCTGTACTTCGTCGACGACGCGAGGGAGCTGCGACAAGCGGTCGCGAACGCGCCGCCGTCGCAGAAGCACCTGTACGCGCAGATGCAGGCGGCGAAGCGCTCGCTCGCGGCGCCCGCGCCGAGCGCCGACGCGGCGACGGCGCGGAGGGACGCCGCGGGACTGCTGACGGACGTCGAAGTCGTCTCGCGTTGGCGCGCGTCGAAAGGCCTCGGGGACGGTTTGGACGCGAAGTCCAAGCACCGGTGCAGCGTCGCGACCGGGTGCTCGTACACGCGGTTCGGGTCGGACATATTCGTGTGCGAGCGCACGGGAAGGGCGCACGTGTGCGGCGACGACAGCTGCCGCGAACGTGTCGTGGACCACGACGGCATGACCGAGATGTGCGTCATCTCCGGCAGGGTGTTCGATCGCATGCTCGGAGAGGGCGACGAACCGAACGGATGCGGCGGAGGGGGGGAGGAAGCCGCGGAAGAGCGCGGGTTTCACGGGGAGAAAGGGTGGTTGGGGTCGTGTTTCGAAGCGGGGTACGGCAGAGAACGCTCGAGGAAAAAGCCCCGCGACGACGAGGCAGACACTTCAGAGTCGGACTCTTCAGACTCGGAGTCCGGCGGCGAGTGAGCGCGCGGATAGACTAGCTAGCAGCGCTTTCGCGTAGACGTCGTTTACGAATTAAAACACGTCGTCCCCCGTCTCGTCTTCTAGTTCGTCCGGGACGAAGTCCTCCTCGTACACCTCCTCAATCTCCCCCGAAACCCGCGGAGACGTCTTCTTCGGACTCTTCGCCCCCACGGGCGACTTCGGGCGTGACGTCGGCGACTTCGGCGACTTCGGCGGCGACGCGGTCACCGCCGGCGCGTCGATCGCCACGGCCGCGACTTCCTCGTCCGCGGCCTCGAACGTGTCGTCCGCGTACGCGTCCGCGTACGACTCGCCCGATACCTTCGCCGCTTCCTCCATCGCCAGCCTCGCCGTGATCTCCGCTTCCAACACCGCGCGTTCGATCTGCGCCTTCTTCGAAGCCTCGTCCCTCATCTTGTTCGCCGCGAGCTTCGCCGCGTCCATCCTCGCGGTCGCTTCCTCGATCTGCCTCTCGTACATGAGTTTGCGCTCGTACGCCGCGAGCGCTTCCTTCTGCGTCTGGTGCTGCCCCTCGAGCTCTTTCATCATCAGATTCACCGCGGTGTTGTGCGAGACGTACTCCCCGTTCTCGTCCACGAGCGCGTTCGCGCCGTCGATGAGGCCGCGCTGTAACCCGAGCTGCTCCGGCGTCACCCCGGGGATCTCCGCCGCGGCGCGAAGCGCGTTCGCGCGCTGCTCCTGGTAGATGCGCTTCTTGACCTCTTCGTCCATGAGTTCGCGCATGAATTTCTTCGTGCTCTCGACGGTGGCCCACGCGTCCTTCGCGCGTTTCACCGCGTCGTCGACGCGTTTCTCCGCCACCTCCGCGCGCACTTTGAACGCCTCCGCCATCGCGAGCGCTTCCCCGCGTTCCCTGCGCTCTTCCTTTCTCTCGTACTCGATGCGTTCGATCTCCACTCTCAGGGGGATCACCTCCTCGCGCGCGGTCTCCGCGTCCGCCTCGGCGCGGTGCAACGCCGCCACCGTCTTGGCGTACTTCTTTTCGATTTTTTTCTCCCTCCCGTCGTCCAGCATCAACTGCGGCGCCTCGGGCGACATCGTCGCCTCCCCACGCTTCGCGAGCGCCGCGTTCGCTTTGTCCAGCTGCACTCGCAGGTCCTCGATCTGCATCACGAGGATGTCCGTCGCGGCGTCGCCCTTGCCGCCGCTGAGGACGACGGAGAGCGCGGCGGCTTTGTCCTTCTCGAGCGTCGCGCGCTCGCGTCGAACAGCCTCGATCTCCGCGTGGAGCTCTTCTCGTCGTTTCTCGATGTCGCGCTCCGCCTCGCGAGTCTTCGCGACCGCGCGGCGCTGGGCCTCCTCCGTGGCGTGCAAGTCGCGCGACTGCCAGGACATCTCCTTGGCGTTCAACTCCGCTTCTCTTCGCGCCGCGGCTTCCTCCTCTCTCGCGCGCAGCATCGCCCTGCCCATCTGCTCGCGCTGGAACGCCTCCTTTTCCCCGCGAAGGGTGTCGTGCTCCGCCGCGAGGCGTTGCCGGTGCTCGTACGCCGCGCGCTCCAGCGCCGCCTCCGCGGCTCGGACGCGCTCGATCTGCGCCTCCTCGCGCGCGCGTAACTTCTGAAGCCGGTCCGAATGCACGCGTTCGAGGTCCTCCCTCGCTTCCGCGAGATTCCTCCGGTGCTTCGACGCTTCCTCCAGCCGCGCTTGCGTCACCTCGTGCTCGCGAACGCGCCGGACGTGCTCGAGCATCTCCGCGCGCATCCTGCTCTCGCACTCCTTTTGAAACGACGCCATTCGCTCCTCCGCGTCGCGCAGCGGCGCCAGGCGTTCTGTCGCGACGGCGCGCTCGTGCTGCTCGTCAATCTGCGCGAGTCTCAACGCCAGCGAGCTCGCACCGCCGGAGATGTCGTCCGTCTGCGTCGGCGTCTCTCTCCTCGCGCTCGACGCGCCGACCTCCGCGATCGCTTGTAAGATGTTCAGGAGCAGCGGCGACGGCGGCGCGGGGGCGCCGTCCGCGTTTCTCGCGCCGACGTCGGGGCGCAGGAGGTGCTGCGACAGACTCGACGGGCGCTCGAGGCACAGCACCCTCGAGATCTCGTCTCGGGACATCACCTGCTGGTCCGTCAGCCCGCACTCGGGCTGGAACACGGACAGCGCGTACCCGTAGTTTTGGTGGTTGAGGTACTCCACGTACAGGCTGTTCGCCGCGCGCTGCCACAGATTTTGCGACCCCGGGGACGGGCCGCTGCCGTCGAACACGCTCGGGTCTTTCCTCTGCAGGACGCCGACGAGGCGCGAGCGCAGGGAGCCTTTGATCCCATCGATCGTGCCCGTGTTCTTGAGCTCATCGAACACTTTGCGCTTGAACTGGCGGTCCGAGAGCGCCATCGTGCGCGGCCGTCGACCCCGCGAATGAATCTCAGAGGGGCGGCTTTAAAAAAGCGAGCGAAGCGATGACGACGAATTCGAAGAGCGCCGTTTCCCTCGCGGCGTCGTGCGACGCGTCCGACGTCGCCCGCGCGGAGGACGTGTATCCGTCGATTCGCTCTCGCGCGCCCGAAGCGTGGACGATGCCCGCGTCGACCGCCCTCGCTCGCGTGCGGTGCGCGGAGGCTTGTGCGGGCGAGACGAAGCGAGGAAGCTGTCGGCTCGTCCAACGTCTCGATTTAAAATTTCGATCGCGCGAACAGAAAATCCGCCCGCGGGACGAGCCCGATCGTGCCGACGCGGATCGTTTCCTCGCACATGCGTCTGCGCGCGGCACTTACGCACGCCTGTTTCACGCGCGCGCCCTCGTTCGCGCCCTCACCCCGCGCCCCGCGTCCGCGTCTTCCGTCCGCGATGGCGGAGAAGCGCGGCAGCATCCGCTCGTTCTTCACCCCCGCGGCGAAAAAAACGAAGAAAGATGACGCCGACGAAACGACAGAAGACGCGATCGCGCCGCTGCGACCGTCGAACGTCGTCAACGCGGACGCGGGCGCCGACGCGAAGGAAGGAGGCTCGACGTTGACGGACGCGCAGCGTGAGCGCGTCGAGCTGAACAAGCAGCTCGCGCGAAGCAAGGCTGCGCAGAGGGAGGCGACGAAAATAGCGGAAGTCGCCGCCGCGAACGGCGTCGCGCCGAACATCGAGGACCTCCTCGTCGAGAGCACCTGGAGGGAGATCTTAGAGCCGGAGTTCAAGAAGGAGTACTTCGGGAACCTGAAGACCTTCCTGAAGCGCGAGTGGAGCTCCGGCGCTAAGGTGTTCCCGGCGACGAAGAACGTGTTCCGAGCCTTCAACTCGTGCGCGACGGCGAACGTGAAGGTGGTCATCCTCGGGCAAGACCCGTACCACGACGACGGTCAAGCGATGGGGCTGAGCTTCTCCGTACCGAAGGGGATCAAGGTTCCGTCGAGCCTGAGTAATATTTACAAAGAGCTCGGGGACGACTTGGGGTGCAAGAAACCGACGCACGGGGACTTGGACAAGTGGGCGACGCAAGGCGTGCTGATGCTCAACGCGTCGCTGACGGTTCGCGCGCACCAGGCGAACTCGCACAGCAAGAAAGGTTGGGAGGTGTTCACGGACGCGGCGATCCGGTCGCTGTCGAAGAAGCAGACGAACCTGGTGTTCATGCTGTGGGGGAAGAACGCGCAAGAGAAGGAGCGGCTCATCGCGAAGGACGGGAATCACCTCGTGTTGAAGTGCCCGCATCCGAGCGGTCTGAGCGCGCACAGAGGGTTCTACGGGTGCAAGCACTTCTCGCAGGCGAACGCGTACATCGAGAAGAAAGGCGGCGTGCCCATCGACTGGCAGATCGAGTGAGTCGCGTTCGTGCTAGGTAGGTGACGTCGTAACCTTATTCGCTAATCGTAGTCTGTCCTATTTCGCCGTCGTCGTCGGGCGTCGAAATCGTGATCGCTTCACAACCTGATCGGGATCCCTTTGTTCTCCATCATATCCACGATGTCGTTCACTTGCGTGCACACGCTCGTGATCTGCGCGTCCCACTTCTCGTTGATCACGTCCCCGTCGCTCGGATCCTGGAAGTCGATGAACCCGTGGACTTGATCGATCGACCCGGCCATGCGTTCCTCGCCGATCATCCTCGCGGCGGTGCGCTCCGCGCGGTCGGGGGGTAACCCGAGCAGCGTCCCGAGCTCATCGATCTTGATGTTGTTGTACAGCTTGCTCGCGCTCAGCAGATTATGTTCGCTGATCGCGCGCGTCACGACGGTCAGCCCGTCCTCGCCGACGGTGAGATGATGCGACCGGAGCGTGCTCGCGAAGCTCGCCGCCTCGTCCGCGCGGAGGATCCGCTCGAGGTACACCTTCTCGAACACCGGGTATATCGGCAGCTTCGCGCAGCGATCGTCTTTGTACAGCGTCGCGAGGACGCGGGCTCGTTGCGGTCCCGCCGCGGCGAGGATGCACGCGATGATCGCGCTCGTCAGCGACGCCGCGAGGTCGGACTCCGTGACGACCTTGCCGTCTCCTAGATCCCTCCCGAGCTCCGTTTGCGAGAGCTCGTAATACCGCAACGACGCCTCCGTGAACTTCATCTTCGCGTCTAAGATTCTCGCGTAGCACGACTTGTACTGAAGCTCCAAAGCTTCTCCTTCCTGTGAATGTCAAGGGATCGTCGCAGAGTGAGTGGACGAGCGAGATGTGAGAGCGGCGCGCGTTGTTAGGTCGAACATTTTCGACGGCGACCTCATTCTAGCCAGTTATAAGCCTCGCGTCTCTTAACCGCTCGGTTCGCCAGCCTCCGTCGCGCGGCGTGTCTCGGAGTAACCCGATAGCCCGCGACGCGAGGGTTCGACAGCGAGGTGAGGGCCGTGACCCTCAGTGTGGTTAAGTGCTGGTATAATCATCGGTCGTCGTCGAGTCGCGAAAACGCCGCGGGTGGATTCGTTCGAGAGCGCGGTGCGCCCGAGACGCACCTTACACGCGCCGAGGAGGAACGACGCCTTCTTTATGAACGCGTCCGCGTTCGTCGCGTCGTCGTCTTCCAGGTACAGCATCGCGATGTCCACGCACATCCTGAGCTTGTACTCGTCCGAGAGGTTCCTGATCCCGCTGTCTAAGTCGATCCCAGCGAGCATCGACGCCGCTTCGCTCGCTTTTCCGTCGTCCTTCAACAGCTTCGCGAGGCCCTCGCGAAGGACGCTGACTTGCTCCTCGAACGACACGACTCTCGGGGTGATCTTCTCGAGCGCGAACTCCGCGACGTCTTTGTGCTGCGCCGCGGGCAGGCTCTTCGCTTCCGAGCACAGCGTGCTCAAGATCTGCCGCGACGTCACGAGAGGCACCACGTCCGAGAGCATGTGGACGACCATCTGCTTGAGACCCTCGACGTCGCCGCCGTTGGAGAGCGATTCGGTGAGGACGGTCTGGTACTTCTGCGTCTTCTCCTTCTGGTCCCCCCCCTCCGCGGCGATCGCGGCGAGGCGAGCCTCCATCGCGCCCGACGTTGTGACCGTAAATTTTCATCGGGGCGCTCGTTTTCTCGCAGTCTGGTGCGTGCTGGTGATCGAGGTACGATTTTCACGCAGTAATACGAGCGACCGTTCGTGACGAACGAGACTCGAAGCTATCTAATCCGTCACAACTTCTTCAACGATATGAACCCCTCGCCGCCGCTCTCGCCGTTGTACGTCACCGCGATCCTCGCCTTGGGAGGCAGCGCGAGAAAGTCCACCAGCGTCAATCCCGTGACGTTCCCCGCCGGGTGCCGTCCGACGCTCGTGAGCCGCCCGCTGCTGTGATGTAACACGTACGACGCGCTGTTCACCGCCGCCATGACGGGCTCGCCGTTTACTAACAACTGGATCGCCGGCTTCTTGCGGACGAAAAATCCGAACGTCACCTCGTACAGCCCCGGCGCGTTGGCGACGATCGAGACGCAATTTTTTTCCCACACGAAGTTTTCTGGATCCGTGTTCACGCTCTGGACGTTCCACGGCACGCCGTTCCCGGCTTTGACGTTCCCGCTCTTCCATATCCACCGCCCGACGCTCCTCTCCGCGGCGAGCCCGGCGTTTATGATCCCCTGCTCGCGAATGCTCGCCTCCAGCGCGCCCAGGCTCGCCTTCCCCTCCAACTCTCTCGAAACCTCCGCGAGCGCGCGGTTCACGTCGTCGACGCCAACCTTCACGTCCAACAGCGCGCACACGTCCTTCATGTCCGACTTCAGCGCGAGCTCGCTCTTCGTCGCGTACGTCCTCTCGAGCTCGTCCTCGCGCGTCCCCATCCCCCCCGCGCCGTTGATCGCGAGCGAGTTCAAACGTTTCGTCGCCGTCGCGAGCTCGGCGCGCCAATCCTCGTTCGCGCGGTCCAACGCCGCCGCGAGCGCTTGCGTCTCCCCTCGCGTCGCCAGGTTCGCCGCGTCCACGCGTCGTCGAACCGCGGCGTCGATCTCGACGTTCATTTGGTCGAACGACGACGCGGACAGCAGCGGGTTATCCTCGAAGCTTCTGACCTTGTCGAGCGCGGCTTTCACGTCCTCGGTTCGCGCGCGGTCGTTCACCGCGCGCTCGAGCGCTTCGACCTTCTGCTGGAGCGCTTCGATCTTCTCCCCTTGCGCGCGTATGACGTCGATGGACGCCTTGAACGTCACGCGGACGATATCCTGGTCGCGCAGAAGGGGGAGCGGCGGTGAGCGACGGGAGTCGGCGACGGGAGTCGGCGCGACGGCGTCGTTTGGTGGTTTCGTTCGAGGAGGGCGAGACGCGAATCCAAATTCCTCCGCGGGCGTCGCGAGGTGAGGACGTCCGAGCGTCGCGCGTGCACGGGCGCACCTGAATGTTTCGCCATTCCCCCTTGCCGTTGATGAGATCGTCGACGTCGACCGCGGCGCTATGCCCCATGGCGGCGGCTGACCGCGCTGCCGGTTGTGCGGTTCGAAAATTTAGCGGACGACTTCTTGGACTTTCCGTTTGAGATTTGACAACGCGATGAGCGACACACCGTCTCGCGCGGCGCGGCGCCGCCCGCCGGGAACGATGGACGTCGACGCTCTGAAAGTGGGCGAGCTCAAGGCGGAGCTGAAGAAGCGCGGGCTGCCGACGACCGGGCTCAAAGTCGAGCTCGTCGCGCGGCTGCGACCGCACCTAGAAGCAGACGCGGAGACCACCGACGACGCCGATGCCGACCGAGAGCCCGCCGCGCGCGCGGAGGCCGCGTCCAGCACGCGCCTCGCCGCGCTCGAGATCGAGGTGAGGGACCTGCGCTCGCGGCTCGCGGCCTCGGAGGAGCGCGAGGCCGCGCTCGGGAAGCAGCTCGCGGAGGCGGCGAGGAAAGCCGCGGGCCGGCGCGTCCTCGAGGACGCGAAGGACGCGTCGGAGTTGCTCGACGAGCTCCGCGAGCGCCTTCGAGCGGCGAAAGACGCGGAGACGAGCGCGAAGGCGAAAGCGGACGACGCCGCGCGCGCGACCGCGGCCGCGGAGGCGGCGCGCGAGGCAGCCTCGGACGAGATCGTGTCCCTCAAGGAGGAGCGCGCGGACCTGGAAGAGCGACTCGCGCGCGCGGAGGCGGCGGCGGCGGCGACGACGGCGTCCGAAGCCGCCGGCGAGTTCGCGTCGAGGGACGCGCTGCGAGACGACCTCGCGCGACGCGAGTCCGCGCTCAGAGCGGACGTCGCGGCCGCGGCGAAGCGGGAGGAGGACGCGCGCGCGGAGATCAGAGCGAAAGAGGAGGTTCTGACGCGGATGATGGCGGACGTCGCGGCGATGAAAACATCCGCCGGGGTGACGTTCGACGTCGACGCGATAACTCCGGGCGGTCCGATCGGCGCCGGTCCCGGGTTCGTGAACCAACGACCGGGCGGGGATAAGGCCCTCGGCGCGCTCGCGCGCGCGCTCGAGACCGCGGGGGAGAGGGAAGGGGACATGCGCGCGAGGATCGCGGCCGCGGAGGCGGCGGCGTCGAACGCGGCGCGGGAACTCGCGCGCGTCGTCGCCACCGCGCAGGCGGCGGAGATACTCGCGAAGGAGAAAGCGCGCGCGGTGGAGATGGAGTGGGAGGCGCGAACGCGCGAGACGCGGATGCAATCGGACGAGACGGTGCGGCTCAGAGAGCGCGAGTTCGAGTCTCGACGGAGGGAGTTAGAGGCGCGCGTGAACGACTTGGTTCGCGCGATTGAAAACTCGCGAGAGAACGCGAGACGCGCCGCGGACGCGGCGGAGAGACACGAAGCCGTCGCCGCGGAGGCGAACGCTCGCGCGGCCGCGGCGGAGACGCGCGCTGAGAAGGCGGAAGACGAACTCGACGAGAAGACGAGGGAGTTCGCCGCGAAGCTGTTCGCCGCGGAAAACGCCGCCACGATCGCGTCAGAGGCTGCCTCGAACGCGAAGGAAACCGCGGGGAAGGACCGCGCGTACGCGGGCGAGATGGAGAACGCGCTCAACGCGGTCGAGGAATGTTCCGGCGAGCTCGAACGCAGGCTTCAGGCTGCGGAGAGCGTCGCGGACGAGCTCGCGGCGGTGAGGCAGACGGCGGCGTCGGACGCCGCCTCCGCCGCCGTCGCCGCGTCCGTCGCCGCCGCGCGAATCGACGAACTCGAAGCCGAGCTCGCGGCGGCGGACGCGAGAGCGGCGGAGAGCGCCGCGGACGCGGAGGCTGCGCGCCGCGCCGCGGACGCCTCCGCGGCGGCGGCGACGGACGCGGCCGCGCGCGCGGAATCCGCGGAGAAGGCGCTCTTCGAGGCGGAGGACCGAGACGCGGAGAACGAGGCGATCAAGTATCTGAAGGAGAGGCTCCGCGAGGCGCAAGAACGCGCCGCGCGCCTCGAAGCCGAGCTCGAGATCAGCGAAGCCGCGGGCGTGGAAGGCGCGAAGCTCGCGGAGGAGGCGAAAGCGGGCGCGCTTCGAGACGCGACCGCGGCGGCGAGGAAAGCCGCCGGGCTCGAGCAGGAGAAACTTCACGCGCGAGAGCGAAAGTTGGAGGCGGAGCTGAAGCTCGCGCTGGAGGAGAACAACGCCGCTTCGGTCGCCGCCGCGGCCGCGAACGCGCGCGCGGAAACCGCGGAAGCGAAAGCGACGGAGGCGACGACCGAGGCGAGCATCGCGAAGGCGGAGATGATCACCGCGCGGACGGAGTGCAACGCGTTGCGAACCGCGTTTCAGGCGGCCAAGGCGGATAAGCTCGCCGCGGAGGAACGCGCGGCTTCCGCGGACGAGGAAGCCGTGAAATCGATCGCGCGCGCGCACATCGCGGAATCGAACGCGGACGCGTCCGCGATGCGCGCGAATAAGAACGAACGCCGAGCGAACGCCGCGGAAGCGTTGGCGTCGAAGTTGAAGACGGCGGCGGAAGTCGCCGCCGCGGAAGCCGCCGCGGCGAAAGACGCCGCAGCGGACGCGGAAGCTCGACGCGACGCCGTCGCGAGAGAGGCGAAGTCTAGGTGCGACGCCGCGGAGGCGAGGTGCGACGCCGCGGTGAGAGAGGCGGAAGAGCGCGCGAGGGACGTCGTCGACGCCGCCGCTCGCGAGGAAGCGCTGCTCTCCGTGCTGAGAAGCGCGAAGGCCTCCGTCGCGGGGGAGGGGGGGTGGGTCGAAGAGCCGCGGCCGGTCGGCGTGCTGCCTCCGGAGGCGCCCGCGCGTGGGGCGACGGACGACGCCGCGGTTTTCTTCGACGCGACGCGCGACGCGCACGTCACGAAGAGCTACGCGAACGATCCCGCGGCGGCGTTGCGCGCGGCGGAGGAGACGCGCGCCGCGCTGGCGGCGACGAGGGCGAGCCTTTTGAACGCGTTCGACGCGAGAGAAACTCAAAATAGACCGCGACCGTAGTTTAATATTAGAGAACCGCGTAGCTCACTTCTTCTTCTCGTCGCGCGCGATCGCGCGCCACCCGATGTCCCGTCGCACGAACCCGCCCGGCCACACGATCGCGTCCACGCCGTCGTACGCGCGCTTCGCCGCCTCGGCGATGTCGTCCCCGACGGCGACGACGCCGAGCACCCTCCCGCCCGCGCTGACGATCTCCCCGTCCGCGTTCGAAGCGGTGCCGGCGTGGAACACCTTCACCCCCGGCAGCGCGTCCGCGTCGTCGAGGCCTTCGATGACCTCGCCCTTGGCGTACGACCCGGGGTACCCGTTCGCGGCGACGACGACGTTCATCGCGACGTCGTCGCTCCACTCGAGCTTCTCCGAGCCGTCCAACGCGCCCGTCGCCGCGCGCGATAACAGTTCGACGAGGTCGGATTTCATGCGCACCATGAGGCACTGGCACTCCGGGTCGCCGAACCGCACGTTGTGCTCGAGAAGCTTCACGTCGTCGCCTTCGATCATCAGCCCCGCGAAGATGACGCCCGTGAACGGGCACCCCTCCGCGGCCATCCCGTCCACGGTGGGCTGCACGATGGTCTTCATCACCTTCGCCTCCATCTCCGGCGTGAGCACGGGCGCGGGAGAGTACGCGCCCATCCCGCCGGTGTTCAGCCCGGTGTCGCCCTCGCCGACGCGCTTGTGATCCTGCGCGCCCACGAGCGGGACCGCGACGCCGCCGCCGACGACCGCGAAGAAGCTCGCCTCCTCGCCGGTGAGAAACTCCTCGACGACGATCTCGTCCCCGGCGGCGCCGAACGCGGCGTTGAGCATCATGTCGTCCACCGCCGCGAGCGCGGTGTCGAGGTCCATGGCGACGATGACGCCCTTCCCCGCGGCGAGGCCGTCCGTCTTCACGACGATCGGCGCGCCCTCGCTCTTGATGTACGCCTTGGCCTTCTCCGGGTCCGTGAAGCGTTCGTACTTCGCCGTGGGGATGTCGTACTTCTTGAGGAGGTCCTTGAGGAAGCCCTTCGATCCCTCCAGACGCGCCGCGGACTTGGACGGGCCGAAGCACGGGATCTTTGCCGCCGCGAGCGAGTCCGCGAGGCCGTCCACGAGCGGCGCCTCCGGGCCGACGACGACCAGGCCGACGCCCTTCTCCTCGCAGAACTTCACGACCGCGGCGTGATCGGACTCGTTCACGCGAACGACCTCGACGCCGTCCTCGCTCGCGATCCCGGCGTTCCCCGGGGTGCAGAACAGGTTTCCGCACGTCGGGGACTGCCTCAGACGCCAGCACAGCGAGTGCTCGCGACCGCCGCCGCCGACGACGAGGACGTTCGTCTTCGCGTCCCCTGACGCGGCGGCGACGATCGGCGCGGACGACGCGGCGGCGAAGATGACGAGGACGCGTCGCTTCGCCGCGCGAGCGTTCGCGCGGAGGGGGGTCACGCGCGATCTACGGAGTGTCGCATCCGGCGCACGCGCGCGCGCCGCGGCGGTGACGGGAGCGCGGAGCGTCTGAGGCATGATGACGCTCGCGCGCGGCGAGGTGTGCGCGAGCGAGCGAGCGAGCATCTCGATCGCGCTTTTTGAAGGCGGTTTTTCACGAGTTTAGCTTGATCGGCTCTTGCGATGAAAATCCTCTTTCAATATTTTTTATCGTAAACTCCACGATCGATTTGATCGTGTGGGCGGAAATTTAATGCCCCCGACGCGAGCGCGCGCGGTTCTCGAGCGCGTTTCACGCGCGTTCGTTTCGTTCGTCGTTAATCAACTCGCTATCGCATCCCCTCTCGTCCCCCAACACCCGCCTATGATACAGTACGCGTCCGCGTCGCTCACAGGACGACGAGCGTGGATTCCGCGTACCCGTGCTTCCCCTTATGCCGCGCGTACAAAGATTCCATCGCCGCGACGAACTCGTTCAGCTTCTCCTGGACGTACTCGTTCGACGGCTCGGATTGTTTCTTCACCGGTATCGGCTTCCCGACCACGGTGTGCATCGGTACCATGTTCGGTATCGGCGACCCCCACTTCCCCCAGAACACCATCGGCGCCACCCTGCACGCGCGCGCGAAGACCTCCGCGACGACGTGCGGCACGAGCGGCGGCCCCAGGCGCCAGTACGAGTATGACCGCGTCTGCCCGAACGTGAACGCGGGCACGAGCGACGCGCCGGTTTGGATCGCGAGCTTGACGAATCCGAAGCGCTTCTTCAAGTAGATCGTCTCCACCCCGGGGCGCATCTGGAGGCACTCCGCGACGCCGCCGGGGATGATGAGCACCGAGCGTCCATCGTCGAGCAGCGTTTTCATCGCTCGCCGCGATATCGCGTCCATGCCGAGCCACGACCACAGGTGCTTCAGGACGGGAATCACGAAGATCGTCCCGGTCGCGAGCGCCCTCGAGTTCCGCACGCACTCGGGCGTGCTCTCGGTGAAGAAGAAGTAGTTCCCGAACGCGACGATGGACAGCGGCAGGACGCTGTGCGGTTCCAGGCCGATCACCGCGGGGACGCCCTTCGCCGCGGCGTCCAAGTACGCGCGCTCGTCCTCCCACTCCATCGTGAGGGGGAAGTACCTCACCGCAGCCTTCGTGATCGCGCGCGCGATCGCGAGCCCCCACGCCGGGTGCGGCGTGGTCACCGGCGTCAGCGCTGCGAGCGCGACGAGCGCGATCGCGCACGTCGCCACCGGATGCGGGAGGAAGTAACACGCGACCGCGACGAGCGCGACGACGGCGTGGACGACGCCGAGCCACGCGAACATCATGAGATGGTTGTACAGCGACCCGGACCCGGTCGCGAGCGCGGGGTCGCGCGCGCTCGCGGGAGCGGCGGTCATGACGACGACGCCGAGGCGCGTCTCGGAGTGGTGCCCACTCTCGGGGTTCGTACCTCTCATGACTAGTCTCGGGCGATCTGAAATTCTGTTCGTCTCCTCCGAGTAGTCGCGCGCCATTCGCGGGCGCACGAGGGCGGGACGCGCGCGGAGGATCTCGAGATCGCGTCGAGATGTCGTACAAAGGTAGCGACTCATGTTTGGCCGCGGAGCTCGCGGTGCGCTTGAACGAGCGCGAGTTCGGTGCGCCCCTTCTCGCGGGAGCGGCGGTCATGACGAGCGCGGAAGAGGCGTGGGCGGAGTTCAAGGGCGCGTTCGCCGCGCTCGAGCGGGAGGGCAAGGCGGTGCCCTACTTCATCGCAGAGAGGTTGGGGTTGGACACTGAGAATGCACACTGCCTTGAGACGGTGAGGGGCTGCGTGAAGCAGCTCGACGAGGAGAAGGGCTTCGGAAAGATATATAAGAAGGTATATAAGATAGAGGCACGGGTGTGGGCGAAGTTCAAGACAGCCATCGCCGAGCTCGAGCCGCAGGGCAAGGCACTGCCATATTTCATCGTTCAGAGCATGGGGTTGGACACCGGTAACCACGAGAACTTCGACTTGGTGAAGAAGTTCTTGCGATACTACAAGAAGGAGTTGGCAGAGCGGGAACGAGAAGCGAACGTGAACGACGCCGCCGAACCCGATCCCGATCTCGCGCCGCCGATGAACGTCGAGGAAAGTCCGACGAACGTCGAGGTGGGTCCGCGCCCCGTTGCCGTCGCGCGCGCGAACGACGACGACGACGACGACGACGACGGCGCGGGGGACGCGGAGATCGTGACCGCGGCGATGATTCAGAGAGCGCAGGCGCGGCTCGACACGATGGGCGCGGTCGGGTGGAAAGCCATCGCGCGCGTCGTCGCGGTGTCCCCGACCGGGGACGTCGTCGCGCGCGACGTCGCGGACGTGGAGCGCATCTTACGCGAGGAAAGAGTGCGCGTCGGCGAACCGCGCGTCGCGACCCCTCCGTCTTCCGCGCCCGCCGCGGAGGACGTCATCGCGAAGACGATCGAGGCGAGGGTGACAGAGATGCAGACAGAGATGGAGGCGAAGCTCACGGCGGCGGTGGACGCGAGAGTGAAAGAGAAAGTGAAAGAGTTCGAGGCGAATCTCAAGTCCGAGCTCGACGCGGAGAAGGAGAAGGCGAAGGAGAAGGCGAAGGAACCGTCTCGAGAGCCGTCTCCGCCGCCGCTGCGCGAGCGCCGGGAGCAGCCTTCGAAGAAGCGTTCGGCGGAGAAAGCGCCCACGCGGGCGGGCGACGGGAAGCGTCGCAGGGAGGAAGAGAACGACGCCCCGCGCGAGGTTGACCGCCCCAAACGGGTCGTATCCCGCGCGACCCCGCCGGCGAGGAAGTACGCGCCGCGGAAAAACGCGGCGCGGACGGATTACTTCCCCGTCGGCACGAAGATTCGAAAAATGTTCGACGGCGAGTGGTTCAAGGGGGTCGTGCGGGAGGTGGACGACAAAGACCAGAAGCTGCCGTACTTTGTGAAGTACGAAGACGGCGACAAGGAGGACCTGTCGCACGAGGAACTGTCGCGGTTGGTCGTGTCGCCGAGAGGGAGACCGCGGAGTAAGCTGATCCATTACGACGACGACGGCGAGGACGAGACGACGTCGGACGAAGACTCTGAAGAGTGGGAGCCGACCGCGGCGCAGCTCGAGCGTCTGAACGAGCTCTTCAAGGCGGGCGTCCAAAACCCGTCGGAGCGGGCGATCGCGAGAATCGCCAATCAGATCAGTACCTTTGGAAAGTGCACGGACGATAACGTAGAGCGATGGTTCGCGGTGAAGCGTGGGGCGTGACGAGCACGCGTGCAGGTAGCAGCTAGCTAGCAGAAAGACTTGAACAAGAAAATCCATTCCCAAAACGGGTAACGGGACTTCCCTTCCGAGAAACACGCGCATTCCTCTCGCGGCGCGACACGACGATACGCGAGCTATGGCGTTCGGCGTGAATGACATGACGTTCGGCGCGCGCGATGTTCTCCCCGTGCGGTCGCGGACGAGACAAGGGCACGAACTCACCGCGGACGAACTCGAGGTGCGCGCGTTTCCCAATCCTCGCCGAGAGCTATCGCTCGTCGCGCGAAATCGCTCGAGATCTAATCCGTCCGTCGACCCCTCCACTGAACGACGCAGGCGGCCGCGAAGGACTTGGACGTGTACCCTCCCGTGAGCGCGAGCATCTCGCGCTTCAGCGAAACGCGCGCGCCGGGGCCCCGCGCGGCGTACGCGGAAAGACATCGCGCGGGCTGCGACACCTCCGCGCAACCGATATACTCGAAACCGCCCACGTCGGAACCGAACGTCGAGGACGCCGGCGCGCTCTGGCACGAGGAACGAGGAAGGGAAGGACGAAGGGTCACGTTCCACGGCCACCCGCCGGACGACGAATCAGGTGTTGAAGCCGAGCTTCGACCCGGCGAGATGCGACCGGCTGGATTAGCGTAGTGGGTGATGCACAAGGTGCACACGACGAGGACGGGGCTGCCGATGCGGAAAGACTGCTGGGGGAACGTGTACAGCCACGGCGACGAGCTCACGCTGGAGGAGATCGTCGAGCAGATCGAGTCGTCGTGATTTATTCATATGGTCGCGTTATTAATACACGCACGTCGTAGCTAAGGTATTATGAAGGACGCGCTGTCGTCTAGAACACGGAAAACACCGGCAGTCGCGGCGGCGGCGGCTGACGCTCGATCGAGCTTCGATACAGCCTTCGCAACGGCGGCGGCGGGTCGCGACCGAACCCCTCCATCGGGTCTGGCGCCCCGGCGACGTTCACGTCTCCCAGGGTCGGCGCGTCGTCCGCGTCGTCATCCACGCCGGGACCGAGCGCCTCCCCTCCATCGCCCGCGCCGCGCCCGTTCTCGCCGTCGTCGCCGCCGTCGTCGCCGCCGCCGTCGTCGCCGTCGCCGAGCCCGCGCCGACGCGCTTTTTCTCCGACGACGCCGGCGAGCTGGTCCCTCATCCCGAGCACCGCCGCGGTCGCGTTCCTCGCGCGCTGCTCCGCCGCCTGGAGCTCTCTGACGTCGCACACGCGCATGCGCTCGAGCTCGTGCACGCGGTGCACCTCCGCGAGCAGAGCCCGCTGCGCGTCGTTCCGAGACTCCCGCGCGCGAAGGAGCTCCTCCCCGCGCGCCGTCTCCCTCGCCCGCGACTCCGCAACCTCCCTCGCGAGCGCGTGCACGAGCTCCTCCGCGACTTCCGGGCCGACGGACTCGATCCACCGCCCACGGACGAACCCTTCGCCGCCGCCGGGAGGGGAACACGACGTCGAGCTCGACGTCGCCTCGGACGCGGGGGATCCGTCGCCGCGCGCGCCGCCGCCGCCGCCGACGCCGACGCGCATGCCCGCCGCGAACGAGTTCGGGCTGCTCTCGCCGACCCTCACGGCCGCGGCGACGAGCAGCGGGACGTCCGGGTCCGCGTCCACGGCGACGCCTCGTCCCGCGCGTCGCGCGGCGTCGTATCCGCTCACGCCCACCCTCCCCGCCCACGCGTTTCTCGCCTCTTCCCTCGCCGCCTCCGCCTCCGCCTCGGCGGCTTCCGCGCGCGCCGTCGACGCCGCGACCTCGCGCGTGAGCAAAGCCACGTGCTCGGTCGCGCGCTCGCATCTCGCCGCGGCCGTCGCGGCGTCGTCGCGCATGCGTGCGATCGTCTCCCCGTTCGTCCGCGCAGCCTCTCTGAGCACGTGCTCGTGCTGAGCCATCAGACGCAAGCTCTCCGCGGCGCCGTGTTGATCCGCTTTCGTTCGCCGCTCGCGCTTCAACGCGTCCGCGAGCCTCGTCTCGAGCGCGTGCCGCCGCTCGATCTCGTTCTTGAGCTCCGCGCGCTTCGCGTCTAACCCGTTCTCCGCGTCCGCGACGCGCGCTCTCAGGCGCGACAGCTCCGCGAGATGGTCCTTCTCCGCGCGTTTCAGTCGTTCCCTCCACAGCGCCGCCTGAGATTCTCGATCCGCGTTGGCGCTCGCGGCGGCTTCGCGAGCTTCCGCGAGGACAACCTCGAGGCCTTGGACGATCCCCGCCTGCGCGGCGTGCACGGTCGCGTACCTCTCCAGGTCTTGCACGCGGTCTCGAAGTTCCGCCGCGGCCTCGTTCTCGTGCGTCGCCGCGGCGACGGCGGCGAGCGCGTCCGCGGCTTTTCTCTCGAAGTGATCCCTCGCGTTCTCCGCGACTTGCAGGTCGTCTCGCAAGTCGCACGCGAGCTGCTCCACGTCCGCGAGCTGTTTTTTCAAGCTCTTCAGCTCGTCGTTCGCCCTCGCGAGCGCGCCGGTCGCGTCCGCGTTTCGCTCCAAGGTCTCTCTGAGCGACTCCCCCGCGCTCACGGCGACGTCGCGCGCTTTAATCGCTTTCGTCTTCTCCTCGTTCGCCGCCTGCAGCGCGGCTTTCATGGACATCAGGGCCTCGCCCAGGGAGTCGTTCTCGTCCTTGTACGCGTCGAGGGTCCGTCGCAGCGTCCTCGCCTTGAGCTCGCGCGGGTGCCTGTTGCTCGCGTCGCCGCTCACGAGCGCGGTGAGGACGCGGTTCGAGACGAGATCCCATTCGCTGGCGTTCTCTTCGTCGTCGCGAATGGGGCGAACGGGCGCGTCCGCGTCGTCGTCGTCGTCGTATCGACACGGGCCGTTCGAGCTATCGCGCGATGACGGCCGCGGCGGGTGGCTCACGCGCGGACGCGCGCCGTCTTCCGCCATGCCACCGCCCACGCGCTCTCTACCTGTGGGTGTAACGTTTGAACTTCGTCGTGGCTTTTTCGGTCGCCGCGCGCGGTCGGTTGATTTTTAAGCGATCGCGCGGAAGGGTCGCGGAAGTCGCATACCACGGCGCGCACGCTTCGGTGCACAAGATGGCGTCCGGTTTCGGAGCCAAGGGCACGGAGGGGCGCTGCACCCCCGTGTGGAGGAACTTCTCCAGGGTGCGTCCTCTCTCGCGCGCGCTCGACGCTCACGCCCAACCCTAAATTTTCTCTGACGATCGCTCTCTCACCCCCGTCCGTCACCGCAGTGCATGTCCACCGCGGACGACCCGAGCGAGTGCAACGACCTGCGCGAGGACTACTTCGAGTGCTTGCATCACAGGAAGGAGATCACGCGCGAGAACACGATCAACGAGCAGCGGTACAAGAACATGATGGAGAAATCGGACAAGCTCAAGGAGGACATCTGGAAGCACGTGTGGGACACGAGCTGGACAAAGGTCGAGCCGAAGGAGAAGGCGAAGAAGTAGCTCGAAGGGGCGGGTATCATATTCCGAGTTTGTAATAGCCGAGACGAACCCCTAGTGTACAAGAAGGCGAACGCTCACGACGACTACGGCGGCGGCGGCGGCGGCGGATCCGCCGCGTCTCCGGGGGGGCCGCCGCCGCCGCCCACGGTTTCCTCCTCCATCGACCGCCGGAGCGCCTCCGCGAGCATCTCGTCCTCGGTCATCCCTTGCGGCGCGAAATCAGGCGGCGGCGGAGGCATCGGCGGCATCCCCCCCATCCCTCCGAACCCGCCGGCGTCTCCTGGCCCGCCCATCCCGCCCGCCATCATCGTCGCGCGCGCGGTCGGGTCGTTCAACAATGCGGCGAGCTGCTCCGGGTTGGACGCGATGGACGCCACCTGCTGCGCGAGCTGCGGGTTCGCGGCCAGCGCGGCCGCCATCGCCGGGTTCGCCGCCGCGGCCTGCTGAATCATGTTCGGGTTTGCCCGCAGCATCGACGAGAACGAGTTCAGCGCCGCGGGGTTCGACGCGAGCTGCTCCATGATCTCCTGCTGGCTCGGCATCCCGCCCGCGCCCGCGCCCGCGCCCGCGCCCATCCCTCCCAGCCCGCCGAAACCGCCCATCGCGCCCATCCCTCCCAAGCTCGGCGGTGTCGGCGCCGGCGCGGGATCCCGCTGATCCGCGGGAATCGCGCTCTCGAGCAGCGCGCGCATCTGCGGCAGCGCCGGGTGCGCCGCCGCGCGCGGGGAAATCACGAGCGCGTCGTCCGGTCCGCCCTCGTCCACGCGCTTGAACCCGAACGCCTCCATCGCGGCGACGCCGCCGGGGTGCCGTCCTAAGCGGCTCTGGAACGTCGCGTTCGTCGTCCGCACGCGCGCGTACTTGGAGTCCCCCGGGTGGTTCACGACGTTGCCCACGAACGTCAGCAGCGTCTTCACCGAGGTGATGAATTCGCTCATCTCCGCGACGGAGCCGCGCAGCGTCGCGAGCGCCTTACCGATGTCTCTCTGCATCTCCTCCGTCGTCGGCAGCGGCTCGTCGTCAGAGCCGCTGGAAGCGGCGGCGGGCGCGATCGGACCGCCGTGCGTCGCGATGAGCTGCGCCAGGCGGGGGACGTCCGCGCCTCGCATCTCCGCGACTCTCTGCATTTTTTTATACAGATGAAACGTCGGAAACGCGGTCACCGCCGCCTTCCTCGCGAGGTCCGCGTTCGCGCTCGACGCCTGCACGTCGATCCCGACGAACAGCGCGTTAGCGCACGACCGCGCCATCTGCTCGTACATCGGCTTCACGCGCTGGCACGGCCCGCAGGTCGTCATCGACCAGTCCACGACGCACAACGCGTCCGCGGCGGACGCCTCCTCGAGCGTCGCCCTGAGTTCTGTCGCGCCGCCGGCGATGTGCCGAACGTTTCCCCACGACGACGGGGACGGCTGCGGGGACGGCGCCGCCGCGGCCGCGGGAGTGCTCGGGGACGGCGACGTCGTCGCGGCGGCGACGCGCGCGACGAGCGCGGCTTTCTTCTCCGCGGCTTCTTCCTGGCGTTTCTTCTTTGCCGCCGCGGCTTCCTCTTCTTTCGCTTTCGCCGCCGCCGCCTTGGAAGCCTCCTCCGCTTCCTTCGCAGCCTTCTCGTCCGCGATCTTCTGAAGCTTCGCCTGCTCGACCTTCTTCTTCTCTTCTTCGATCGCTCGCTGCTTCTCTTCCTCTTCTTTGCGTTTCGCCTCCGCCGCGGCGGCTTCCGCGGCGACGCGCGCCGCCTCCGCCGCCGCCGCCTCGGCTTCTTTCCTCTTCCTCTCCGCCTCCTCCGCCTCCGCTTTCGCTTTCGCCGCTTTCTCTAACGCGATCGTCTCTTCCGCGGCCGCCGGGTCGATGCTCGCCTTGACGGTCTCGGACTTCTTCCACGTCGTCGCGAACGACGCGTGCAGCGCGGCGATTTTCGTCGCCATCGCGGCACCGTACACCTTCTTGTCCGGGTCCGTCTCCATCGCGGACTTGTGCATCTTATCCACGCTGGGTTTCGCCGCGGTGAGCTTCGCGATGACCGCGTCGACGCGCGCTTGACGCGCGAGCGCGGAATCGGAGCTCGCGGACGCGCTCGCCTGCGAGATCGAGTCGGGGGATCTGGGCGTGAGAACGAGGAACGACGCGCGTTTAACAAGAGGTGTCGACACGACGGATCGCGTCGTCGCGCGTCGCTTTTCAGGGCGCGTAGACGGACGCACCAGCGCGTCGAGCTCGACGTTCGCGTCGTCCACCTCGCCGGTAATCTTCGTGAAGAGCGTCATGTCGACGAGCGGCGCGTTCGCTCGTCCGCGGCGCGCGTATGTGAGGGCGCGCGCGTCGTGGAAGACTTTAGAAAATGCTCAAAAGGGCGACTTACGCGATCACTGTGCCGCGCACAGTCTTCGCGTTCTCCGCACGATTCGTCCGCGCTCTCGCATCCCTTCTGTCGCCGGAAGCTCGAGGTCGTGGATCGATCGGGTCGGAGGAACACGCGAAGACTTCTGCGGGTCCTCTCCTGAGCTCGCGCCCCCCCGGGCACCCCACTCGGGGCTCCCCCGCTCGTTCTCGTCGACGGCGCGAGAAGCGAGAGGCGTTCGAAAGCCTTCGTGCGACGAAGCGAGGGGTCGTTCTCCCGCCCGAATTCGGTCGTCGACGTCGCCATGGCGTCCGAGCTCGCGCCGGGTCAGCCCGCGGCGGACGCGAACGCGGCCGCGCTCGCGACCGTCCCCGCGCCCGCGACCGCGGTGGAGGAAGCGGTGGATCTCAACGTGCATCCGTCCGGGATCGTGCCGACGCTACAGTACGCGCCCCGCCCGCGCGAATTCGTCGTGACGCGAAAAAACGGGCACCAGATTCCCTCGCCCGATCTGGGCTCCCTCGCCCTCGAGAAGACGCTGATTTCCCCTCCCTCCACCGCAGGAACATCGTCGCGACCGTTAACCTGGACTGCAAGCTCGACTTGAAGACGATCGCCTTCCACGCGCGCAACGTGGAGTACAACCCGAAGGTGAGGAAACCCTAAATTTACCAACCGCGCGCGCTGAATTGGCGCCCGCCGCGACGTCTCCTCCCCGCACCATCGCCGACGCGCGCTCTCCATTCCCCCTCCCCAATCATCTCAGCGTTTCGCCGCGGCGATCATGCGCATCCGAGCGCCGAAGACGACCGCGCTCATATTCAGCAGCGGGAAGATGGTGTGCACGGGCGCGAAGACCGAGGCGCTCGCGAGAGAAGCGGCGAGGAAGTACGCGAAGGTCATCTCGAAGCTGGGGTTCCCGGCGCAGTTTAAGGTTCGTTCGCGCGCAGACACGATGTGATACTCTTTCCGCGATGCGATGCGCGCGCGGCGTAGTACCCGAGACGCTCCACGACCCCGTCGCTCACCGTCGCTCTCTTCGCTCGCCCGTCGACGACGCAGGAGTTTAAGATTCAAAACATGGTCGGCTCGTGCGACGTGAAGTTTCCGATTCGCCTCGAAGGCCTCGCGTGGTCGCACGGGCACTTCGCGCAGTACGAACCGGAGCTGTTCCCGGGTCTGATATACCGCATGGTCGTCCCTAAGATTGTGCTCTTGATTTTCGTCAGCGGGAAGATCGTCCTCACGGGTGGGAAGAAGCGCGAGGACATCTACCAGGCGTTCGAGAACATATACCCGGTGCTCACGGAGTTCAGGAAAGTCGCGAACCCGACGGAGGAGAACCCGCTCGCGCAGCTGACCGCGGGGACTGCGGGCGGCGCGGCCGCGGCGTTGCCCGCGCCGCCGAATAAGTGAGACGGGGAGGAGGAGGACGCGCGGGCAATGAGGTGAGGCGCGACGACGACGCGGAAGACGAATGAACGCGGTCGACGATGTTTGCACATAGGCGCAAAACGACGTAGGAAAAGATAGAACGAAACAAAAAATGGGGGGGCGTGGAGATAGGAGGCGACGAATTTAGCATTCTTCGTGAAGCCGTGCACGGCGACGTGTGTCTAATAACGACGGCAAAACAAACAACGTTACGGGCGCGGGGGTCGGGGAATTTTTTCGTACGCGTACTCGTACGCGTACTGAGTCTAGTTTCCCCTACGGTACAAAAATCGACGAGTCATAAACCGTCGATTCGCGACGCTTCACTGCGATTCACTGCCTCGACGTGATTGGTCCAGCGCGCGGGCCTGTCGCCTCCGGTGAGGACTGAAATCTTTTCCAGTGGCGTTCATTTCGCACACACGCCGGTAACGATGGCTTCGATCGCTATGCCGGTGCTGAGCGCGGCCGTCTCGGCGCGCGTCTCCGTTCGTGCGAAGGTTTCCACCCGCGGCCTCCGCGCCGTCGGGGTGAAGCCGCTTCCCGTCCGGCCGGCCGCGGTGCGCGTCTCCGCGTCCGCCGCGGCCGAGTCGCAGACCGACGACCTTCAGCTCGGCCAGGTGCGTAACAAGCCAGCGAAGCCTCCGCGCTATCCGATTCGATCGGCCGGGTTCGACGCGCGCGCGACGTCTTCGAGCGCGATGTATCGCGCGAAGCGCGTCGTCGACGTTCTGTACGACCTCATCGAATCGAATCGAACGCGAACGCGCGTCGCGCGCGGTCCTCGGACGCGCGCGCGGGACGATCGCTCGAGGTCGCCTCGCTCGAAACTCGCGGGGAAATGAAATCCGATCGGCCCTCGACGAGAATAGCGGCAACCGGACTCTCGCGTCCTCCCCGCGCGCGATCGACGTTTCCTCGCGACGTGAACTGACGTGATCCACGCCTGTCCCCTCGACATCGCAGACCGCCGCGCTCACGCTCGCGGGCGCCCTCGCGCTCGGCACCGAACAGGCAAGTGCCGCCAGTGAATCTCTGTCCCAAGTCGCGGGCTTCGACAGCCGGGCTCTCATTTTCCTTGGGATCCTTGGTCCTGCGATTGGCTGGGTTCTGTACAACATCTTGACACCGGGACTGAACCAGTTTAACTCCATGCAGGAGAAAAACGCGAGGGGTAAGAAGGGTATCCCTCTCGGTCTCGGCTTGTCCGCCGCCGCGCTCGCGGGTATGCCGGAGGAGGCCGACGCCGCGACGGAGCTGATGCAGAATGCTGGTCTCGACGCGCGCATCCTCATCTTCGGTGCGTTCGTGCCCGTGCTCGGCTGGGTTGCGTACAACATCCTCAAGCCTGGTCTCAACCAGATCGAGGACATGCAGATGAAGAACGCGAAGAAGCGTGGTGTCGCTGCGGGTGTCACCGGCCTCTCCGCCGCTGCCCTCCTCGGCATGCCGGAGCAGGCTGACGCCGCGACGGAGCTGATGCAGACCGCTGGTCTCGACGCGCGCATCCTCATCTTCGGTGCGTTCGTGCCCGTGCTCGGCTGGGTCGCGTACAACATCCTCAAGCCTGGTCTCAACCAGATCGAGGACATGCAGAAGAAGAACGCGAAGACGCGTGGTGTCGCTGCGGGTGTCACCGGCCTCTCCGCCGCTGCCCTCCTCGGCATGCCGGAGCAGGCCGACGCCGCGACGGAGCTGATGCAGACCGCTGGTCTCGACGCGCGCATCCTCATCTTCGGTGCGTTCGTGCCCGTGCTCGGCTGGGTCGCGTACAACATCCTCAAGCCTGGTCTCAACCAGATCGAGGACATGCAGAAGAAGAACGCGAAGACGCGTGGTGTCGCTGCGGGTGTCACCGGCCTCTCCGCCGCTGCCCTCCTCGGCATGCCGGAGCAGGCCGACGCCGCGACGGAGCTGATGCAGACCGCTGGTCTCGACGCGCGCATCCTCATCTTCGGTGCGTTCGTGCCCGTGCTCGGCTGGGTCGCGTACAACATCCTCAAGCCTGGTCTCAACCAGATCGAGGACATGCAGAAGAAGAACGCGAAGAAGCGTGGTGTCGCTGCGGGTGTCACCGGCCTTTCCGCCGCTGCCCTCCTCGGCATGCCGGAGCAGGCCGACGCCGCGACGGAGCTGATGCAGACCGCTGGTCTCGACGCGCGCATCCTCATCTTCGGTGCGTTCGTGCCCGTGCTCGGCTGGGTTGCGTACAACATCCTCAAGCCTGGTCTCAACCAGATCGAGGACATGCAGAAGAAGAACGCGAAGAGAAAGTAAGTGCAAGTAATATTTGCGCTTAGCCTAGTCTTCCAACGAAAAAACGAAAAAAACATTAGCAACTGCCAGGTGCAGGCAGATGAATAGCCGGGTATTGTAAGAGAAAATAGAAGAGCTCTTCTCTCAACATCAAATGCTACGTTGCGGAAGCGCGCAATTCGAAACGCCTATTAGCTAAGTTTCATCACCCGAGTAGATCGGCGAACGGGTCCTTCTTCCCTCGCGGCCGCGATACGCCGTCCATCCCTGGCGACATGACCATCCCATCCGTCCTCACCGGAGCCGCCGGCGCGGGCGCGTTCTGTCTGACAAACTGAGGAACGATCGTCGGCGCGGGCGCGCCGCCGCCTAACAAATCGAACCCGCCTGAAACCGGCGGGGCGGGCGCGTTCAGAAACCCCTCCAGCCCAACCCCTCCTCCCGCCGGCGGCGCCGGTCCACCGCCCACGCTCAGCTGAGACAAGATATCGTCTAAGGGTGACGAAACGGACGTCGTCGGCGCGGGTGCGGCGAGGCCGAGCCCGAAGAGGTCGTCCGCCGCGGCCGGCGGCGCCGCCGCCGCCGCGGGCGAAGACGTTGTCACGCCGCTGAACAACGCGTCAGCTAGAAGCGCCTTCTCGTCTTTCACCGGAGGCTCAGCCGGCGCGGACGTGGACACGAAGCCGGTGTCCGCCCCCCACGTCCCTTCTTTCCTACGTAACGTCGGTTCAGACGCCGTCGCGGCGGTGGCCGTCTCCTCGCGCGGGATGTACGGATCGTACGCCCCGCGCGAAGCGTCCACCCGCACCGGGGGCGCGCCGTAGTCCCTCGCCGGCATCTGCGGCGCGTCGTACGCGTCGAACCGCAGCGCCCCGACGGGTTCGGGACCAGAAGTCGCGAACCCGGCCGCGGACGGCGGCGGCGCGCGCTCGGCGACGGGCTGGTACGGCGACGCCCCCTCCGCGAGCGCCTTGCTCACTAACGCGTCCATGAAGGATAAATTCTCGTCCACGCCGAGCTCCTCGCCGCTTCGATCGACGGGCAGCGCGGCGGAGATCAACGCGGGGGACTCGCGCAGGAGCGCGACGATCTCGTGCGAGCGCTGCTGCTTGTTCACGTCCCGCGAGCTCGCCGCGAGCTCGATCAGCTTCGTCGCGGCTGGGGATAACGCCGGCGGCGCGGACGCCGCGGCGAGCTTCGCGCACGCGGTCATCGCCTGCGACGTCACCGCCGCGCCGTCCGGCTGCGTCTCCACGACGCCGCAGAGGACATCTTGGAGCTCGCCAGGGGACCTGCCGCTCAGGGTTCCGTACTCGCCGACGACCCACAGGATGACCTCCAAGAGAACCTTCGGGAGTTTCGGGGTTTGTAAAAGTTTCAGGTACGAGTTCACCGCGCTCCTTCTCAGCGTCTCGTCCGCGCCGACGTCGCCGCTGCCTTCGCCGATGAGCCGCATCAAGTTATGCGCCACGGTCGGTTTCACGACGTCGCCGCCGATCGCGAACATCGCGTTCATCGTGTCGATGAACCACTGCGTCGTCGGCGCGTACCGTTCCGCGAGCTCGCCTATCCTCGCCGCGGTGCTCTCCCTGACGTGCTTATCCGTGCTCGTCTTCAGGAACTCGATCATCTTCTCTACGACGACCTCGACGTTGTGCGACTTCGTCATCCTGTACAGCAGATCCAACGTCTTGCCGCGTATGCTCTCGTCCGCGTCTTCTAAGCAGTCCACCACCGTCATCTGGTGCTCCGCCGCGTACTTCGGGTTGATGTTCACGATACACGACAGCGAGTCCAAGCCGACGTACTTCAGGTTGTGGTTGCTCGACGCGATGAACCGACTCACCGCCGCGGCGCAGTGCTCGAGGAGCACGGGGGAGGGGTAAATGCTCGCTGCGGTTCGGACGCACTCGTACACGATCGCGTTGCCGACGTTCCCGCCGCTGTCGCCGCGTTTCAAGCACGTGGAGAGGACGCTGTACATCTCCGTCGACGCGGCTTTGTCCGCGGTGCCGAGCGCGGCGAGAATTTTCAAGAGCTTGATCTGAATGAACGGCGCCGGGACCTTGTGGTAGTCGTAGTTGTGCAGCCTGTGCTCGACGATCTGTTTCAGGATCGACACGAAGCTCGGTATGAGGTTCTTGTGCGGCGTCGCGTCCGCGAGTATGAGGTCGTGCAGCGCGCACAGCGCCGCGGACATCACGCTCGGGTCTTTATCGCACAGCATCTGTCGAAACTTCCCGTGCAGATGCGCGACGCTCGAGGGGCTCCGCTGATGGAAGCGATGCAGCGCCATGACCGCTTTCTTCCGGACTTGCTCCTTGCGATGCGACAACAGATCCACCACCTGCGTCAGCACCGCCGGGATCGTCTCCTCGTTCACGAGACGGCACACCGTCGTCAGCGCGGCGCACACCGCGAGGTAGTTGTCGGTTTTCAGATCTTGCTGCACGGTGTTCACGATGAGGATGATCAGGTCGTGGTGCTCGTCCAGGAACGCGCTCGTGGCGAGGTACCCCAAGCGCTTCATAGAGATGTCGCTCTCGTGCGTCGCTTTCACCGCGTGGATGTACCCGAACGACGCGTCGTGCCCGAGCATGTCGACGTACATCAAGCGAATGAGGAGCTCTTTCATCTTCGTCTTCTCGAGCTTCGGCGACGCCATCTGCGTCCGCAGGGTCATGACCTCACGGCGCATGATCACGTCCTCGTCCGACTTATTCTTACATTCGCCTGGGGTGGGTGGACGGCGGGGTGGGGGGGTGGAGACGCGCGCGTCAGGCGCGCGTTCGCGAGCGGACGTCGCGTCGGGGAAAACGACGAATTCGGGCGCGCGGGAGGTCAACCCTAAACGAGCCGGCGACGCACCGATTTGCCGAACGATGTCGTAGAACTCCTTGCTCTTCGTCTTCGCGACGCCGACGGTCGGCGGCGGCATCGTCCCCGCGGTCCGCGGCCGACCGAACCCTCGTCGAGCCCGCGAGCTCGCGGCGGACGCGACCGCGAAAGTTCTTCTCTTCGTTGTTCAACAACGACGTCGCCTCTTGCTCACGTCGGCACACATCGGCAGTCGTGTGTATGTATGTATTCGTACGTGCACCGTATGGGCATTGACCCTCGTCGCGACGCGTGATGTACTCGCACAGCTGTGCTGTGCGGCCACGCAAGAAAATTTGTTCAAATCGCGGCGGGAATGGTTCACAAGAAGAGAGCGCTCGCCGGCGCGACGTGGACGGCGCCGCGGGTCGAGTGCGCACGCCGCGAGGGTGTGCCGCGCTCGCACGCGCGAACGAGATGTCCGCCCGGCGGAACTCCCCGGACGCGCTGGACTTCCTCGCGAACGAGACGATCGCGCTCGCGATGGACGAGGCGAGATATTCGCACGAAGGCGTGGACGGGAGCTCCGGCGGGGGCGCGGGCGCGGCGACGACGGTGAACGAGGACAGAGCCTTGGAGGAGACGATCTTGCGCCTCGTGTGCTACGGCCCGACGATCATCACGCCGAAGACGTCGCAGAAGCACCAGGACATCAACCTCCTCACGAAGCTGTGCCCGCGGACGAAGGGGCCCGCGATTTACGCCCCCGGGACGGTGAGCGGGCTGAAAGAGCCCGTGGTGTTGTCGCTCAAGTCCGAGGGCATGCGCGCGCACTGGGGCGGGGCGCAGCCGTCGAGGTTGGACAACCGCGACACGCGCGCGCTCGCGGCCGCGTCCGCCGCGGGCGCGGTCGCGGTCGCGGCGCGGGTGCGGCGCGGGCCGCCCGCCGCGGGGAGAACCGCCAGCGCCAGCAGCAAGCCGCCGAAGGCGAGCGGCGCCGCGGGCGCGAAGAGGAATCGAGCGGCGGTCGTCGGCGACGAGAGCGAGATGGTCAGCGCGAAGAAGCCGACCAAGCCGGGGAAGAAGACGTCGAGCCCGGGGAGAAGGGTCGGACCGAAGGGAACGCCGATTAGAAAAGAACGCAAGCTCAAGGACGTCGGCGGCAAAGGCGGCGGCCGCGCGCAGGCGGAGCGCACCGATCGCTCGTCGTCCGAGAGCAAGAACGAGCTGACGCCGGAGCAGCTCGCGCGGCAGCTGCTGTGGGCGCAGTACGTCGCCGCGACCTCGGCGGTGGACGTGTCGCTGCTCGACTCGCCGCCGCCGACGTCGCTCGTCGACGCGACGTCGCGGCGGGGCGCGAGGAAGAGCCCGACGGATCGCTCCGCGGCGGCGAGAGCGAAAACGTCCCCGATCGAGGGGAAGGGGAGGGGGGATTCCGCGGACGCGCCCGGGACCGGAAGAGTGAGCCTCACCGTGCAGTGGCGCGCGCGGACGCGCGTGCGTTCGGACCTCCAACCGCCGTCGGTGAAGTCCGTCACCGTGAACATCGAGCCCGGGGAGATGTGCGCGCGTTTCCTGTCGCGCGTCGTGCAGATGCCGCCCGGGGCGGCGTACAACCAGACGCAGCTGGCGTGGGGCTCGATGGTGCTCCCGCCGACGCAAGTGCTGGAGACGTACAAGAACGGCGGGTGGTCGATCGACGTGCACGGGAAGAAACCGCCGGAGCTCACCTTAGTCGTCCCGGTCGGGACGCTGCTGCTCCACCCCGGGCTGTGCAAGGCCGCGGGGTGGAAGAGCAGCGTCCCGCACGCGACCGCGGTCGCGGGGACGCAGCCGGCGACGAAGGTGTCCGTGGACGGGTTCTTGGACATGGAACGCTCGTCCCCGCCGAAGGGGGACAAGACGCCGGCGTCGACGAAGGGACGCTCGGGACGGAGCTCTCTCGAGGGCGCCAAGAAAATCGACCTCGGCGAGGGGTGGTACCCGGAGGAGGTCCCGGAGACGAACCGGTGGGACGGGCAGGCGCTGTCGAAGCGCGCGCTGCACCCCGGGATAACGAACGCGGACACGATGGCGAAGATTTTCCGCGAGCACGGCGTCATGAACGACAGAGATCCGTGCACGTTCGTGGACGTCGGCTGCGGCGACGGGACGTTCGTGAAGGGTCTGCTGAAGGCGTTCCCGCAGGCGTGCATGTGCGGGATCGAGTGCC